CAGCCCTAATATTATTATGGGGGCTTACGATGACTGACTCACTTTTGGTTTTGGAGCCAGCCTCAAGTGGCTGTTTGAGGAACTGCAGTTTTTGGCAGCTCTGCATTAAGGCTTCAGTTGTCAGCCATACTGTCATATACTCTTCCACAGAATGTCAAAGGCTAGTCTACTGTGTATTGTAGTGTGAAGACGATCCCTACGACATTTCTAATATTGTCGATGATAGAGGGTTGCATGTTACCTTAATGTCTAGAAAAATATTCACAATTCAACCATATTTAGCCCAGTTTCAACATATATATTCTTACCCTTCTTTTGACCACATTGATGTATGATTACTGGTTTATGGACTGTGTGCTGAGTTTATTTTCCTTACCATGATGTATGGCTGTAACGGACCTCGCGTGTTTCCGTTGTAAGACATTCTCTAACCACCACATCATCCTGCCAGCTGTTCAAATCGGAGGAGTTTGAGATGAAGCGAAGGATGAGGTAAAGAGCAGACCACCCTCTCCCTACCTGAGCTCTGGAAGACGTCACAGCGTGCAGCTACACAGTGACTAAACACCTCAACAATTTGGTGATTAGCATCTTGTTAAATTATATTGCTTTTTCCACTGAGCTGTTCAACTGCATTCCTCACTGCTAGTTAACACAAAGACTAATGAGAGGAGCATGGCGTGTAAAAATGACTTTACAACCGTGTGTTGGTGGTGTATAGACAACAGAAAACAAACAATTGCACAGACACACAATACAAATGTATTATAATCCTGACAAACGTGCATGTAAAATATGGTTTGTTATGTAAAAGTAAATGATTACCAGACATTCATTATCAAGATTCAATGGACCCTGGTGCCAAAAAAGGTTTTAAAAGATCACTCATGTGTTTGTGTTAGCTTATGGAGAGTTGTTAGCTAATGCTAGCCTAACTGTTATTGCTGTAACTAAACACTAAACTGCTAAATAGCTTCTTTGCACACGACGCTGCACTTGCGACATGAACTGCAGATGGAGGGCAGGAAGTTATTTTCTACATTGGAAGCACTAGAATAAACTGTCAAAGCACCTGTTTTGTGACGCCATCAAACCGAGAAACCCCGAGGAACATTTATCGAGTACCAAAAGTTGTTGTTCATGAAGGGGAAAATGCAAGAAATTGACCAGAAAACACCGTAAAATACAGCTTGTGATTTCAGCAATAAAGTTGGGTATTTTAATACGGGGCCTCTTGGAGATTCAGTCACTTTTGGAGCCAGCCTCTAGTGGCTGTTAGAGGAACTGCAGTTTTTGTTACTCATTTGTCAGGATGCCACTTGGAGGACCTTTTATATCTCTTTTACCAAGGATCAACTTCTGTATTTCTTCAATATCTTCCACAAACCAGTTTTGTGCAGCTGGATCTACAACAACGGAGTCATTTATTCATTTAGTTTCCTAAATTTCATCCAAAAAATCATGTAAACTCGAGTTAGAAGCCAAACGGTGAACATCAGCGCTCACTGACAGACAGCTTCATCGAGTCAAACCCAAAAGGCAGGGATTTGAGCTCTGGACGGCCTCAGAGGTGTCAGAGCAAGCTGTTAACGCACATCTGTACACATGTGAGTATTTGTGTGAGTGTTTGCAAGCTGATATCATATGTCTGCATGTGTGTGTGTGTGTGTGTGTGTGAGAGAGAGAGAGTTTGTAAGCTGATATCACCGCTCTGAACTTTGGCAGTGTGAAGGATAGACTCACAGGTACAGATGGGGCTACTGTGGTTTTACTTGCTGCAAGTGTTTGATGTTACAGGCCTGTGCGTGTGTGTGTGTGTGTGTGTGTGTGTGTGTGTGTGTGTGTTTTTTTGAGGTGATAATGAAACAACTAGAATCCTGTTTGCCAGCCTCCCCTCCGGTCATTTTCCATCACATCTGGTGAATGAGGCGGACTTTGACCCCTCCATGTTCAAAGCTATCCTAAACACACACAAAGTAGGAGAATGCACATATGTACGTCGGCTGTAAACAAAACATTTTTAGGAGAAAAACTTGTTTATTTCATCACTGAGTCTGATTAACATAGCAGCGAGATGAGGCAACAGGATGAGGGGGGAAAAAGAAGTTAAGCAGGGAGGGAGAGAAAGGCTGATGATGGATAGGTGGATGTGATTGAGGGATTGGGTGGCAGAGGGAAGAAGTGAAGAAAAAGAGAAACAGGAATTAATTCTGGCTTTCTTAAATGATTCTACTGACGTAGTGACACTTTAAAGATATAATATGTAACATTGACATTAAAAACCAGGTTGATGTAAAGAGTCTCAGTCGACATACTTTCTTGTCCCTGGGACGAAAGCTTCAGGGGATTGTTGCAACACAGACCTTTTCTGAGAGTCACCTACCCAGTGGTCCTGTTAGCTGTCTGTACCCAGACTGGAAGCTCAAATGACAGCGGGAGTTTAGTTTTTGTGAATTTGGAAATGATTTGTTCTGTGTTTTGAACAACGAGATGATGTTAAACTGGGATGAAATCAGTAAACTAAATGTTTAGTCTCCTCGCTGTTGGCTCTGACACATTCAGAATCATTACCGCTTTTTAACAGGCGACTTATAAAATGTAGATATATGTATTTAAATTAATAAATTAATAATAGAAACATGCAACAACTATTCTACTATTGGATTTATTTAACAACCACTAGTCGACTAGGAAAATAGTTAATTAGGGACAGCATTCTTAAAAACGCCAGACCTGTTATATATTTTCTTAAGCTGTGTACCTTAATGAACTGAAATGTTAACAACTCTGTAAAAACCCAGAGAAATCTGTCATTTTATTCCAGTAACGGTGGGTTTCCTACATACCTCTAGTCGCTCTAACTCCCCGGGGAAACGAAGAACGTGACAAAACATAACATGAATGATACTTTGGAGCCTGGAGCACTTTATACTTTATGTTTTATCTTTTATTATGCTGTATCATGTTTGTCTACTGTCTGAGTTGTTTGTTGTTCAAATACTTTTTGCCTTGTCTCGTACAAGAGATGTTCATCAGTAATAGTGATTATTTAACAATGAAGACCACAACTCATCACGTCTTTTTTGTATATGAAAGGCAAATAACTATTCAATGTGATGGATTTTCTTTCTTAAAATAACTTTCATGTCTGTGGAAGTTTTCTTTCGATTTTCAATGCAGCTTTTCAGATTAAAAACCATCAAAGTTTAGAGAGACTGAAATCAGCTGCAGCGCGAACACGGCCAAAGAACACAAAATGAGGAAGTGATAAGGAGTGAAAATACTGGAGGAGGTAAAAGGGAGGGAGGTCAGGGCAGGGTGAGGAGGAGAAGAGGTGTGTTTGGAGAGGGGGAGGAAGAGGAGGAAGACAGCGAAGGTCAAAGAAAATGAGAGAGAGATTGAGGAGCGAGGACAGACCACCGCTACAGCCCACCCACACTGCGCACGCACACACACACACACACACACACACACACACACACACACACTGTGGTCAGAGGTTCACCTGCAGTTCACGTTGACCATAACAACACCCCTGAGAAAGGGAGCAGAAGGGAGAACATCAGATGGACAAGTAAAGGAAAAAAGAGAGATGAGAGGATGGGAGTTCTGTGGTATCGGGAGGGACGCGGAGAGTGGAAGGAGGGAGGAAACGAGGGAGAGGTGGGACGGCTGAGTAATAATTTAGGGTTGTGGGAGCTCAGGAGAAGAGTCGGTTAGAGAGTTTTCGGTCCGACTTCTGCAGACGTTGCGGGTTCGCACCAAGGTCAGTGAACTTAACACACGTGTAATCTACATACTTACTTTTTACTTTTCTATTTAAGTCTTTATCTTAAATACACACAAATATACCTTCAACACACGCGCATCAGTCTCTGGGAAAATGTATACTCAATTGCAAGAAAATAAATGCTTTTTACACCACTATAAGTGTATTAAACTGTGGTGTAGGTAGATTTTAATCTGGTTTTTACAACTTGGAATGGAACTTCACCAAACCAATGCAATTTAAATGGAACTTGAACCGAAATTACCAATCATGGCGCCAACTAAAATGATCCAATACTCCCTCACTCATCAGGAAGTAGAGGACTAGGTTGGAGTAATAATATTGGAGCAGAAATAATAAAGGAAGAGTGGAAACATATTTGTTTACACTGTCAAGCTTTAAGGTTCAAACTACTGTAATATAATTTGTTAATGAGAACTTGAACTCAATGTTAGTTACATTAGTTTTCTCCAAACATCCCTGAACAGTCTAAATGTGATGAAGGGACTTCATGGGAAAATCTTGTTACCAGAGATTTTTGAGGTTTATGATTAATGATGATCTTTCTTTGTGTCCCAAGTTATATTTATTTGGTTTATTTCCTACTGTATGTCAGTTGTGGGAACCGTATTCTTGAAAAATACTCCAAAGATTTCTCTTAGCCAGTGGCTAAAAGGACTTTCAAGTTAGTTATCTATGGGAAAATTAACATTTGCATTGAAAAATCTCAGGCAAGTTTTGGACTTTCTCTGTTTTCGTAAGTGGATATTTAGACATTTATTCTCAATGGACATCTGAAAAATTGAGAATTCAATGATTAAAGATATTGTCATTTACAAAGCAGGGTTGTAAAATTAAACTTAGATATTGTTCATGCTACTTAGTAATTTCTTTATTTCTATGACTTATCAATCCATTTTTAACTAACTTGTAAAATGAAGTGCAGAGGAAGAATAGCAGTTGTCTATATATTCAGATTTGATTGACTTTTGAGGACAAACCTTTTTCCTTAATCGCCTTGAGCGTGATGTTTAAGGACCAAAGTATAAAATTGAATTAATGATTCGTAGCTGTTATTCTAATTCTAACCAATATTCATACTGGTCTAAATAAATTTGTATCATCTTTGCGTAATTAAAGGTCTGTCCCAAATATAAGCAGGTTGAGTTTAGTGATTGAAGTAATCTCGAGGTAGTCTTACTAATACAGAATCATGTAAAGAAACACACTATTTGCTAATCAGAAATGCAGTTTTATTGATAATACACATAATGCAGTGCACACAGTATTGCTCTTTGTAGATAAGAAGTCAAATACACATTGTGTTTAGAATACATTCAGTCTGTGCCTCCCAGAAAATATCACCAATACTGGCAGTCATGATCAACCACCATTTACTGGATTTAAAACCAGTTTCACCAAGACATGTGTCCCTACATGTTTTGTTTAGTGCAGTTTCATGGCATCGGGAGTTTATTACAGTCAACAGCAGAAGGATGCTTGTGTTTAAAGCTGAAGCGTAGTGCAGAGTATTTCACTTTTAACACAAGATAATGGAAAGAAACATATTCTGAACGGAACTCTGAGTTTCACTTCTGGCCACACCCCTATCAGTGATGTCACAGCAGGTACTTTGCCCTCTGCAGCTGATGGAAAATGTGTTGTGACATCACTGATTGGGGTGTGGCCAGAAGTGAAAGTTGGCTAAAAGTTTCAACCTATCAGAGATCGGTGCAGCAGTAGATTTTTCCCATTTAATTCAGTTACCATTTAAAACATTTAAACATTAAAGTAATATTTGCCTTTACTTCCACAGCAACAGTGCTTTAAGCTTTATAAAGGCAACTGGAATATAAAATACCCAACTGATCTCTGTATAGTTTCATGCTGAGGCACTAGTCAACATTTCAGCAGCAGCAAGTGTTACTGTATGTCCAGGCGGCAAAGCTAAAGGCACGTCACATTTACTTACAGCAATAACATCGGGCAAAAACAGAGTCAGAGTCAGTGTTTTACAGACAAATTTGCAGTACTAAGGCATTTTTGGAAAATAACTAAAACAATCACTGAAAACAGCAACTGACAACAGGATTGTCTAAATAAAGCTTTTTCCATTTTGAGGCCTGTAGATTTACATCAGCAGGATGTTTAAAGCTCTTTCAAATATATAAAACTATTTTGATATACTAACACAAAACAGTCTTAACAGGCATCAGAAGCATTCAGACTCAAAGCACTGGGAATTTTTTTTTTTTGCAGAAATTTGATCGTATTTACATATTTAGCCTGAAGACAACAAGCATGGTCTATATGACTAGCCTATTTGGTATTTATCGTTAAATGTTTCACTGATTCATCTCCAAGTCAAACTGTCACCTATTAGCATCAATTTGTTTCATCTAAGAAACCTGGGAAGTTTTCTTCGCCTTGTGTATGAAGACACCTTTTCAGCAGGTATTAGACAAAAGCAGGTGGTAACATTCATTCTTCAAAACTTAAAGGTAATTTCTTTTAACGTAAACAGCTAGAAGAACCACACAGAAAGGTAACCTGAAGCACAAGATGCCAGCTGAATACATAAAATAACAAATAGGCCTACTTTTTTTTTTAACTGATATTAGAATGAAAGCAGGACTTGGATGAGTCCTAAAGGCAGCTATGAAACACTTCCCACAAGAACTTACAGTGAATTTTAGTGTCTCACAGACAACCAGCTTTGGTGTATTTAACGGCCAATGTCCAATGGATTCGGCTGTGGCACGTTCCAGTTGAGTCTCTTTTCGTCAGCACTTCAGCGCTTCTTTCTTGTTTTACAAGCATAAATACACATTTGCAGCTCTAGATGTGGTAACAGATGCCTTGTGGCTGCACTTCAACTTGACAACCTTTCTAACTGTATGTGATCTGTTATTTTGAATATGAATTTCATGCTCCAGAGACACATGCTGCTCTGGAGAAAAGAAAACAGACCCAGCACATGAAGATAGCAGAATGTCGACAAGAGCCGGTACATTGCCACACCAACTGGAATGGTAGAAGATCTCCAGCAGCCGCAGCACAACCGGATCCAGTGAGCAGTGGTGGCAAGGTTCACAGTGTGCCTCTTATCTGTTAACCATGGTAATTAGAGTAAGGACTTAAATTGAATTGAATTTAACTTAAAATAGGAAGTTTCTGTAATTTGGCCACTGGACCACTAGTAAGAATTGCTTACACTCAAATAGAGAAGCCAAATAGTGCGTTAAGTCAACTTAGACCAGTTTAGCGATACTCTTAATCCTTGAAAATAACCAAGAAGCACTTGATCCAATTCATCTGAGTTAGAATGTATCTACTTGGGACGTTTTTTTTGTGTGTTCTGCAAATAAATACATGTCTTTTCATTCAGTTTTTGTGAACCGTCCAAGCAAAATTCACAGTGGTTTCATAGGAGCGAAAATGTAATCTAAACTCTGCGGGAAACAACTCAAAATAAAAGATTTTACGAGCACAAGGAGACAAATGTTGACATCTGATAGCGGGCAAGTTTGGAAAGTGGAGCAGAACTAACTGGATCCTGGACTAAAAATCTTGACTGATGCTCCAATTCTGATTTTTTTTAATATGTTGTTAACTGACTTTCAAACTCCAAAGGAGGTAAATTGCTGTGATATATGGCGAGGTTAGCGGTGTGGGAGTTAAACCCTCTCTGACCTGGCAGGACGACAGGTTGCCAAACCTCTGTCCAATAAATAAGCTCCTTGTGAGTCCATGTGACTCTTGTTTACAAGACCAGGTTGGCTCGTAATTGGCTGGTGTGAACTTAAAACGAACCAAAAGGGACAACGTCAACTTTTCCACTCTGGTGCGGACCAAAGCAAACTAACCGAACACGTGATCGAACCTAACAAAAAAAACTAAAATCGTTAGACTTTAGAAGGAACCACTGAGAGGAAAGAAGGTGCAAAAAATAAATAAAAGAACAAGAAAGTGGAGTTAAATCTCTCTCTTTTTGTCTTTTTAATTACGACTTGGTTCATCTGTGTTGTCCACCCTTGTTTCCCTTTAGTTTCTTTTTGCTTTCTAAGTCAGACACACACACACACACACACACACACACACACACATTTATATGTATAAACATGTACTGTACTTCAGGAAATCCCATAGAATCTGGGTGGATTAGGCCCTCTCGTCTAATCTTTCCTGTCCTGACGTTGTGTGTGTGTGCGTGTGTGCGTGCGTGTGTGTGTGTGTGGATCAGGATCCCAACCCTTGCCTGACCTTAACACACACTCACAAATGTCTGCAGACGCACACATACATAAAATACTGTAAATGTGTGCACACAGAGAAAATGAGAATGCAGGTTATGTACACGACTCAAGTTCTTTGTTAAATTTCTTCAGGTCTGTACGCATGTGTGTTTGGATGTGGAAGTCTCATGTTGTGGGGACATAAATCTGTTTACGCACTCACATTGTGGGGACCTGCCATCCTTTTGGGGACATAACACAAGTCCCACAAGTAAGTCTTTTAGGGTGAAGACTTGGTTTAAGGTTAGGGTAAGTCTCCAGGAAATTTATGTAAGTTAATGTGATGTCCTCTGAAGTTATGGGTGTGTGTGTGTGTGTGTGTGTGTGTGTGTGTGTGTGTGTGTGTCCTCCTTATCTGCCAACATCCATCTATCTAAAAACATCCTTTGCACTAATAAAGCTCAAACCCGAAGATCAACAAGAACAAATCCCTGACTTAACCCACTGAACCCTGAGAGTGCTGAAAGACTGGAGGGGGGGGGATGACGCAAAGAGCAAAGGGAAGGAGAGTAGGTAAAGGGGGAAAAAGACTGAGAAGAAGGCGGAAGAGGAAGAAGGACAAATGGGGAGGATGGGAAGAAGAGGAGGAAGAAGAGGATTTGACAGAGTACAAGAAAACGATTTGAGACAGGGAAAAGGAATTTGAGGATAAAAGGAAGAAACTGGGAAAAAATGGGAGATGGAGGACACAAAGAGCAGAAGGAAGAAAGGAGGAGATAGAGGATGAAGAAGAGGAGGAAGGATAAAGGGAGAGTGGGAAGAAGAGAAGGAAGGATAAAGGGAGAATGGGAAGAAGAGGAGGAAGGACATAATGAATTAAAGTAGGAAGATGCAAAGAAGAGGAGGAAGAATACGGGAAACAAAAGAGAAGAAGGAGCAATGGGGAGGAAAAAAGGAAGAAGAGGAGAGGAAGGCAAATCAATCACAGCTTTGATTTTTTAAACACTATTTTTAACTGCTGAGAGATAACATACGTGACCTATTGATTGATTACACACACACAATAAATCACAGCCGAAAACACAAAAGCCGAGATTTCTGACTGCACTTGAAGGCAGCACGCGAGATGATTCAGAGGGAATAAGATCCCTCTTCTCGCTTTGAGGTTCTTCTTCATAAAGACTGCATTTTCAGAGCGATAAAGTTTGACAGTTTGAAGCCGCCCAGTCACCGTTGCCTGACCTGACTTTGCCGCGTCGAAGAAACAGACACAGCAGGCGGTGAAAAGATCAGAAGTCACAATCTCTGATTCTGTTTCAGCTTTTTTAGAACGTGGCGGCGTTTCCCGACGGGCTTTTAAGCTCCTTCTTCTCTGCGTGAGGGCAGACGAGACGTAATGAGGGATGAAGGACTTGACGGAGGGACGTCGGGAGACCCATGCTAAGATCTGATGATAAGTTTGGAAATGCATCCGGTAGAGTAAAGCAGCATTTTTTTTTCTGATGAATGGAGAGTGACGCATGAATTTAACAGTAAAGGCACCAATGGACACACTCACACACACACATACGTCATTTCAGAGGCGTTTGAGAACCCTGGGCACTATTGCTAATCAGGTCTGTCTGTACAAAAGAGGGTAAACTTATCTGGAACACAGTTCACAAGTTCATCGCTGCAGTTTTCATTCCCTCTGAACAACTTCAGCAAGTTTTAAAGACTCAAGAAAAAGAAGAAGAAAAAAAAAATTCAGCCTTATTTCACTTGTAGGAAGTTGTTCTTCATTGTGTCAGCTTGTTTCTCCTTCTTCCATCGTCACTCTGCTGCCTTGGCCGGTCCAAACGGTCCCACCATCTTCATGGCAGCGTAGTTCTGTAGGATGTAAAGAAGAACAGTAAGGAGAGAAAAATAAGAGAAGATGGTGGGACCGATACATGCATATCTCCATCCATGTACCATATCAGTTTCACACACAGAGACTCAAACTTACCGGGAAGGAGTAGAGGAAGACGCCTAGGAAGAGGAGGATGAAGAAGAGGATGATGAAGAGGATGATGAACCACTTGAACCGCCTCCACAGGATGTACTTGAGGGTCTTATAGGGGGAGGAGAACCACAGGAAGGAGGTCTCTGGACGACTGGGAGGAGAGAAAAGGATGAGAAACCATATTTGTATGTCGGAGTGTGTGTGTGTGTGTGTGTGTGTGTGTGTGTGTGCGAGAGACTCACTGGGGCTCCTCCAGGTGAGGGTTCATGTTTGGTTCGTCTCTGCCGTTGCCTGCCGGTCTCTCCTCGTGCTCCTGCTCCGTCACGATCTCCAGAGACATCTCCACCTTCCCCTGAAACAGAGACAAAGGGCGCTTGGTGAGCTGACTGCTAACACGCTAGTAAGCCGAGAACACACAGTCACAATAGCTCTTCAAATTTCTTTACTTTGTTTTGAAAATCAAGGATTATTCAAAGTAAGAGCGGATTTAGACTGTATTGGTTTTCTTTGTGTGTTTACTGATGAAGAAATTAGCGTGTTTGTCTGGGGTGTGTTTGATTTACTCACAGCGATGATCTTCTCTCCGTTTTTCTCGCAGGTGCAGGGCCACCATCCTTTGACGGTCTTCTGTTCAAACAGAGACACCAGTCTGTCCGTCGGCTGGTCCAGAAGCTGCAGGTTACATTTCTCAGGAGACTTGGCCGGACGCAGCATGTGGTTCAGGTCCATCACCAGGTGACCTAAAAGAACATTCATAGTACATTCACACAGGGCTGGACCAAAGGGGATCAAATACATATCTGATCTACGTGGCAGACCATCACATGTCCATAAGCTCTTTGTGTGCGATTGTATTTTGGGGCTTGAAATCGAGTGAAAAAAGAATCTCCTATCGGAATTAATAAAGTAAATCTTCTTCTAAAGAAGGTTCGAACGATGGATGGGACGATATTAGCCTCTATACTCTTTTGGGAAACCCAGATAAGTAAAAACCTGCAGTGTCAGCTCTCCGTGTAGCCAGTTTTTCTTAATGACTAATTACTGAGCATGTTATGGGTGAGTCATGGCTGATCCTGTGGCGAAGCGTAGTTAGTACAGTTTTGATCGTTGCTGACGTTAAGTATGGAGGGATTGTGCGTTGATGAAAGACAGACGAGAGACTAGATGTCCACTGGAAGTGTTTTTCCAGAGTTAGCTGCAGTTTGACAGCGCGATGGTAGGAAAATGGCTCGTGTCTGACCCTCACACCGTGCAGGAAGATTAACAGTCAGCGGTCCGAGCTGACGAGCTGAAGACAGGCAGGAATGGAAAAAATGCTTTGAGGTGGCCACACACCCGCTGACTGTACGAGGCGAACAAACTCGAGCGAGAGAAAACGCCGCAGCGGAGCGAGATGGTGACAGACAGGAACAGGATCAGAGTCTGGATTCCTCATCTTCCTCCTCCTCCTCCTCCTCCTCCTCTCACACCGCAGACGCACACGCTCAGTCGCTACAGACCGTCATCCTCCCTTTCTTTGGCACAGGAAAGAAAAGATGAAGTGAGGCAGGGGGAGTGAAAGAGGAGAGGCCCGGCGGTGAGTTATTTCAAGGGCCGGGGCTGTGGGGCAGCGTCAGGGGTGAAGGAAAGGCAGAATTTTGACAGCTTGAGTTCAGGAGCAGAAAAAATAAAATCAGCCCTTCCTCTCTCTGAAATGTGCCAACACAGTGGAAATGGAAGAGCGTTAATTCTAAAGATAAATGTTATCGCAGTAGTTTGTCTGTAGGCACATCGCACATGTGGTTCCCCGGGCGGATTTACCACCTAATCCTCGGCCAAAAATTAGAGAAAAACTGTCTAAACGTCGTTCCCAAAATGAATTAACTGTATTTCTACAACCGCAAGGCTGGTTTCTGACTTACTTTGATAGGTAGTAATCTAGGAAATATGGATCCATACGACTATGTTATTGTTTTAGAATAAATTTAAAACTTTTACTGTTATGATCCCTGAATCTCCTCTGTTACCCCTTTACTGCAATTACGCTGACAAAACTACAAAGTACAATCATTTAACACGTTTTAGTTAAATATTTAACTGTGCAGTTCCAAATTCAAGCCAAAAAGGGCCAAAATTCTGCTTTAGAGATGTTTTTCTTGGAAATATTGTGATTAAAACTGTAAAAATATGTGTATTAGACAGTGATTTTGTTTAAAGATTATTCAGGTTATAAGAACTTCAACAATTCTAGCAGAAAAAATATATCACTGACTTTCTTAAAGGGTCTAAACAAGCGAAAAAGAAAACTGAATAAAGGTCAGCTGTGTGTTTCGGAGCCGCGTGTTTTACCAAGGTAGTCGTCGAAGGAGAACTTGTCATTGTCCCAGACCTGGATGGTCAGTCTGGGGGCCAGTTTAGTCTCAGCTTTGTCCATACTCCAGAAGTGTTCCTGCAGACACACAGAGGGCAATAGAATAGAGATTGTTTTAACACCAAGTCCTGTCGTTCTGTGATCTACATTCACTCAAAATGTGCTTCTAATGCCTTATGTACACATATATTTAAGGCAACTTTTGCACTTAAGCACTTCTGTTCTGTCAGGAGATGACTTTAAATGCTGTGGATTAGGTGCTCTAACAGGGCAGAATGAGGATATGTGTATTCATAGATGCACACACACACTCGACCAGTTCATTTTCTTTGTGGACCGACTGACAGAGCGAGAAGTTGAGCTGCTGGTTGCAGCTAAACAAAGTTTCCCCACCTTGAAACGATTATGGAGACACAACAAGGAGCAATCATTTGTCTTAGAAGCAAACAAACATGTGACAAAAGCAACCCTGTTTTCATAATGACATTGTTGTGGCATGATAATACCTGCCAGGATTATGTTCAGAGACAACACTACATTTATGTAACGTGGGGTTTGCATTGTGACCTTAACTGTTAAGATCGTGATTTTGGTTGAATGTTCCTAAAAAAATCTCATGTCTCAAGTCACTGCTGTAGTACACATTGCCTATTTTCGAGGAAAAGGTACGTTAATTAACAAAATTTCCTTATGATGTTAATAGAAAATGTAATTTGCTTTGCCTTATGTTGCACTCTAAGGGTATTTGATGTTAGCAAATTAGTTTATAAATAATTTCTAGGAGACGGGCTGTGATAAATTATGGTTAATACAAGAGATATTGTCATTTTATATATATATAAATATATCTGTACATACAAATATATCTGTACATACAACACCTTGTGTCCTTAGACCATCATTGTCGCTTAAATCTTTTCAATTAAACCTTGACCAAAGTTTTAACCCTCATCCATAACAAAGTGTGTTATGGTACATAAAGATTTAATCCAAAAAAATGATTTAACACTACTTAAAATGTGAGTTCATGTTTATTGATAGTGTTCTAGAAGAATGCTTAATTACCTTTATCACACTTTATCACAGCATTCAGACAAAAACCAGTTTCTAAAACCTCTTCTGAAACCATCGGCTCATCTCTTCGTCTCTATTCTTTCTCTGCACTTCTCGACGAGACGGAGGCGACGCTCTGGGAAACATGTTGGGAGGCTCCTTTCAGTTTGGAGCGGCACTCCATCGACACATCTCTCACTACATCACCACTTCCACACTGGAGCTGTATGTGTGTGCGCCCGTACGCGCTTTCTATCTGAGCACACACGTCTTTACAGGTGCAACCATGTGTGTGTGTGTATTAGACCTATTATCGCCTCTGGTAAACTCACACTAAACTGCCAGACAGTATCTGATCCTGTCTCACCTTTGTGCTAATGGGCTTCACTCTGCAGCTGCTGCTCTCTGACTCTCATCTCTTCCTCTTTCCATTCCCTCAGTTGTCCTTTTTTCAATCTATGTGCGAGACTCTCTCTGGCTGTTGGTTAGTTGATAAAAAAATATGGCTTTTCACACCTGAAATAAAATAGGTCCCCTGTGATCCGCAGCAAATGTCAATACGTCACTGTAACCTTCCTAAAAATACTCAGCGAGGAGATTTTTCCACAAAGCAAAGGGCTGCACTTGCCAATTTCGCACATCCGGAGCCCAACTTTTCTGAATTTTATGGACTTTGCTAATAATCAGGACAGGTGGTGATCGATTTATAGCAAAGTGAGGAGAGAGAGGCTTCTGGAAAAACTTTAAAAAGTGATTTTTTTTCTCTCTTTACGCTGCCTCTTCTGTCTCTGTTTAAGAAATTCGATTAGTGAATTTTAACTCCATTGGGGGAATCCACAGTGTCTCAATTAGCAGGAATGAGAATCTCTATCTTGATTTACACACATTGTTGGCCAATCTACACTATAATGCGATAAGTTATTTTAAATGGACTACACTGAAAATTTTATGTAACACAAACTCGGTTTTTTAAGTTAAAAAGACTATTGAATTTATTGGTAATTGTAAGTGACACTTACTTAGTTTTGGAAGTTACAGAAACATTCCCAACCCTCATGGGTTTTACAAGACACCACAAATACAGTTGCAGTGATCAAATATTTCATTTCAATACAAAATTACAGATTATTGATTATTAAACCACCTAAATATTCTACATTCTCTCAAAAGTTTGGCAGAAAAAAGTTTGCAGAAGCACAATTCAAGTGTTTCATAATCATCAAGCAAAAAGAAATCATCTTGCATGGAGGACATTTTACTAAAAAGTACATCCCCTTAAGTCCTCATAGACAGGACATGTGAAATATCTGCAGGAAAACTGAGTTTAAGAGATGCAGAAATTCAACACCTATCACCTTTCCAGCAACCTTACCGATGTAGTTCAGGCGGTATTAATCCCTTATGTTTACTGTACCAAGCAATCACAGAAAAAGGCAGAACAGATTCAATAAAATACTTTTCCTGTCCACAAGAACGTTTAACTCCTTAAGGAAGTACAAACGTTGCTGGTGCACCGGCTGTTTAGCCCGATGTGCCTGCTGCGATGTGTCTCTGTCTGATCGGCCCCTAACTGTCACATTAGTATTTAAAATCACAACTCTTAGGGCCACAGTTCAGGCTGTATGTGCTTCCTCCTGGCTCTTCAGGTGAGAAATTAAGTGACACAGAAAACTCTTGAGCAGGACAGGACTATTCGCAGGTTGCTGGAAGTAAGGGTGCTGTGGGGGCTGCAACATCCCCTAAAATATGGCATAATGAAAAAAATGTTTAAACTTGAATTTGTCCTTTTTTACTGGGATTTACACGTACACACTGATATTTATGGCAGGAAAGTTGTTTTACCTCGTTTTTTTTTAATCCCTTTTAGCCACCGAAAATAGGCTATAAATTACCGTGGCTTCAAATGAATGCAAAAAGCCATGGATTCCATGCATTTAGCATTTAGTTTGATGCCATTATATAGACTGACTTCCTCCCAACACCCCCAACTCTGACTTCCAGCGTCCCTTGAACTTTTATGTGCTTCATATGGCGTGTTGTTGCGATTTTGAATCTCACAATTCTGACTTTTTTGCTTAACAATACATCCGATTCTTGCTCTGTGCGTCTGTACGTTTAAATGACAAATGGACTCCTCTCTGCTGTGTGTGTTATGACTTCACACCGACTCTCTAGATCAGAGTCTAAATCCACATCATGCTCTCACACTTCATAACGACACACGCAAACACTGAGAGTAAACACACTACACCCTGTGTGTGTGTGTGTGTGTGTGTGTGTGGCTGCTAAAGCATGTACGCATGTCAGTGTCAGTGTGTGTGCGTGTCTCACTTTATCCACAAACTCGGTCCAAGCACATTAAGCTATCACTCCGCAGCTGTCACAAGCAGGGGTGGGACGCTGTACTCCAGTGTGTGTGTGTGTGTGTGTGTGTGTGTGTGTGTGTGTGTGTAACTGCTCTCTGCAATATCTAACAACATCAATCAACTTCCTTTTTGTTGCCAGATTGCTAAGTACAGAGTCTTGTTCAGTCTTCTCCCTCATTTCCTCCATCCATCTGTCTCCATCTCGCTTTCCCCCCCTCAAATCAAAACGAGCTCTAAATGTTATAAGTTATTGCCAAAATCTTAATTACATATTGATGAATCCAATGAACATGTGCGTTCTAATAAGAAACAACTAATAAGTGGGAAACAATTATCTTGGGCTTACATATTAGCTTTCTCACGCTCGCCTCTTTTTGTTTTTAGTAGTCAGTTGTTTTTAGTGATAAGGTTATAACAGATCTGCTCTTAACTACCAGCCCTGCAACAGACGGACAAACATAGCGACTAGCGGATGAACACAGTGGACTATTTCTCAGCTGAAGAGGCAGATATTTTACTGAGGAGACCAAAAACTCCAAATGAATTTTTGGGCTTATATAGAGCGATAATATTATGTATCAGTGTTGTGTTTTCAGTTGATAGTGCTGCCCCCAAGTGGCCAAAAATCTGTTTATGTAGCTCTAAACACTTAAACACTTTCCTTTTCTGTTGATTCTGGTGGCCCCTGTGGACAAAAATGGTAGTGTTTCCACCGCCTCGTGTCATTGATTTCAGGAAGAATCTGACTGTATCAGCCTATATTTATAATTTGCACACATTAATAGGGAGTGTGATTGTGTTATGTCCATGATAGCATCTGTAGCAGCCCTTTCACTGTCAGTCATATTATGTGCTTTCAACATGCAAATGAACTTACAGTATAAAACAGTATAAATAAATTAAAAACTTTTAGAGGTCCAACGTATCCAAAACCTCCTGAGACGCCTTAAATGTAATCCTTTGTTTAATGTATGAATATGCCTTGAAGAACACAAGTTGAGTCTGAGAAGTCTGAGACTGAAGGTAAAATTTCAATTTAAAACAGAGCTCAGAGGAAATAATTAGAATTGTGGGGAAAAAACACACTTTTCTGAGCTGAACTAATCGAGCTGACAAAAGACAACAATTGTGAGCGTTGATAGTGTTGTTGATCGGCCCCTGTGACTCACTCATTATATCACCGACCGCTGAGGTTTCTGGCATCATAAACTCCGCTTCTGGCCCCAGCTCTGTTTTGGTGTAAAAGCTCTCCACCCAGCAGAGTTTTTATTTAAAACTCCCTCTCGTCTTTTCAGCCGCTCGCTGATTGAGGATGCTGCTACGAGCGAGCGAACGCCGTCGTAAAACATGTCGCCCCGCGGACGGCTAAAGAGGCTCGTTCTCACGCCAAGAACAGCAAATGGCAGCCGTGGTGTTATTCCAGTTTTCGGGGTGGTGTTATTTTAGCTCTTCACTACATGTTTCTGTTGAGTCTCAGACATTCAGCAACATCTAATTCATTCCTCTTTCTTGTAAAAATGCCACTTCATTATTTTTGTTAATTGCAGGCCACTGTAGATTATTCAGGGGGCAGAAAGTCTGTAGACCTTCTGCTTTGATTTATTTACTATAAATCCAGCGTCAATAAACATTGGAAATGACACAAATACATAATAACACAAATTATTTAGCTTATTTTATATAAGAAAATGTGTCTTTGCTTTGTTTTAAACATTTCAGGTCCATTAAAACTTGATTTCCATTGGACAGTTTGTTAGAAACTTCTGAAACTTGCGATCTTTGAACTTTAATCATTTTATTTTCTATATTTTTGTAAACAAATTGAACGATAAGAGCAAAACAAACGTGTTTGTGAAGACTTAAATCTTTAATAAAACCCCTCACTAATAAACAAGTTTATCTTTTTAAAGGCTCATTCATTTGTTTTTACCCAACTTTACTCAAGCAATAGTAAACAGTCCATTTGTTGAGGACTATTTTCAGCGGCGGATTAATACACATTTGGTGCTCTAGTGAGTATTTGGGGCAGCAGGACGGCGTGTGAAAAAAATAATACAGTGTTTTCATGGTAATGAAAGTGAGTGTGACTCATTAATGTGCTTTTAATAGTTTTTTGGACATAATGGAGCTCTGTGTTCAGAGTAACTAAGTACATTCACTCGAGTACTGTAGTGAAGTTTTAGGTACTTAAACCTACAAAAATGAGTTTAATACCGATGCCTTTATATGACCTACATTAACAATATAGTTATTCTTATTGCCTGCCACCAGGTCGGTTTCCCATTGAAATCAATGAAACGAGGTGGTAGAAAGGGGCTGGTAATACTGTTGCAGGACATTTATTTTCTAATATTTGATTTAATTAATCACTCTTTCCTTCCTTCGTTGTTTGATATCTCTGCTACAGAGTGTGCGACAGGTGACAGACAGACAGCTCCTACCTTCCTGTCGACCACACACAGCTGCTCTGCGGGTAAGTAGTGGAAAGGAAACAGGAATCTGTAGTTGAAGTTTCCCTCGCCGCCCAGGGAGCGGTAGTGGACGTCGGTCTTCAGCTTGTTGTGTTCGTGTCCGTCGAGCCAGCTGAGAAGATTTCACAATCATTTTATTGATCAGCCACAGCGAGCTCATTGATATTTCTTCTTAAAGTAACGGTATTGATCAACTGCCTCCTCTTACCCTTTGATGTAGATGTCGCTCATTTTCTCCCCACTGATGCTGACGTCATCCAGGAGGACGTCGCTGGTGTTCCAGATGATACAACGCAGGAAGAACCTGAACAAGAATCAATTACTGATGTATATACTGGTGTATTGATTACAGTTATAGTCATTACTCCATTATTATGTGACAGATACAATATCGAAGGACTGGCTGATCAATTGATCGATGGATTGAGATTGTAAAACTAACTTACCAACTGCTTAATTAATTGACTAACATTCTGATTGAATGATTAGTTGATTGATTGACTGAATAATATCCAACTGAACCGACATATTGGTGAATGACTCACTAAATGATTGATTGATATACTGATCGATTCACTAACATATTGATGGATTGGTTAACATCTTGACCAACTAATTAAATATCTTCCCAAGTAGTTTGCACACTGATTGATTGCTTGACATACTGACTGATTCATTGATTACTTGACTGACTGATTGAGAACTGAACCAACACAATAGTTGATGGACCATCTGATTCACTAAATGATTGATTGATACACTTATTGATTTACTGACTAAATTACTGACTGATTGATTGACATCTTGAAACGACTAACCCAGTCATTAACACACTGATTGATCAATGGACTGACTGATTGACATACTGATCCACTAACTGACTCACAAATTGAATAACTAATTGACTAACTAATATTCAAATGTGTTCCCATTGATTGACTGACTGACTTACTGACATTCCGACTGATGGACCAACTAATTAATTGATCGACTGATTGATTGGAGCGTGTGACCCACAGAAAAAGATCTCATAACAACTACAGTACACTCGATGTGTGTGTGTTCCTACTTCTTAGCCTTGCGAGGCGTGACGTTGAACGGGGGTCCGGGTGGTCCCAGGGACTTGGGGAACAGGTCCACCCACATCATCAGACGACCCTGACGGACAGCACCAACAACCAATCACAAGACAGAAATGGACACGGACAAAACTCAACAAAAAGCTGCGAACAGACAGTCGAGGAAACAAACGGGACACAGATTTGATCTGACTGAGAACTGAGTGTGTGTTACCTGCTCTATGTCAGGTTGCAGCGGGCTGTATAGAGGTCTGGTCTCCACGTGTTCGGGTACAAGTCCCAGTTTCCTCAAGATGTGGAGGGACAGTCGCTCCTTAATTGGGCCGAGGTGACGTTTGGACACATTTTTGTCCTCTGAAAACACACACACACACACACACACATGGGCATGTGAAACAGCAAGTCTAGGTTTATGTGAAGGTCATAGCACTCTTTATGTGACTGTTAAAGCTCTCAGAGTGGAGAATGGAAACACAGAATACTGGGTGGACTGGGAGGAGAGTGGTTCACATAGGAATTATTCATTATTCACACACACACACACACACACACACACTCTTAGCTCTTCATTGGTTTCTGCATCACAACTGAATGAGGAAAATCAGTGCTGCTTCCAAGCACAACTAAACTATCAAACTAACGTCAAAAGTTTATGACTGTAAACTTAGAGTCACCTCGACTGTGAGAGGAGAGGAGGGAAAGACTGAGGAGAGGAGACAAAGGATGAGAGGAGACAAATTAAAGCTAAAGTGAATGAAAGAATGACTGAAATGAAATAAAAGAAAAGAGAGATAATAGGAGAAGAAACAAAAGAAGAGAAGGATGATAAGAGAGGAGGAGAGAAGGAAACAAAACAAGGAAAGATAAGGAGAAACAGAGGTATGGAAAGTTGAAGAAAGACCGACAAAGAGGAAGATGAAGAAAAAGGTGGAAGAAAAGAATTAAAGAAAAGGAGAGAAAGGTCTGAGAAAAGGGGGGAAAGAAAAGATTAAAGAAGGATATGTGGAGAGTAGAAAGTAAAGTGTAGAAAAGAAAGTAGAGAGGAAGAGGAGAGAAAAGAGGAGAAACAAACCAGGAGAAACTTGGAGCAAAGTAGATTGAGACAAAAACAAAAAGAAGTGATGGAGAGATAATAGGGAAGAGACAAGGAAAGGAGAGAAGAGTGATAAGCAGGGGAAAAGGTGAATGAAAAGAGGTTGAGGGAAGAATAGAGAGAAGAGAAGATGAGAGAGGAGAAGAAGGGAACAGAGAAAGAGAACAGAAGATGGTGGAAACGGGAGAGAAAGATGAATGAAAAGTAAAGAAACCAGAAGACTGAAACAAACACAGAAAGAAGGGAGAGAAAAAAAGACGGAGAGAAGGTACAAAACAAAAAAATCCGAGGTGGGAGAGGAAGAGGAGCGTGGCCTCTCGGCCAATTAGCGACCACTTTTGACGGACAGCAGGCTGACGCACGGTAACCGCGGCAACTGTGGAAAGAGAACGGCGGCGGCGGCTCCTCGCTAACCGAGAGACCACGATGTTGACATTGGCTCGTACGCACACACACACACGCACACACACACACACACAGTTGTACCATAAATCACCAAAACGACAACCATGACCTTGCATCGCACCAGCCATGGAACATATGTGTGGGTTCAGCGTGTGTGTATGTCGGGGTGAAAATGAATCTTGAATATTTATCTCCTCGCTCCGCTTTTCAGGTGGTCCTGTGGTTTAACTCCCCCCCCCGCCCCCCTTTCCTCCTCCCACCTCCATCCTCCTTGTCCTCCTTTCCTCCCCCTCGCAGCTTATACAGTTTTAGTAGCAGAGGAGGAAGATAAAGACATGGAGAGAAGTCAAGAAGAAGAGGGGAAAGGGGAAAGTGTGGAAGGGGGCAGGAGGAGCAAAGGGGGTAGGTCAGAAATCTACCTGTCTGAAGTCGATTTTTACTTGCCCCTGGTTAAATCTATGAGCAGCTATCAAATAACAAGACCCTCTTAGCTGCCATGCAATTTCTCATGAGTGCCCGATCTGCACTGCACTCTCAACAGAGGAGGAAAGGAAGCGAGATGGCTCACTTCCATCATCAGCTCCAGAAAGAGAATTCTTTTCTGCCACTTCACCGATTGGGCAAGTGATTTACAGGCCCAAAACAGGGCATTTGACTCGCTCCAGGCAAGTAGGCAGTTCTAACTATTTAGCCTTGTAGGGGTAAGAGAAAGAAGAGGGAAGAAAGAGAGTAAAGAGCAAGAACGAGAGACTGGTGATAGGAGAAATGATGAAGGGGCGACCCACTTGCGCCAAGAAGCACAGAACAGATCGCCACTGGCAGGAAGTCAGACAAAGAAACTGCATAGAGAATCTGGTCAATTTTCAAAATAAAATGCAGTGTGCAGATTCGAATTTCACGTGAGATCAACATTGGGGCACCAGACAGGAAGTCAGAGGCAGGTTAGAGTAGATCTGAAGCAGAGAAAAGTTTTGTTTCCTCTTTAAGGACAAAATACACCAGTAAGCAACGTCTGGCAGGCAACCTGCTCTGAGGATGCTCTGCTTCTGAAACGCTCTCAGTTATATTTGAAGATGCACGAATTGAGCCGTGTCTAGTTTAATTTCAGGGTAAACCAGGTTTACATCGAAATTTTTAGAGAATTTTGAGAAAATCTGCACAAAGAAAATACTAATTTTTCTTTTCTTCAACAACAGTTATGTGAATATCAAAAGTTGGTTTATTGAGATAGGCACTAGGTGGCGCCATTTCTCCAGTCGGGTTCTGTTAAACTATTATAAAAGAAGAGAGCGCAACGTGATAGTTCGAAGAGCGTCAGTCAAACCTCAAATAGTGGAAACAACTGTAGGAAATGAGATGGAAATTTTAGTTTGTTTCATATATTAATGTGAGGAAGGTTTCAGCCTCCTCATCGCTCCACACAGATCTGCTGTTTTCATCCCATCAGCGGACGTTTAAGCCTCATGCTTCATGTACGTTATGATTTATTCGCTGAATCTTATTAAACTTTTCATCAAGACACGCCAACTCCTCCACCTCAGGGATTAAAGACTAAAAGCAAAGCTGGTGCGCCAACCCACTTCACCATGTGGAAATTAGTTTGTGCTGATTTAATTGAATGTAAATATGTTCGTTAAGACAGTCTACACCACTAAAGCATTTTGGGAACTGAAATCATGGGGCCCGAAGGTGACACCAGCATTATTTCCTAATCACAAGGCGCCAACTTAAAGAACAACAGCTGCCCAGTTTCCCCTTATGTAACCTGGGTCGAAACTCGTGTGATTAATCGTAAATCTACTCTAGACATACAAAAAAGGATCACGTAAATACCATAAACAAGATCAAATCGTCTAATAATAATAAAATCAAAGGAGAAAGATGGAAGACAGAGGGGGAAAGAAAGGAGCAGCGTGGGTAAAACGTTGAGAGAAAAAGGAGGTGTGTGTGTAGAGTGGGATAAGGGAAGTGAAGGGGGGATTAGGAGGAGAAAGAGGAGGAAAAAGTGCGATGGAGGAGTGGAAGAAAGAGAAAATGAAACAGAAAACGGTTTAAAACTGGAAAATAAAAAGCAAAAGAGAAGAGAGAGGGAGATATGGGTGGAGTGGGAGTACAGTGCAGAGTGATTTATATGCTGTGAATTTACTGAACGTGCAACAACTAAGCACACACTTAAACACACAAACACACACACACACACACGGATATGTGGATGATATAAGTCTGTGCAGTTTGTATTTTCATTAAAGTGACTCTTTTTTAATGGTGGAAGGTCTGATGGAGTCTGAGTCAATCAGCAATGAAGGGCGTGCGTGTTCAGTGGCGCCAGTGATGCTTTAATCGAACTACCCTGCACTTTCCAGCCTCTCACTCTCTCGCTAGTGTTGTTTTCGATTTACAGTGGCTTTAAAGGTACAACACACCACACGTATTATTTCTTTTTTATTCATTTTTGTTTTGTTGTTTCATTGTTTTTGTCTGTAGTTTATATTTTCAAAAGACAAAACAAGTGAGAGAGGACAAACATTAAAATGATTCAATCTACAAAAGTCAATATCTGAGATTATCCCGCGTTCATTTGAAGTGTTTGTCCTCAGAAATTAAAGCTACTTGTGTAGTGTAACTACACACTTTCATCCTGCTAGCTCCCTCACTCTCAAGACCTCTGAACAAAAGCCAGCGGAGCACACTGGGAGGTATTGTGACATTAATTTGGATTTATGACAACACATATTTAGGATTTATTTTTGATGATTTCTGAGTATTTGTCGCTCACCAAGGTCCACAGTGGAGTACTGGTTTCCTCTGAAGTGGACCACGTCTTCTTGGTAGATTGGCTTTGGGAGGTTTCGTCGCTCACACACTCTGTACAGCAGCTGCCTGGGTGTCAGCTGGTCTCGCCACTGGTTTACCCCCGATCTAATGGGCGAGAGACAGACACAGAGACTGTGTGAAAAAGAGAGGGGGGCAGAGGAAGAAACTACTGTCCTGGTTGATCCTAAAAACTAGAGAAATATTGCAATTTAAATGCCATTCTTTAGAAAAAGTAAAAAATAAATAAGATATTTAAAATAATATAAAAAAATAGACAATATTCTTCTAACTCGTTGGATTTTAGGAATAAATGAAGATGTGAGTTAGTTAGCTCAGGCGGTGGTGTCTACTCACACGCAGTAGGACTGCGGCAGGCCACACATGGCCCCATACTTGGACAGGAAGCGATTCTCCAGGTCGATCACTGTCTCTCCGATCTTCTCGTCTCTGGTCAGCATGTCGTGGTCGTACAGCATCACCCGAAGGTCCTTCTCTAGAGGGAGAGAACAGGTGAGCTCGAACATCCTGAAAGAAAAAGGAGACAACAGAATGAAAACAGTCAGATCTCTGATCACGTCCTTCCAGTGCCAACATCTGACATCTCACTTTATGTAAATAATGACAGAAAAATATCATTATGCCTTTCACTTGACAAGACATGACGAGAAGTGACGTGACATTATTTGACAAAGTGTGTATACATAACTATCTGACGTCACTTGACGGGCCATTTTGTGGCGTGATGTGACGAGACTTGTGATGTGATAAGTGTGTGGTGTTTGTGACATGGTGTGATGTAACAGTTTGGGAAATAACAGTACATTTTGTGACGTTAAAGGCTGCAATGTGACAGGGTTCTAAAACATTTTGATGTAAAATTTAGTGATGTGATGCGACAAGGCCTCCTGAACTCCTTTGGGTAGTCATATTGAAAGTTCTAGCTCTTTCTGATTAGAAGACTGTATATTCTGACAACAATCCGTCCCATTTGACTCATATTAGTTCCTTAACTTGAAGCATAATCACATTTTAATAGAGATGCTGTTTTGTAATGTGAGATAAAAATTCCAAAAGAAAAGAGAATACGAAGAAATCTCTTCCATTCCTCTTTATAGCGATATTGTAATGGACTGTATAATGAAAACAAGAGATGGTCTATGTTCAGGTGAATTTGACCTCTGAAGATTTAAACTCAAGAATATAAAAAAAGGTAATGTCGGGAGTTTTCTGTAGGACTGCTCGTTCTGCCAGTCACTGAGAGCAGTTTAGTCTGACCTCTGACGTGCCTCACTCTGTCCTGATGCTGTGATTGGTGTGAGTGTAGCGACCCCTACTGGTGTGAGAAACGAAAAAAAACTCAGAGGGAGAGAAAGACAGAAAGAAACAATGAAGAGAATGAGAAAGAAAAGTGATCACATTGCAACTAAGATATTAAAGAGCGCGAGTTAAACCTGTCAGCTTGTCGAATTCCAGCGTGCAGTCAATCATGCTCTTGGTTTCACTGTACATTATGTGACGTCTTCATGGAAAAGATTGCCTTAGTTTCAACCTGAGTAATGTGTTTAGGCTGGAAATAGAAAATCCACCCATCATTTAACATGTTAAATGAGGATGAGAGTTTTCTGCAGTGTGGCAGCCCCATTTTCTCCAACTAAAACCCACAATTATATGTGACAGGGTTAAACTTAAAGTAAGACCTCAGAGGAGCGCAAAGCCAAAAACCTGCAAGGTAACAGGTGGTTTTCCTTGGGGCCCCAGACTTTCAGGGGCTGGAGGGAACGGAGATACGCACCACTAAAACACCTGGTTGTAGCTTAAACATGACCTCCGCACAAAACCAGCCAAACCCAAGGCCCAAAAATAATAATAAAATAATTTCTGTAGGTTCATCCAGCCATAGCTATGAGTTAATTCCCCCGAATGTTACCAAATGGAGTGTTTCAGTTTTGTTCTGTGAAGTTATTTTGACAAACTGGAGGCTTAAACCACTTCACGGTTTGATAGAAGATACAGATTTCAGTCAGAGGAAATCAGCTTTAGAGAAACACAACATGTACAAGAGCAAAAGACGACACCGTGAGTCATCATTTTACAAAAGAAAACAAGAAAACAGGCTAAATCCAAACATCCACCATCTGAAAATGCAGACTAATCCCTTGTGGACTTTGTTTATATGTTACATGACGTGTTCATATCACGTCTGCGAGGGCGCTGGGGATAAAATGCGATGTGAGATGGACTGGAATCTCTCGGGAACATGCTTGTAGAGTCTACAAGTTCAGCGAAGTCCGAACATTTGGTTTCAGCGACAGTCAGACAGAGAGCTCAAAGGGTGAAGGTTACGTACTTTCCGAAGACAGGGTCCAGAGTGCAGGGGATGTAGTTTTCATGGTCATTTATGGTCTTTTTCCCCAAAGTGATCTTCACGTAGGGGTCACACTGAAAACACAAAGTTTTATTTAGTTTATCTTGGTTTTTATTTAATTTAATTGTTCAATTATTTTTTTCTTTCCTGACCATTACCTCAAAAAGTTGATACAAATTAAGTGTATAATATCCATTAATTCATCTGTCTTATCGTTTTAGCATCCTCAGAATTGTAGTCTATTTAATTTTATCATGAAAGTGTCTCCTCCTTCCTTCCTACCTTCCCGTTGGCGTCTTTGGGCTGCAGACTGTGAGCCTGGATGATGTAGATTCGGACCAAACAGTCCTCGATGCCGTTGGGAGGAAGCTTTCTGAACTGTCTGGGGGGAGTGGGAGTGGAAGGGTCGTCCGGCAGCGGGTAGATCTTAAACATACCCTGATTAACGGGGGTGAGGGGGTTTGTGGGGTCAAAGTAGACAAGATGCAGTTAAAATATGGCTAAACCGATGATTACTTTTATTATCAATAAATAAATCTGTAGATCATTTTCTTGATTAATCGATTAGTTGTTTGGTCAAGAAAATGGTAAAAAATGTTGATCAAATTCAGTTTATTGTCAAAGAGGACTGAAGAAACCTATATTTTTTCTTAAAAAATGACTCAAACCAATTAATTCATTATCAAAATAGCTGGAGATTAATTTAATATTTGACAACAAATCAATTCATCAACTGATTGTTGCAACTCTTAGTTAAAGAGGGGTTGAAATAAATTCAGCTGAAATTAAAAAGTTACAGGGGTGGGTGCTACATAGTGTACCTACACGTATGTGTTCCATCAGAGTATGTAACATAAGAATTGAGGGTAGAAGGGTATAAGGTGAAGGGGTTTGTGGGGTCAAAATAGACACAGTTCAAGTAGATCTACAACAAATGATTATTTTCATTATCGATTAATCTGTCAATCATTTTCTGGATTAATCAATTAGTTGTTTGGTCCAGAAATTGTCAGGAAATGACAAAAAACGTTGATCAAATGTCTAATTTTGTCCACATCCCGATGATATTAAGTTCACTGTTACAAGTCACGAGTCAAAATAAAGAAAGGAAACAGGACTACCAGAAACCAGAAAATATTCACGTTTGAGAAGCTAAAATCAGAGAATGACTCAAACAGATTAATCAATTATCAAAATAGCTGGAAATGAATTTAACAGGTTGACAACGAATCAATTAATCGACTATAATTAGTTAATTAAAAAGATACATTACAGGGGTGGGCGCTAGGTAGTGTAGAAGTATCAGTTATATCGGAACTGGAGAGGATATAACATAAGAAGAAAAGCACTTTTTTTTTTTTACCTTGAACTCTCCCACAACTGAAGGATCTTCTCCTTCATCCTGAGTTTTTCCTCTGTACAGCTTGAAAGTCTTGCAGAAATCTGAGACACCTTCGTAACCCTCGACCTTCTCTAGCTCCCGGTCATACACCTGAGGAAGAGGAGGAGTTTATTACACCCTATTCCATTGTGTTTTGACAGCATTGTTCATGCAACGCTCAGATAAAATGTAAAAGATGGGGAGAGGGATGAGAGGTGGGTTGAAAGACTGTAGACAAGATGATAAAATAAGACAGGAACGAGGGAAGAACGTGCTCTTCCAGCGGTACCTGCCGGCAGTGAATCAGAACAGCAGGAGAGGGAGGCGGAGAGAGGACCCTGGTGGAGGTCTGTATGGCATCATAGCTGATTATTGGCCAGCGTAATTCCACTGGTATTGGATTTAAACTTCAGCCAAAAGCAACTCAACACTATATTACACTCACACTGCAGGGGCGCTGGCACGAGATGAGTGTGTGTGTGTGTGTGTGTGTGTGTGTGTGTGTGTGTGTGTGTGTGTGTGCATGGGTGTACGTGTGAATGTGTACGTGCTGTATCTGGGCAGGGACGTCTATGTGTCAAAAGCACAAAAAGATTCATTCGTTTTCATTAGCCATGTTTGTTTACATCAGTCACACACATTCCCTCATTCTTTTCCTATCATGGACTAATGACAGCTCTGCAGCGAGAGAGCGAGCTGGAAACAGTGGTTCACTTCAGCATCAGTCTAACAAAACAGAAAGTAGCAGGGGAGGAGGGAAAATGAGCATTCACCCCAAATAATTAGCCAATACGTGGAGCCGCAATCTCATTATTTGACGGCACATAATTTTGCTGTATAGAGCTGTCATTACTTATATGATGTACAATTTGTGGTTTCTGTAAGTAATGTACGTAATAAACTGGGATACTGGCTAACTTCTTTTAATTAAACACAGGGAACAATGAGTTAGGAAAGAGCGATGTGGGGGGAGATGAGGAGCACAAGAGGGAGGAGGGAGATGAGAGGAACGAAGGTTATATGGGTCTAAGATTTGGGTGGAGAAGGGGTGAAAGAGTTGGGAAAGCAGGATGGGGATCAGGACAAAGAGAGAGTGATGAGGGGGGATGATGTAAATGAGAGGTCTGGAAACAGAGGTTCATTTCACTGCTCGAACACCAAACCCAGCGCCGAGGGAGAGGGAGACGAAAGGAGAGGGGTTGTAGGGTTGATATATGACATATGCATGAAAACCTCTTTCTTGAAGTAGAAATACATTAATCTATAGCTTTCTTGCTAAGTCACACACCTAAAAGGCACTTTCCCCATAGGCTACTAATATAATAAAACCGGTCATAGTCCAAGGTCAGCTATCACTTTTTGTATTATGAATTTTGAATCCATGAACATTTTATATTTGTAAAACTTTCCAAGAGTTGAAAAAAGCTTCTTTTTTTGTCTCGTTTATTGAATCCATAAGGATACTCAATTGTGAAAACTGCAATTTGCTGTCTTTGCAGGGGGTTATATCTTGTCTCAGTTTCGATGTGTCTTCCGACTCCTAAAGTTAACCTTACACTTAGCGACAGATGCCCACAATCCATATAATATAATAATACTCTCTTCCTAAAGGGCTGAATACTCCCAAACGGACACACCATAACTATTTCAGGAATCCGCTTGGAGGGTGTGTTCTGCACATGCACAGTAGGTCCGTGTCTACCATAGACTGTATAAATAAAAAACATAGTCTCTGTGAAGTACTACAGGTTTCTGAAGAGCAGTTTTGAATCTCAGTGTGGTCGGCTTTGGCTGTCATCATCTTGGCAGTCCTGACTCCACCAAAATTCCCAAAATGGGCAAATACGTGGAGCGTAGGTGGAGCTGAGGCGGGCTGAATGAAGCCTGGTTACTGAAAAGAGCCGCTGGTGACGGCACCTACCTGTCACTCAAAGCTGCCACGGCCTTTAATTATGCATAATTTTTGTAGCCAGCCTCAATTGGCCGCTCAAGAAACTGATATTTCTGCACTTTCGTGTTGACTTCGTTTTATAGCCACAGAGGTTGCTCCTGTAGAGTAAATTGCCGGTACGTGGATGTCTGCACAGAGCCTCTACAACCTCTGAAATTTACATCACAAGGACCCTAGCTGACCCAAGTATAACTCTGGCTTAAAGTAAGAAACTGTAAAATCTGGATGCCGATGGTAAAACGTGCAGGTAATGTTATCCTGCCTGTTATTCAAGACTTTTTCAAGAAGGGTTTCATCATTTGATGCATGATCGTTTGACCCTGTAGCAGACAATGAATGTATTGAACGGGTAGAAAAAGTAGTTCGGATGAAGCTGGGATGTCCCAAGATAGCAAATTCTTGCGGCTTTTCTGGTGAGCTGCTTTCACTCGAGGAAACCGAACAGTTCCTGATCCTGATCAGTCAACCTGCAATGAAGATCAAGATCCTGCTGGTTTGCAGGCTTACATAGAAGTGTGGCTGTTTTGATCAGATAGAGATAGTTTTACCAATCCTGAAGGGATTTTGTAGAGGGAAAGAGATTTTCAAAATGATCTGTAAGTTGATACGCATACTTTGGCTATCTTTACGATGTTGGAGGTAAGGAAGGATCACAAAATAATTTAATAATGGAACCATAACTGTCCAAACTAAAGGTTTTTGATCAGCTCTTGTACCTTCTCTGCACTCCTCAGTTCTTTCCCTTCAAGATTCAAGACATTTAATCCTAGAAAAAAGCTTACAGCTGCATTTATCTAAATGGAAATAGTGACGTATAATAGAAAACAAAAGAAATGATTACTTTTTAAAATACTACTTGTGTAAAGCTGAAGCTGAGGCTGAGGGTGAGGTGGTGAGAGGTGTGAAAGCCTTTTAGAAAGCAGGCAGGATGCAAATTAAGGACAAGTCTGGAAACAGTGGCTCACTGGAACACAACAAGTCCCAAAACGCCCGCACCAAACCAGTACCCGGGTACAAAGCTGGGGAGAAAGTCAAAGGAGGGAGGAGGTGAAATGGGAAGGAGAAAGGTGAACCGAGTCATAACAAGGATAGAAACAGCGGTGTCTTTGTGACAGAAGCAAAACCAACCAATCCTACCAAGAGAGCATTGAGAGGAAGGTGACTGAAGGCAGGAAAGAAGAAGAGAGGTGAAAAGGGGGTGAGCGTGTGGAAGGAGAGGGGTGAGCCAAGGACAGAGGGAGCTTCTGACTGCACTGATGGTGGAGACAGGATATTGAAGAGGACAGTGCAAAGAAGGTGAAGAGGAGGAAAGGATGAATGAGGTGAAATTGAGCAGGTTGAGGCAAGAAAACAGGAAAGAGAAAAGAAAACTGGGGTTTTCAGGTCATGTAATTTCTGGCAGCCATTTTTAAGGTCAACAACTCTTCTTCGTGAATGATGAAAGTGTAACTCAGATCAGTACAGCAGATTTCTGGTTTTATCTAATTAAATTAACATACATCAAATCAATTTCATTTTTAGATAATTTTGGAAAGTTTTAACCAGCTAGATTCACTGCAGTACCTAGCCACCAACATTAGGCAAATCTCAATCTATAGGGGCAAATTTATTCTGTAGATAAAATAACTGAGTATTATTATTTAGTTAGCATTTATCAGTTGTCCATTTGACAGAACAAATACACCTTAAGATATGATGACTACTACTTGCAACAATGTCTAATACTTCATAATAATACAAAAGCAATGACAATGACAGTACCACAACGTATTTGCAACCAAAAGGTTATTTAAAGTGGAAGACCCTACCCTTACCCTACTGTTTTCTTAGTCAAATCTGAACACACTGACATGATATGGATATTTTTAGATTCAATGTCACCTACACACAAGAGGATATTATGTGTGTCCATCAAAAATAAACATGACAATAAATCCACCTAGAAGTTCCTTACAACTCCAGAACGTACAATCATCATGTTTTTAAGTTTCCTTCAGCATCAGAGTAATCCGCTGATAGTTGTCTGTACATCCTCTGATGCGTTGCAAACAGGAATTGCTTAACGTTAATTTGGCACACCTACAGACATAAACTATCAAGAGCTGATTTCTGTTTTTACCTTTTGTCCAGAGGAAAAATGACTTACTTTCTACACTATTTACTTTGACCAGAATTGATAATATAATGAGGTTATTTGCTCAAAAAGTTGATTAATTGGATCAAGCTACTCTTAAAAGAGTATCTTTCCATAACTAGTTGTGTTGTCTTTAGCCATTTCCACTGCTCATTTTCTGGTGGACCTCCATGATGGCGCCATGCAAAACTGCTGTTGCAACTACAAACCTTCTGCAGCAGCAGGAGGGGATGGAAACAGAAACAGAAAGGTGACAGAAAAGGAGGCGTCAGCAAAGTCGAGGTTGAGAGGAAAGGTGAGGATATTAAGAGAGGGTAATTTACTTGGGGTCAGAGCAAGGTTGGAAACTGTGTCAAGGCTGACAGTAGCAACACAAAGACTGTCCAAGGGCAGCGGGGGCAAGAGGAGGTAGGAGGGCGAAGAGAAAGTAGGTGGCAGTATGAGGTGAGAGGAAGGTAAAGGAGGTTGGAAAGGTTGGAAACAGTGGCTCATATCCCTGTGACAGTAGCAGATCTGACTGAAGGGGCTGTGGAAGGAAAGAAAGGAACAGGAGAGTCGAGGAGAGAAGAGGAGGGAGGGAATAAATAAAAAGGAGGTGCTGGCACGGAGTAGGTGGAGGGGAGGAGGCAAGGAGAAGGTTTGAAACTAAGGCACATTGGTCATTTCACTAGTTTCCATCCAACTGTCAAGTGAATTTTGAGCAAAGTTTTGAAATGTCGCAAAAACTCAAAGGCGACTTAGATGTGTTTCCATCGGCAGGGGTGAAACCATTTAATAGGCTTCCTGAAAGAAAGAAATACACCCACTAGATGGCTAAATGGAAAGAGCCCTTAGAGGGTCAAAGACTATTGGGCAAGCTGTTATTGTTCTCCATTGTGCCATTTAGTTTTAGCCATATATTAATGTTTTCGTCTGAAGAAAAAGACAAAAGAAATGTACTTTTACACCAGAGCGTGTATGCCATGGCCTTTTCTGGAACATTTCTGGTAGTTAGAAGGTAATTTTAAAACACGTTTGCATGAGACTGATCTGTATGATGGTTAAAATTGATCAGATTTTTCACAAACCCTTATTTAAAAGCTTTTTCACACCAGTTAAACCATCAAAATATTACTTTTAAGCTCTTGCACAGCCTTTTGTATTGCGTAAAGGTAAGTTTTACAGCGGCAAAAAGAAGCAAAAGCTCTATGAAGGAAGAGAAAGGACATAAATGAAATAGAAAGGACAGAGTTAAAGCTGCTGCACTGATGTGAAATGGCTTTCAAGGGAGAGGTTAGAGGTCTAATTTGAGAGTAATAAAAAAAAAGGACCAAATTCTGACATGATTAGTCATTTGTTTGGGCATCAGACAAGAAGAGTGACGTGTGCTTTGAGTCCCGGTGGAAGAAAAGGTCGACGTTTGGGCCGGGAGAATCGGGATAAGGGTTGAGCAGAGCGTGGGCGATGGCGAAGGGGCTCCTGGGATGACGGGTGAACCGTGGCCGGCCCTGAAAGTACGAGACTAAAGACCGACGTTAATGGTGGCTGACGTGATCCCTCGTTTTGGGACTCGCCAACGTCGGACTGCGAGCCTTGTCTCTGAATCCGTCCCACTGCGGCGTTCCCGAAGCGAATTCAACACGGGTGAGTCATCAGAGTCGTTCGGAAAACGGCCGGAATGTCACGGCGCCGGGCTGCGAGGACAGGGCATGAGAAGAGAGGGGGAAGGATGGAAGAGACGGAATGACGGAGGAGACTGGCAGGACGTCAAAAATGTGATTTAAATGGTGAAGTTTCGGGCAACGAGCAAAACATTGTAAGAAAATGGAACAAAGGGCTTCACTGTCTCCATCTTCTTCATGTTTTCCTCTATCACTCTCATCTCTCTTTGTTTCTGTCAGTTTTTTCATTCTTTATCTTTAGTATCTTCATCTTCTTCATGTTTTTCCCCCCTTTCTCTGATGTTTTCTCCACAGCAGACACACAAAATATGAATTTGGCCTTGATTTGCATTTACAGAAACACACGGATGAAATATTACATCGGTTACGTTACAATTTCTACTGATAAATCTACTCATAATTGTTTAATTCAACACTAATAAATTAATTATGAAATATCAAAAATAATACAATAAGAATGCCTGGAAAAAAGGGGTAAAGGTACTTATTTCATACCAATATAGACTGGTTGTTTTCTTTAGGAGTGATAGAAAACAATATAAAAGAAACATTAAAATAATATAATAACTGTAAATCAGACACAGCATGAAGAGTTGTCTTTGTGCCATAAAGTACACAATCTTCAGTACTTTCCCAAACACAAAACCATCCCTGTTACCTCAATTAGCTGTTACCATCTAGCAATCTGGATTTTAATGAGGTAGTGAATTGCTGGCTTCTGTGCACTCAACCGATGCTGAGTTGAGTATGACTGCAACATACATATTTCATTTAAAAACTGCCAACGTTTTTGTTTTAAATTCTTTCAATTGCATTTGATCTGTTTGTAAGGTGCTATATTAATAAAGATTGATTATCCATCGCCTCCTGTGTGATATATATCTATATATATATATATAGATATATATCATATATCTATATATATAAAGAAATGAGGGTGTGGCAGGATGCTAATTACAAATTGAAGGCGAGCCCCTGTCAGCTGGCGACCCATATATGGAGTTGCTGCAGCGGCCCGGGTTCGAATCCGACCTGTGGCCCTTTGCTGCGTGTCATCCCCTCTCTCTCTACCCACCTTTCCCGTCTCTCTACAGCTGTCTATCAATAAGGCTGACAAAATATAACTTAAAAAAAATAAAATACAAATAATACAGTTTTTTACACGAAAATTTAATCTGTGATATAAAACGATCACTCCCACTCAAATCATATCACAATATCTATCAAAATAATTGCAATAAGACTTTTTGTAACACATTGTGCAGCTCTAGCGTGCACTTATTTTGTAAGAACATTTCTACGTTAGTGGTTGAGAAAATTGCACATAGATTTTCATACGGACAGAAGACACTTTAAACACACCCGCTTACCTTCAGCGTGTCGAGGCCTCTCTCCAGGTACGTCCCATATTTGTTTTTCTCTCCAGTCGAGGCGTAGAATTTACTCCACCAGTCCATGAACTCTTCTTCCTGTTGGTCACATATTCGGAGGTCAGAAGTCAGCAGGTTAACAATAGACTGGAAGTCCTGGAGCTGCAGACTGTAGTTCAGTAAAATAGTTAAATCCATGCATTTAAGCTGTGTACGTTTACCTTTTACAGTTAAAACTCTTGTTATTCTTGAAATGTTTGCGTTGATTAAACTTTATTTTCATACAAACTGAGAAAAATGACCTCAGACTTCATCTCCTCTCTCACCAAAACCTCTGCGGCTACTGAAATGAACTTGTATAATGACCTCTGACCTCTAAAACAACTGAAAAGCCCTGTACTGAGTGCTGTTTGCCTTTGTAGAGCTGCGCAGCACGGGGCTCAGAAATAACCCACTTTCCATGATTTTTCCAGTGATCGCATAGCAACATGGAGTTAGCCAACTCACGTCAACACAAGTAAAAGTTGCCTCTGGTGGCTCTGTGGCATTAAGGTCATGGTATATGGGCGTTCTGAGGCAATGGAAACGAGCAACATCAAGATGGGAACAGGCACAAAGTGGACAAAACCAACATGGACGTCAGAAGATTCATGTTATGGCACAAAAACCAAATATATGTTTATGTATGAATGAAAATAATCCCTCTGCTGCTTTGCTCCGAGCTCTTTTCCATCACTTCTCTGTCGTACATAAATATTCTGCAGGCATAAAAATATGCCGATCAGAATCAGAAATTTTTTATATATATTTATATATATAATATTTTTCTTCTAAGGGGAAGATGTGTGAGGTCAACAGCAGTGACTGGAAGCAGAACTTCTCTACAGGGACTACAAGTTCTCTAAAGTGGACTTCAACTTGTCTGGAGACTGTGGCTCTGACGTTTGCTCTCCTTCGGATCGGGAATGTACTGTATGTGATTCAGAGAGTTAAGCAGAGCTGGGACAACGTCATTGAGAAGACTTAAACTTTGTGCACAAAGCAAAGTTATTATATAGTGAACTAAAACTAAAATTAGGGATGAAAAAACATTTTTCTTTAGTGACAAAAATAAAAACTTGATTTTGGGGAGGGGGGGATGAAAACTAAGTGAAATAATACTGTGTAAATGAACTAAAATGAAACAAAAATATACTGGAAATGTCTTAAGTTTTCAATTTGTCAACACATCAAGCATGAGGAGGATGTGTTCACTGACAGTGGGATGTCTACGTGACTGTGAGTGTTGTGTTTGTGTTGTAATACCCATTAAATATTTCCCCTGACACATCCTGTAAACCCCATATAATAACAAAAACTCTAACTAATACTGAAACTATAAAAATAAAATATTTTTATGCAATAAAAACTAAACTGAAACTGAACTGAAACTAAACTGAACTGAAAGCAAAAAGTAAAAGTGATACTAAAAAAAAAGTGACTAATGAAAAATACAAAAACTATAATAACTCTGAACAAGTCATTATGAGACTTTCACAGTGCAATTTAAATTTAAATCTTAAATCTGCATTTATTACTTTAAAACCAACTTTATGCCATTTAAAAGCAAACTGGTCAGGTGTGTTGTGTTTTAATCATTACTGAACCTGCTGTAGTGGAGCTGATTTGTCTTAAAGTTAGTATGTTTATCCTGCTTCATTTGTTCAGACAGACTAAAGAAACAAATGCTGAATGAAAGACTGCATTAAATTACACAGACTAGCCCAGATGTGGCCTGTTGTAGAAGACGGTGGACATCCCCTAAACTAATATAGGACTGTGTATTGGCAAGAATCTGCTGATATGATACGTATCGTGATACAAGGGTTACAATTCAATATATTGTGATACTGTAAGCAAGCATACGTTGTGATTTTTTAAAATCTAATTTTAGGAAAATATTTCTATGAAAATTGAACAGTGGAATCTGCATTTATAAAACTGCTATCTGGTTGGGTTTGGACACAAATTGATACAATATAATAAACATAAAATGGCCTACCCTAAACACAATGCTGCATAACTTATTGAAAATTCTTGCAAAAAATAACATTTTTAATTAAATTAAAATTAAATTAAAGAGGGGATATGAGACCTTATCATGGCATGTTTAATACACCTTTAGACAAGCTAAGAGTTCTTGTCTGTGGAAATCTTTACACACATTATGCACAGCTGCAAGATGAGTTTAAAGCATCAGAAATATGTAATTTATCATTTTCGTACATAGATTAAGCAAAATTGGCTCACAGACTTACCCATTGTAACATCTAGTGTCAGCGTTAACAGCAAAAGGCAGGTCAGACACAAATTTAATTTCATCACACACTGCGCACTCAATCAGTACAGACGCACAAACGCTGACAACATGTAAGCACACACTAAAATAACAGGATTAAACACATTTTAAGTAGCTTTTCAACACATTTCGTAATACTTATTCTCATTGCACATTAAGGGTTTCATTCCAAAATGAAACGTACATGATTTGAAAAAAAAAAAAAAGAAATAAATCCCTCTATTACAAAATGACTGCTGGCATGAAAGTAAAGGCCGTTAAAGTCTTACTATTACAGCTATGAGTCATCCTGAGGCCGGCGCTTACAATGTCGTTCTGTTTTGGAGGATAAAATATCTTTGTTTTTGAAATGTTGACTGATGGCCTTTTGTGGTTTGGATGCGAGTCATTTTGATTTATATGATATGATTTTTGGGGGGATATATAACATCTTTGAATGAAACCCTGTTATGTGTGTTTTTATCAAGACTTATTTTCTCAAGTATGAAGCAGCCTCATCCATCAAATTTACTAAAAGTCTGTTCACATTGGCAACGTCGAGCGGTCGATTCTGATGTTCATTTTTGAGTGTTTTCTCACAGAAATAAAAAACTCTTGTCCGTCTGAGAGTGTTTGCGAGTGTGTGTATGTGTGTGAGTGTGTGTTGCCTGCTGGCCCTGACGCAACAAGGAAACGACTACAAAGATGGGGAATGCCGAGGGGACAGATCAAACTACCAGCCTGCCCCTTCACACACACACACATTTGAGTCCGACCCGTCCCCGCCCTGCAACCTTCAACCCTCCGAGGAACACTCGAGCTTAAAACACACTCATGACGCATGTACCACTTTTTCCTTCTTATGTGTGTGTGTAGGCATAAATGTAGAACAAAAGTGCTCTTATGGCACTGGGTTGGTGTGGAATCCCCTTTCTCCTACTTCCCACAGACTCATGGCACACACACACACACACACACACATAACCGAGGGGGAGAAAACTATGGAATTCCTAATTTTTCCAAAGTGGCAGCATGGCATGGAAAAGGGCAGCACGTGGAGTTTAACTAGGACATGACAAACGCATGCATGGCGCGGCTGCGTGTCTGAGTGTCTGGTGTGTGTTAATGTGCCCTCTGTGTGCAGCCGGTGCCAAGCATTGATGACAGGGGCGCCAGAAACTGTGTGTGTGTGTGCCCACTAGTGTGCGTCGAGGTGTGTTCACTCAAGTCCACGACTCCTGATTCAGACAGATTAAGGCTGTCGGTGGAGCGTTGCAGACTGCAGCGGGTGTTTTGTACACACTCAAGAGATCGAACACACATACACACATGCAGTGGTCTGTTCAGGGTGTCAGTGTGGTTTGTAGTCTATCATTACGCCCTGCAGGGAAAGCCAGGCTAACCAAACCAGACTGGCACTGCCAAGAAGTCTGCGAGCACAAGAGCTCTGAGCTGCTATGTAAATGCTTTTTGTGGGGAAATCCCTTCCACAGCACTGTTCAGAGGTCAGAGGTCAAAGCAGCAACCCTGAAGCTGGAAGTGGCGCTACAGCCTAGACAGTCCAGGCTCATAGAGACCAAAACTGACGGAGTGTTTGGGAGCTTTTTGTTGACTCATAAAGTCAATTTATCACCAGGAAGTTGCTCTCAAACAGTCGACAAAGTGTAAACATCAGTGATAATCTGTGACAAGTTCTAGGAAAGTTTACAGTATGAGCTGTGTCACTTCACTTGACCTAAACCATGTACAAACGTCTTGGTATTTACAGTTTGGAGAAATGTTGAAGGACAACCAACATATGGCGTCATAGAGAGGTGTTGGGCCAACACAAGCCTCCAGAACAGCTACTTGTTTTAGATTCTCTAAGTGTGTGGAACTAGTCAAGAGGATTGCTAAAGATAGGGTTAAAACAAATCTGTTGTTAAGGTTAGGGGACCTTTTTCATCACCTTGCGAGGCAGCTTGATTCACAAGATCACAAAATCACAGATCACGTCAGAATCCATCTTGCCAGGCAACCACAGTGGTTCGGAGCAGTCAGTGTCCTGTGAGGAAGTACTGGCACACACAGGCATGGTTTAACGCTAGGTGTGACACAGCGAAAAGCGACTTAAACATAATTGTTCAACTAGGTTAAGATCTGGTGACTGTGAAGGCCATAGCATATGTGTCACATAATTTCCATTCACTGAGCCCTTTTGTCCTGTGGCTGGGGGCATTGTCATCCTGGAAGACCTCACTCCCATCACGCTTTTCCTTTAATTTGTCTGTGGCTTTTTCATTGGTCAACCTTATGAGATGGAACCAAAAGTAACTGATGAGCACCTGAATTCAAATACCTGGTGAATACTTTACAAGTTGACAAGGATTTCCTGAATGCTCCATATCACAAAACTTACTGGAGCACAAGGGATGATGGCAGGGATTGCCAATTGTACTGTGGAGGCCCAGCAGTCTGTAGGTTTTATTTACAACCAAAGACTTCAACCACTAATTAGAAATCACCAACTGAAATGATCTGTTGGAATAAAAAACCCGGCAGACTGTTGGCCCTCCATTGTACCAGACTGGACACGCCTTATTTCCACTGATTGGTACATCTCTGCTCGACTCATTTCGACACTCTTTTGGCACGAGGTACTTCTCTGGATATAATTTTCCTCTACAGGTAGTACCCTCTCAATGTAGGCAGGATTATTGCTTCAACACAACACAAACAGAGGAGGTTGCAGATGACTCTGAAGAGAAAGAAACATTCCTGAACCACCGGGCCATTCTGCCCAAAACCTGCACTGACTTTCTTTGACCCAATTCTGTAACTCCAAAAAAAACTGGTTCATGTGAAGAATGTGGAAAGACTGGAATAGATGTTTCAGCAGAGCTGTTTGTGTGTATTTGTCATTCCCTCCACTGTGGTTTCAAGGCAGAGCACCAAACCTCAAGTAAAAATCTGTGGCATTTTCACATAAATAAATGTCTTCTTTGCTATCACTGATTGACATTACACAGTAGTGACTCGATCTATATCCAGTTTCTGAAAGCTTTTCCAGTTGCTGTTTTACACTCAGCTCATTTTCTTTGAAAATTCTTCTGACATTCAGGAAATGATGCATGCAATGGAATTACCTAACGAAGAACTTAGCAGCATTAGCAGCGATAGTCACCACTGAATCATGGAAGGACTACCTCTTTAAAGATCCACTGAGGAGCAGTTTACCTGTAGAAAAATACTTCACCAGGAGAACAACCACCAGTAACACTTTCTGAAACTTTGGACTAGAGGGTTTATTTATTTTCGTAGTAAGCACTTGGTGATTTGCACCTTGCACTTCTGTCAGACTCACCAGGAGTCTGATTAAGTCCCTTTTTGTCATTTTCAAAAACCAGTAACCCAGTTTGCGCTGCGATAAAAAAGATGCAAGATTTCTTCAACTTCTTTGGTCACTTTGGTCTAAACAACCAAGTGCAACACCATAAATACCTTTGAGGTATCAGGCAGCCAACAAACAAGATCACTCGACAATCCATCTTGCCAGGCTTTAATCTCGGCATCTGTGGCCAAACTACAGGGATACTGGACCAATCAGCATCCTTTGAGGAAGTACTGGCAGGGAGATGCTGGCACTGAAGGCCTTTCCCGGAATAGCCGTTTTCGGCTCTTCTCCCAACTTACTTTGGTATGTGTTTGACTACGATATATGGTTAGGAGATCTGATTAGTTGAAATTTGCTGGTGATAGACAATCCAATCCAAGTTTATCCAATCACCTGCCAAGCATTCAAGTATTTTTTGAAAGTGGCAGCCCTTTTCCAAACATTTTCCAACAACAACTTTACATCTGGCGCAGTCAGGTTACGAAATATCCACCTTTATCCCCTTTGGTAGTTTTTCTTGTTCCCTGGTGCCCAATATTCACTCTTATCTCTGGTTTCCATTAACTCCTGAGAAAAATATATAGCTCTCTAACTGCTAAATGCTCCACTATGTTCTGTCTGCTGATTTATACTGGGCAGGTGTAGTGGACAGTGCTGAACATAACACTAATGAGACCAATGAAAGTTTAAAAAAAAAACAGGGAACTGCAGAGTCGGATGACAATTGTTTTGGGGGTTCATCACTGCAAGGGATAATTTTTATATTACATGTAGTCATTTCCATAGTTAGTGTACAAATATTGTTTGAAGCAGCTGTAATTCTTGAACTTTTTAACCAAATGTAACCCAGATTTGAACTAGAAGACAACAAAGAAAATGTGTGGCATTTAGGGATTGTTAATTCTGAAGTATCCAATATGCTAACGTCTGCCTCTCAAGGCTAACGGTGGACCTATAAAAGCAATACAGCCATGTCATCCAGAAGAGCATGAACACATTTGGATGACATTCTGGGCAGCAAATATGTGCAGCATTCAGATTCTGGAGGTGAACAGCAGCTTACATCAGTCTGCGGGTGAAATTAGCAGAACAAGAAAAACAATAATGATATAGTAAGCTATTTTGACATCTTGTTTCTGGTCACAGTGTCATTATAGGGCCATAAATGTGTGTTTCATAAACCCCCAAAAATGCCACAAAGTCACCTCTTATGTAGCCATTTCAGTTAGTTTCTGTGGTTCTAAAGCAGCCAGGGAGGATTTATGGAACTAGAGGAAAACTACAACATTTTTAAAAGTGGGATTATAACCAAACTTGACTGGTTTTTGGCGATGAACTGGAATAGTTTTCATGAGAATTAATGGTAGAGGAGAGACGCAGTACAACCACAATTTTGGAGGGGCACAAATTTATATAAAACGTGTCCCCAATGGAAAACATAGACACAAAAACCACATTATATGGAAGTGACTTGACAGCTTTTTCAAATTCCTTAGGAAAGGATTAAAAAAACAAGAAAAGATGGAGGCTGGTTTGATCCATGACAAATAGTGCCATCAAGCCTGGATGCCGCATATGAAACGTGACACACAATGTTCATTTTCCATCTGAGCGACGTTAGATCTCAAATATCTCGAAGGGGGGTCGGTGCCTCCGAGGTTTGAGGAGCCATGACGCTACTGACAGCCGATCTTCTTAAACTTTTCCAACTCTGAAACAGAATCTGACTGATCCGCCTTGGAAGCGGCTCTGCTGAGCGCACACTCTGCTGCAGTAATCTGGTAATCATCAGACATACGCCCATGACCCGTTTTTTGGTTGCGACCCAGAGATTAAGAAGCCAGGATTTACAGCACATGAGAGAGCGAGCTTTCTTTTTCTGGTGCCACGAGATATTAGTCCTCTCTCTTTTTCCTCATTTCAGTCAAACTTTTTCTGATTCTTTTCCCTCCCTCTGCTTCTCTTTAAGTCACTTTCTCCCTCCTTAACCCTCACTCTCATTTATCCATCCCTCCCTCGGCCTTTAGTAACTGTCTGCTTACAGAGAGTTGTGGTATAGAGGATCTATAGCAGCTCTGTTGACTTTGGCCCCGGCCAGACAGAAAGCCGAGCCTTTAATTTGACTGGTTTCAATATCTGACCCTTAATAAAACAAATATCTTTGTTTGGAGAGAAAGAAATCACCCCCAATTACTGTCGAGCGAGGAGGTAGAGAGCACTACTGGATGTGTGTGTTTGTGTGCGCAGTCTGGTCCGGGTCAAGCTAAGTCTTCAAATTGACCTGGCTTAGACAAATAAAATGGAAGAATGTAACAAGGAGCGTGGTCTCCCGTTCAAATCTGGGATCAGATGTCTGCCGTAACCACACGGCTCGGAGTGTGTCGCTCTCTTTATTCAGTAGAAAGTATTTTCCTGAGCCACGACCAAAAAAGCGAAAGTTTCTTGTTTCATACCAAAGTGAAAGAAAGCAGTTTTCTTCTTCTTTATCTCATTCCTTCCAGATCAACCCTCATCTCTCTGCAGCCAGCGTTATCCATCAGTGTCTTACTTAAAATAAACTTCATCAATAAAGGGCTTGCACTCTAAAATTAGATCCCCGCTACTGTCTACTGCCTCGCGAGGAAAGCGCATTGTGGGTTCCTATGAACATCAGGAATTCATTTAGAGAATCATATGTGTGCTTGCATGGTTTAGTGCCTTAAACAAATCATTTGTTTTTGTTGAGCATTTTCATGATACATGCAATCCAGTTTTAGATTGTATGTATCCAGTTCCAGGCATTAGTCATTAGTTTCTATTCATTTCTCTATGAATGAACCTCAGTTAGCGTTTCCATCACATTACATTATCATTATGTGGTAACGCAGTTTGACGGAGTAGTTTGACATTTCAGGAAGTTCACTTACTCACTGTCATGCAGAGACTGAGATAAGAAGATGTATACCACTCTCATGTTTGATGCTACGACCACTCGGTTAGCTTAGCTTAGCACAAAGACTGGAAATAGGGGGAAATAGGTGGCTTGTTCCAGGGGATGTGTCTAATCACTGTAATTGTGGACGTTTTTGTCTCGTCTTTTTTGCAGGGTGTCCAACGACCTTAAAACGTCTTCAATTAGATGTTTTTATTTGTAATTCCGAAAGTCTTAAATTTTGGGATGATGCCCTAACTAATATAAATCACATCGACCCTCTGAATTTAACGTATTTAAATAGAAAACCCTTTTTTTCTTCTCATTTCATTGTAGCACACAGCATGTTTGGGTTTACTTCTGCTCTTGCAATTTTCCCTGAAGGTGACAGGATTCGAGGAAAACAAGGCAAACATATAATTTACCAGTAATGCTAAGCTAAAGAGAGCCCCAGTAGTGTTCGGGGAGGACGTAAAGTTTTATTATGTCTGTTTGGTATTAGCTAGAATCTGGACGGACTGTCTGTACCACAATGACCAATATGTGTGTTTATTATGTGGAAATACATATCAGTATTAGACACGTATCCACATTGACATTATGATTGATTTAAGAAGCATTTAATTTGATTTGAGAAAGTGTGCAGATACATTGTGTTTGCACAAGCTTTTGGCTTCATTCCCACCACCTATCTATTTTGTGTCAGACTGTAAGAAACGTAGGGATTATCTCCTCCATTACATGACCAAACAGCAGACACAAGATTTAATGGCGACTTGATAATGAGTGTGAGGGATAACACAACAGCAGAGTGCCAAACAGTCAATTGTGACATAATATATAAGTGATTTATGGCCCAAAGAATGCAATACCACTCATACAGTTTGATTTGGTCAAATTATCTGTAAAGTGATAGATAGTTAACTTTTAAATCTTCTCATCAGAATCAGAAGTACTTTTCAGTTATGTACCTAACGACACAATGATTTGATTCACAACCACCAGCACACACTCTCACAAACAACAACATGGAAATAAAAGGCTAATTTAAAGTTTTTCACCTGGAATCGTACTAATAAATAAGATGTCTGTTAAAAAAATTTGCTTTTTTGAGCGTGATTGAAGGATTATAACTAGCGTTTTTCAAAACAATTTGTAAGGATACATTCAGAGTACAGACATTTTAATGTTTTTTTTAAACTGCTTGTTGCCAATGTGAACAGATCTACAAGCATCAACTTGATCTCTACCACTGTTAACATGTGAAAAGGAGGTTATCGATTGTGAAATGTAAGACAGGAAAGGTGTGACGAAGAAGGAATGAAGTGTATCTGTAGATTGGATGGATGGTAAACAAACCAGGGAATAAAGTAGGAAAACGGAAAGTAATGGAAAATGTTTGAACGTGAATGAATGAAATGAGTTAAAAGATGAGTCTGTTACCTACATGAAGGCTGGAACTAGAGGTTGAAAGGTTAATGATAGCTGAACTGGTTCCATCTGCAAGCTGTGAGACACATGCATACACATAAAAACACACACACATAGAAACACACAATTTAGCTGGTTAGGGTTAGCCACGATATTAGCATCAAACTGAACAAAGAGTTTGAAGGTCATGTTGAACACACTGTATTCTTTAACACTAACATCATTAGACATTACATACTAACATTACCAGACATTGTAGTGACTCAAACACACAGAAACATCGTCGTCACCAAGACACAATTAATCAAAAACTTGAGCCCAACAAATGTTTTGTGAGGGAAAAACTGAACATTTCGAATCAAACATTTTCTTTCCCCGGGAGGTCCCGCTCTGTGAGGTGCAGACAGCGGCGCTCGGTTAACGCTGATCGGGCACGACAGAGCCCAGATTAGGAAGACAAAGTGTTTATATGAGGTCACGGAGGAGATGAGCACATGGGGGAACAGAAGACGACAGGAAGGGCGAGGCGAGGATGCTGGGTGTAAAACACCAACTTTAACACCAACAACATGTGTGGGCACAAACTATGCCAGCTGGAGTAGATACTTTTATGGGGCTGTTTACTGTAGATACTCACCTTAATATCAGCAGTCGGACTATTAACCCTTTGTTACAGCATAGAAGGCCTGAGCTCTATTTGAAAACGTGTATACCACTCTTTTTTAAGAAATTGATTTCCAGGACGTTTCCAGGACATTTTCCGGGAGTTTTTCTTGACAATACAAAACAGAACATTGTTTAAGAGACACTTTCTGAAAGAACCACAGTTTTCTTCTAACCGTAACATCAATTTGGCCACAGCACAGGCTGAAATATCGCTAAAAACATAGATTATTTCACATTAATCAATTTCAAGGTGTGTCCAGTACAGGAAAACTAGTCTTCCAGGTTTTCCAGATTTTCCAGGATCCATTGATCCATTGATACATTGAATTACTTGATATAAAATAGGTACCAAATAAGTTCAGTTCAAGTTCAAGTTCTGTTTTGTACTGCTTACTCTCGTTATGTTGCTTTAAATGTAATTTAAATGGAACTAAAGCAGTGAAATAAAGGCTTCTATTGTTTATGGAGCAACTTCTACATTCAGGCATCAGTAGGCTTCTTCTTTTTTTTTAGCAACTTTGCTCGCTTGTCTTCTCAGAAGCTCAACCGAACAGTCTGTCAAACTGTTAAATCAGAGTTTGGGTTTTAAGTAGGCCGCATTGTTTCTCTGCGGTCTGAGCGCTGAACGTGAAAGGGAGCGATTAAACTGATGCAGTGCAGCCACTTATACTTATGGTCTGATGTAATATATGTTGTAGTGCTTGTTTTTGTTGTGCGGTTGAATGTTGTGTTTTGTCATTTATGTGAAACTGTGCAGATGAATATTTTCATAATGAAGTTAAATTAAATGAAACACCAGTGGTGGAAGATAATAAAAATAGTAATACCATGGTGTAAAAGGTCCACACAACATATAAAGTACCAAGAGTAAAAGCAGTCATTGCACAGAATGGGCCATTTCAGAATAATATTATATTATTGGATTATAATTATTGATAAATTCATTGCTTTAATGTTGCAGTAATGTGTAGATAACTTTAATTCTATATATATATATTACATAAATATCTTAAAGTATTAGAGCTTATTTCCACCACTGCATAAGACAACTGTAAAAATGCGTAAGACTAGAAAAACAAAGAGAAAGAGAAAAAACTCAACAAAGCCGGATAATTAACCTACAACGTTTCTTTATCTGTCACTTGTTTTTAGTGCCGATAAATCAGAAACTTATCAGTGATTCAAATTCCGTTTCACACCAAAATAAGACGATTAAAACCGAGCTGTTGTTTGCAGCTGCTTGTTGTGGTTGTTGACCAACTGTTGCGCTCCTCTGCACACATTTTTATTCATGAAAATGATTAATCGATCAGCGCCACTTAAAACAAAACTGCTCCGACAAGCGTGTAGAACATTCGGCCGCCACCGCAGATGTACCCACCGGTTGCATCACTGTTATTGTATCCACGCAGAGTTGTTTGGATGTCAAAGCGCTTTAATTGGATTGTGGGTGTTCATGTCAGGGCGTGCACGCTAATTTCAACCCCCCCAGTGTACATCTGTGTGTGTGTGTGTGTGTGTATGTGTGTGTGTGTGTGAGAGTGAGAGAGCGTGACAAACAGCTTTTGACCTCATTGATATAAAATTGTTTTTTGGTTTAAAATGCTGCAGTAAGACGCGTGTGTGTGCGCGAGAAGCTGCCGTGGCGCCTGTGGGTTAAGGGATAGCAAGGAGGGACACACAAAGCATTGAAAAGAGAGGGAAACAGACCAGCGAGGATTTTAAAGATGATGGAAGGATCACAGAGGGGATGACTGGTTGATGAACCACAACAGTGAGGAAAGAGAAGAAGAAGGAAAGGAGGAGGATAACATGCCCTTTAATGAGCTACCACATTAAAACAACTGTCAGCTTGATAGATAGAGAGTGAGAGAAGGAATTGAAGGGATAAAGGGAATTTAAGAGCGGGAGGGAGGGAGGAAGAGAGAGAGAGAAATAAAAGAAGTATGTTGATGGGCATGGCAGAAGAGGGATAAAATGGAGAGGTGAAAACAGAATGATGGAGGTAAAGAGAGGTGGATAGGGAACAAAAAGATAAAAAGGGTAAATGAGAGACAAAGGAAGAAACTGATGAAGGACAGGAGGAACATTTAATGGAAGAAGGGAGGGAGAGGGAGAGAAAAAAGTAAGGATGAGTGAAGAGAAAAAGAAAAGTAGTTAGAGCAGCAAAAGTGGAGAGAACAGGTAGTATTGAAGGAAGGATGGATGAAACAAGATGGAGAGAGGGAAGGACTGAAGGGAGACAGAAGGGGATGATGCAGGGAAGGAAGGAAGGACGGAAGGAAGGAAGGAAGGAAGGAAGGAGTGGAGGGGAGAAAAGAAGATGCACACATACAGGAAAAGTAGAAAGATGGTGTAGAAGGTGTAAGGAGGGAGCCAGAGGAAGAAGTCAAAGAGAGGGGGGACCTGCAAGGAAAAGACTGGGAGGAAGGGATGTAGGAAGGAAGGAAGGAAGGAAGGAAGGAAGGAAGAAACAATGAAGTAGGGAAAATATGGCATAAGGAGGAGATAAGCGAGGAGGGAAGGAAAGAAAATAAGGAGGGAAGACTTGTGCAGCGAACAAGGTAGGAAAGAAGGATGAAGCAAGTGGAAGGAAAAAAGGAGGGAAAGATGGAGGGAGGATAAGGAGAGAAGTATGAATGAAGAGATGGAACAAAGAAATAAGTGAAGGAGGAATGAGAGAAGAGGATGAAGAAAATAGAGAAAAGAGAAAGGGAAGGTGTTGAGAATGGAGTAGGGAGGTTGTGCAGTAGTAAAGGTGGGAAGAGTAAAGGAAAGAAGAGAGAAAAAGAAAAGAAAAGGTGACACGGAAAAGGTGAAGGAAATGTTGTAAGGAAGAGGCTATAAGTTGGGTGTTGAGGAAGGACTGAAAGAGGGATGAAGAAGGATGATAAGGTGGTTGTGCAGGGAGAAACGATGGAAAGGAGGAAGTGAGGAAGAGGGAGAGAGATAAGGAGGAAAGGATGGAAGGAGAAGGCCCAAAGAAAGAACAGAGGAGAGAGTGCTGGAGAGAGTGTGAGAAAGGAAACGAAGAGGGAGAGAAAGTCAGAATAAGGTGAGTAGAGGGGTGAGCTTAAAAGGAGGAAGGAGAGATGAAAAGTTGGAGAGAAGACGGGGGTGAGGAAGGAGGCGAGGAAGGAGAAGAGGAAGGAGGCGAAAATGAAAAAAGATGGCGGGAGAGTTCCATTGTGGTCCTGTGGGGATAATGAGACAGAAGACAACTAACAAGGAACAGACTCCTTGTGTTTGTTTATACACACACACACACACACACACACACACACACACACACACACACACACACACACACACACACTGTAACACACACACACACACACACATACACACAGAAACCACAGGGTCTGTCTTGGATATCATCGAGGGTCAGATTTTCCCCTTCAGTGATCACCAGGAGGAAGACTTCACTGAGACAAAGGAGAGAGGGAGGAGAAGAGAGGAGGAGGGGAGGAAGAGGAGGAGAGGAGGAGGATGATGAGAAACAGAGATGGAACGAGAGGAGGGCCACGATGCGATGAAAGATGAAAAGGAGAGAGGAGAGAGTACAGAAGGTGGATGAGAGGGGGAGAAAAAAGGAGCAGGAGACCGGGGAGTAAGAGGGTGAGGTGAGAGGAAAAGATGTGAGGATGCAAGAAAGGAAAAGAGGAATAATAAGAGAAAGAGGAAGAACTAAAAAATGAGGAGATACAAGGAGGCAAAAGAGAATAGGAAAAGAGGAAGAGAGAGGGGAGAGAAAAGGAGGAGCTCAAGAGAAGAGACAAGGAGAAGGATGAGAAGAGAGCAGATGCTACGAGGAGGGAAGAGAAGAGGAGAGAGCAGAGGAATAAAGGGATGAGGAGAGGAGATGAAGAGAAAGGAGGACAGGAGATAAAAAAAAGGAGGACAGGAGAAGGAGATGAGGAGATACAGGAGAGGAAGAGAGGAGGCAAAGAGGGAGTGGGATGAGGGGAAAGAACAGGAGGAGGAAGTGCAGGAGAGGGAAGATGAGGAGGGAGGAGAAGGCTGTCGACAGCTGACAGGAGAGGGGAAAAAGTGAGGAGACGAAAAGAAGAAGTGAAGGACGTCAAAGAGAGAAGCTGCAGGACTCCAGAACAGAAGTCCCGATTCCGCCGTATCCTCGGAGACGAGGTCGACAGGAATCACGAGCTCGGAATTCTTTTCCCGACGAATCTGCACTTCTCCGCAGATCGGCTGTCTCCGAACGTTACTTCAGTATCCATTAAAGGGCCAATCCAGTGGTTTTCCACGCTGTAGCCCATTAGCTTCAAACCCCCGTACACTCAAACACAACTGCAGAACTTTTTTTTTTCCAGCATCGACCGAAACTGTCTTCACTGATCTCTTAAGAGGCAGCCATTTGTTTTAATCATTACAGCTCAGAATAAACATCAACCGGCAGGAGAAAGTGGAGAAACAGCCCGAACAAAAACGATACGATTATTTTATTTCTCAGGACCGAACTACCTGGAGTCTCCACCGGTTGCCGGGTCACTTTCAATCAGTGCTGATTGATTTTCTTTCTGACCTTTGACAGAACCAAAGTAGCCGTTTCCCCATTTTTTTTCGGACTTTATGCTGAGCTAAATTACGCTAAACTTCATATTCTGACACATTGTAAAAGCAGATAGAAGTTTAGTAATAATTTAAACTGATTACATTAAAATATTTAAGCCATATAAACTCTTGGTTAAGCAGATTTTACTTGTCATTTTAAGTGGCACTAACTTAGTTTTATAAGTCGCAGAAACATTCCGGATTAATAACTTTCTACTCTTGCTTAAAATTACTAAACCTACTTGATCAAGAAGATTTTTTTTTGTAGTAAAAAAATTGATCAGTTGAAAACATTAGTGTATCTGTTTTTTACAGTGCACTCTGCAAGTAAGCAAACTATTAGTTGCTTAAACTAAACAAAGTTATCATCAAACCTCATAAGAGGTCCAACACAATTGTTCCAATATTGACATTCTTGGCAACAGGGTGGCCCTAAAGCTACCTCAACCACCATTTATGTGCCATTTACAGTTACATGCTGGTATTGAAAGTAATCAGGGGTTTCACAGATTTATCCAGAATGTATGTTCTTGATTCAGGTTCTGGCCCAAAATATAGAAAACAAAACACTGTGAGGGATCCATCTCAAGTCTCTGAACGTGGATTTAAAGATCAGAGATCGGGTGAAATATGTAAAATAAATAAGAGGAGAGAACATCAAGTCTTGGACTGTCACTTCTCCTTGTTGTTATCTCTCAGTTCATCTCCGTCCTCGGCTCTCTCTCTCTCTCTCCGTCTTTCACTCCACTTTCTAACAGTATCGTCGTTCTCCCTGAACTCCTCGTACTATTTTTAGTGAATGCAACAACAAGGTTATAAACACAATAATGAGTTGGGGTTTTTAATGTTTTGGGGTTTTTTCTCTATGTACTTCGGGGACCACAGATTGATGTTTGCATTCCTCAGTCAGTCCAGCTCCCTTCAGTCCTTATTGGAACAAACGTGATTACACAAGGGATAGCTGTGGTCTCTGTGTGTGTGTGTGTGTGTGTGTGTTTGTGTGTGTGTGTGCGTGTGCATTATTTATGTCTGCCCCCTCAACACAGTGTATGACAGCTCCATGCAGTCTGCCAAACCAATAAGACCAAATTATGTTGTCTCCTAATTCTATACAATCCTCTATTTAGTAATATATACAAATATAGCACTTAATGGACCACAGCAGTGTGTGTGTGTGTGTGTGTGTGTGTGTGTGTATAAGAGGTTATTTTGTGCATTTTTTCCCCCAACAGTAACTGACTGTATGGTTCGTGCTCACTTGGATATCCTCAGTTAACGTATTTACGAAAAAGGGTTAATTATCAGACCATGGAGCTAATTTAAGTGAATGACAATATTAGCTCTGTCGCTCTTTTTAAACATTGCCTTCCTTCCTCCGGTCATAATTACTGTGGCTGTCTGGGCCCGAATCACAATTCTCTAATCTCTGCCTTCTTCTTCTGTATTGTTCGATACTGTGAAGCGCTACATCTCCGGGTGTCGGACAATACTGAAACAAACTCTTGGATTGAATAGGTTTGTATTATGGTTTTGCGTACTCACAACATCTAAGGTTTAAACTGTAGACGATATAATCTGTGGTCTGTGAGAGTGAAGCCAGCATAGAAGTGTCATAAACATGAGTTCTATGTAATGACCAGCAGGGGGAGCTCCACTGGCTGCAATCGAAGATCAATACCATGCAGTCTGATGGAGGAATTACTGGTTTTAATGATCTTAATCTTGTTTTTCGTTATATTGCACTTATTGTTGATGAGTATTTACTTTTATGCCTCTACTGGTACCATCATGCATTGCTTTTTTTATTGCTTTTATTGTTATTATCTGTCTCTGTTTTTGGTAACTGTGAAGCACTTTGGAACTGCAGTTTTGAAAAGTGCTATATAAATAAAATAAAAGGCTTAAACCGATACTCCACAAACCGATGGGTGACGCTCACTCTAGGATTGCTGATCTTCTCTCACCCCTTTACAGTATGTTTGAGCAACTCAGTCCTCCTTTCAGAGGCTTAGTTATGAAGTTTAAATAGACTATCAGTCTTTTTATCTCTGACTTTCGGGTAAAAAGCAGACATAAAAAAATGTATGTAAAAAGCAGCACAAACACAGCTTCAGTTGGCTCCAGAGTCTTTAGATATAAGTTCGAAAATATGTTTCTGTGTAAAATAGGGCTGCACGATATGGTAAAAATATCATATTGTGATTATTTTGACAAATATTACGATTGCGAAATGATTTACAAGTAGTGTAAATGAGAATTTTTGCATCACAATTTTCATTTTCACCGAGAAAAAACATGATGTGACATTGTTTTAGGTCTGTGTACATCTGGGAACAAGATTTGTTGGCCAGGGCAGATCATGCTTGTGCTTTTGTTTCACTATAATACTGTTTTTGTCACATATTTTAAGAAAAACAGCGACTTTTGTGGTTTTGATATTATTTCCTTGATACCTAAAAGTATCTTAGACACGAGGAAGTTCAAAATGTCTGTTTGTTTGTTTATGCAGTTATTATTTATTACATCTGATCACTCCAAATCTAAAACAGCACCTAGAACAGCACCTAGTTTGTTGACTGTATTGGCTTTAGCATTCAAACACAGTGTGATACTACTGTCAGTTCATGTATGTGTAGTTATGTCTGTGTGTGTGTGTGTGTGTATGTGTGTGTGCATGATAAACTTTAAATTAATAAATATTTAACAAGGATTAGTGTCGATTGGAAAATAGTTTCCGTGTTCCTCCTTTACCGGCGAAAGAAAGAAAGAAAGAAAGTGCAGAGAGGAGGAGGAGAGAGAAAACTAAATGTCTTAAACTTGGAGAGAGAACGTTAATGACTGGTAATGAGCATGGGGTCTCGCGGTCGCCACGGTAACCACTGACCACAGAGACGGTTGCCACGTCATCATGTCAGAACGTGTTTATTTATGCTGCTGGTGCCGCCGAACACACACAGAAACACACTCAGATGAAGATACAGACACACACACACACACATTCAGAGTCCCCTTTTCATCAGTCATCATAACACACACACACACACACACACACACACACACACACACACACACACACACACACACACAGATGTTCCCTGTGGAAAGATGAGTGTTTCATATTTGCCCTTTACACTTATTGGTTATAACACCCCACACCCGAAAAAAAGCACACATCTACACACTCACACTACAAAGATCCACATACACAGATAAACACACACACACACACACACACACACACACACACACACACACACACACACACACACACACACACGGTCCTCATACGTGCATTTGGAAAATCACTGGATCATCTGGTATTAAACCACTTACAGTAGGTTCAGCTGTAACGAGGAGCAACTGGGGAATAAAAGTTCAACTGGAGTTTTTCTTCTGGAAGAAACAGCATTTTTTACTGTGAAGTTTACTGGAACGATCGGCTCAATGAATGTAGCACCTGTGACAGCACTGTATTGATTATTGATCAGTAGCGGTTATACCTTGGTTCAGTTGCTGTTAACAGATGAGAAGAGCTCAGTGAAGACATTTATAGAAGCATGTATATGTGGTGTTTTTAGTTATTGCTTTAGATATTCGTTTATATCCCAATAGTATCTTTCCTGCCCTGAACTTGTTTTAAATACTAATTACAGTCGGGATGTTTCTGCAGTTGTCATCCAAAGTAAGACGATCCGTGGCGTAGATATGAGTGAGGGGCTAAAATACAATAAAAAATTTCCAGGCCAACGTAGAGTATTTCCAGGATATTTGGTCATTTTAATAAATTGCCAGGTGCTTCCATGTTTTCCAGGACTTGTGGGAACCCTGACTTTTTAAACCCGGTTTTAAAAGGTGGTATAAGAATAGAAGTTTATTATTATTGTTCATGGGATTTGTTGAAAGAAAAGGGCAGTGATGAGCTGAAATTATTCCTCAGAAATAATCTGGTATTGTTCACACAGAGAAACCGACCGGATGGTTTTACCTGGTCGGGCATGAGCGGCTCCTCGTCGTCGATGTCAATAAAAACCTCCCCACAGATCAACTGGGGCGTCTCACCTACACATACAAACACAGCAGAAAGACATTTTGTTAATATTGATCATCAGCCTCTGGCTCTTTGCTTGGGCACATTTATATCTATCCACGTCTTACGTCGCCATTCCTCGTCCTCCTCTGCCGCCGCCGCTCGCTCCTCCTCCGGGACGCACCGGTAGTCCTCCAGCGACCGGATGGTGCACTGACCGACCACCGGCTTCCTCCCGAACTGACGGTTGTCGATGACTTTGATGATGATCGGCGGCATGTAGAGCTCCTCGCGGGGAAGTTGCTGCGCAGAGATGGAAGGAATTCAAGAGAAGGAGAGGGATTAAAAAAGAGAAAGATGGAGAAAGACATAAGAAAAGGAAAGAATATGAAAAAGAAAAAGACACATACACAAAGAGACAAGCTGAGGGACCTACAGACAAGGATTGGTTATGCCACCTGCCTGCCTGATGCTGATTGGCTATGGCTGCTGACTGTCTGAAGCTGATTGGTCATGCCTTGGTGACAGTCCAATCAGGGCATCGTTACACCTTAGCTGACCCCTCCCACGCAAAGGAAGAAATGAGGTAGAGGTTCTGAATCTTTGTGAAGGGAAATCAGGGCACACACCCCACTCTGAGTTAAGATCTCAGTTTAGGATTTAAAAGAAATGTTTACATGTACGGTGACACCGCGAACCGCAACGTTTATCTTTTCCACCGCGTTCAGCAAGAATTATTGTCACTATAATGACTTTAGAGCCGCACGTCTACTTTCACTACTATTGCCTTTATTTGGGCACCTTAGCTGGACCCAGTTTCTGTCTAAATGTATGCAATTTTGCTTCTTTCGTATGCAAACTTTAATTAAAATAGCTTTCTTTATCACAACTAGTTGTTTTAATGTATTCAGGGTTCTCACTTTTTTAAGAAATTATTTTCCAGGACGTTTCCAGGACAATTTCAGGACAGCACTTGCTCACAAACGGTCATATAATTTACTGACATTAGTATTGATACTCCTTATTTTCTAATGATATAAATATGTTATGTAAATAAAACTCTATGCATGGAGATATGACCGTCTGCAGCATTTCTCCTCGGCTTTTCTGAGAATTTCGGAAAAAATAGATTAAAAATGAAAAGTTAGTCTTGTAAACCTGCTTTGAAGTGTCATACCGTGCAGTTTATCCTACCAACGGTTGAGCTTCAAACACAATACACACCCAGGTTCATGTAGGCAACCTGAATGAGGGGCAAAAATACAATAACAATTTTCCAGGACAATATAAATTATTTCCAGGATATTTGGTCAATTTAATCCATTTCTGGGAGTTTCCATGACTGAAAAACTAGTTTGTAAATTTCCAGGTTTCCCAGGACCCGTGGGAACCTTGCTATTGGTTGTAGTTTTACATTTTAAATTGGCAAAGCTGAGCGACATAAACACAGTAAAGCCGTGCTCATGCCAGAATTTAGAAAGTGCAAATTTTGCGGCTAATTCGATGAAATTCGATTAAATTAAACCACATATTTTATGAAGTTGTGCCATTTTAAGTAAGGAAAGTAGGGGGAAAAAATGACTTGATTGACTTTAGCATCATTAGCTGATAGTGCTAAATGATGCAGAAAGGTAGAATGGATTACAATTAAGAATATGTGTTTCTTAGTTTTGTTCTTGAGTCGTTCTGGCTTAATGAGAGTGCTTTACATAAGATATTGTCTTGAAATATAGTATATATTTTATACATATTTATGATTTAAAAAATGGGCTTGTGGTAAATCTCTTGCTGCTGCTGATAATAAAGGTGTTAGGTAGCCTGCTGGGGTCGATTTCGAAGCTGATTCTGCGGCTGCTAAACAGACAACAGACAACCAGACCTCATATTCAACTTCTCCAGCCTTTAAGGCAGCCTACATTTAAAGGGAATATCCCTATAATAGTCTCATTTAACCAGGGTGGCTCAAGGAAAAAAAATGACTTGGTAACTGTAATCCATTTAACCTCTGTGGCTTTAAAAAAGGGCTTAAGTGGGGCTGATGATGCTAAAGTCGCACAATAAACTGAGAGAGCTAACATTAGGTGGTTAGACTCTTCAAAGAGTTGCATTTAAGGAAACTATGCACATGACATTTTCTTATGCCCCCGTGGCATACGAAAACACTTACGCAGTCAACTTAAGACCTTAATATTGTTAACATTAAATGCTTGGACCCATTTCAGGGGTCGAATTTAAGGGAAAAATATGTGCATATTTCCACAGTCCGGTTGGGGCTGTCACACTCTTGCGGTGGTCAACACAGGACCTTAATCTTGTTAACATTAAAACTGCCGGAGCCAAAGCAAGGATATGTATTTGAGGGAAAAATATGTGAATAGTTCCATACTCCAGTTAAAGCTGTCATAATAAAACACTGAGGTGATCAACTTCAGACCTTAATATTGTTAACATTAAAACTCTCCGAGCCCGCTCTGGAGCCGCTGTTTGGAAAAACGTGCGTAATATTTCCATATTTCAGTTTAGGTTTTCATAAGAAAACACTTAGGTGGAATGTAATGGCACCGATGTAAACTCAGTGGAAATATATCCACAGTTTTTACATTTGAAGAACAAATAATGACTGTTGAGGCTCCTTCTTGCTTTCAATATTGTGGTTTTGTGTTGATTAAAATAAATGACTGACTCAAAGAATCTTTGTATAGTGTATCCACTGACAGTGTGACTTTAAAGACAAGTTAAGTGCTTATAGTTTAGCCCACAAAAGCAGTTTTATGACCATAAAAATCTTTCTTAAAATTACACATTGACTAATCAGCTTTCGACTGGAACACAAACATTTATTTTGAAAAGACTGGCACTCTTGCATGTTTGAGCAACATTAATAACATTTCTAGAGAGAAATGTAAAGTGTTCCCTAAAACAGTAAATTACATTACACAAGTAAGATTGAAGCATTTTACATATTGTTTTTATATATTAATCACTTTTTACTTAGAGTCCATTAACGTCTACAAACGACTGGCACCACAAAAAAGTCACATGTTTGACTTACAATAAAGCAGTCTATGAGGGACATTGCATCTCTTAACTCCTCACATGGTTTCATATAAATATATATATGTACATGCAGTATATAGTAAATAATACAAAAGATAATAAAAAAAGTAAAAAAGATTAACACAGATTTGTGAAGCAGAACTTTTCTTTCCTCCACCACTAATCATCTCCAGACTCCCTCAGATTTATCTTGTGACCCTTTAGAGGGGCCCAACCCCTATGTTGGGAACCACTGGACTACACTACCAAGCTGTATATAAAGTAGATACAAAACTAGCTCCACCTCGACCAACTACAGTTGTAAAATGCTATTATTATACACTGATACAGGAATATTGAATAATATACTGTGTAATAGTGCATCAGTCAAAGCAGGACATTTTACTTTATGGTAATACTTCAAGATCTGAATAAAATGGTATAAAAGTGCATTATGTAGAGAGATAGTGATAATTATAAGTTGCCTGGCCTCTGCAGCTTTCTGCTGACTCAGATTAAAAACTAACCATGATCAACACCAACGACTTATTGACTGCCTCACTGAGTGATGAGTGTGACTGATTCAAAAGAATCGATTCCCGCTCCAACAGCCCTGTCACATAATGATTCCGGGATATATTTCACCACAAAATAACCAACCACTTAAAAAGAAATCCCACATCTCCAACAGTTTATTCGCTTTAACAATAAAGCAAATAAACCCTTTTTACTGCGTGCAGAGTCTCGCTGAACAGAAGAAAGCAGCTGCTCTTACAGTAATGTTCAGCTTTTCTTCAGTTTGCATGAGTAAGCTAATCTTCCCTCTGAGTTACCACAGCTCGAGCCTTTTGGGTGCCACATAAACTGCCATCTTTAATGCAGCTTCCTGTGGTTTCATCTGTAGTAAAAGTAGCGGAGCCGATAGCTTCTGAGTCACACAAGTACGGTAAGAACCGAAAACAACACTAAGAAATCTAAAAGAGCGACGCTACTGCAGATGAATTGAGCAAACCAGTTTTCTTTTTTTCCAGTCCAACTATCACTGGATATATTAACATTCACTCATTAAATCTAAATATGATTATATGTCACCAACTCTGCCTGTCATACAGCATCGCCATTAGTTTCGGTGGTAAATGCTGCATTCAAGTGGATTCTGGACAACAGCACAATGCAAGGACGGCGAAACGAAACACTTATGTTTACAAAGAATGGAGTAAAATATGTTAAAGCTATAATATGTAACATTTACACATTAAAATGTCTATAAACACTAGACTTATGTTGTCCACCTGGTCCACTAAAATGACATCCGGTTTGCCATCTACCGCCTAAATCCAAGTAAACGGTCCCGGTGTTATCAGCATCAGATTCAATGAAACGTATGACCTCTTTCTGCCTTGACATCCACTTTAAAATCATCTAGCCGGCACCTCCACCCTGCATTTACCCTGCATTAGTAATGTATACACTGGTAGCCATGGGACAAGTCCCCCACCCTGCATCTTTACAGCTCTGAACTGCAGACTCTGCAACAGACGCCTGAAGCATCTATAATCTGTGACTTCTACAGCGGCAGCATCTGCAGACAGACTGCTTTTATGCTACTTTTCTGGAAGAAGAGAAGAGAGCAGTGGAGTCCATTACTGTGCTTTCACTGATGAAGATAAATGACTGGTGCAAACCACATCACAGCAGAACCCTCATCAGCCACGAAAGCCTCGGCGCTGATTACACCTAAGTCGTGTGTGTATACGAGCGGTGCAGCGTGTGTACGTGTGCTCACCACATCAAGGATGAGCTTGTTGATGTCGAAGTTGGGCTTCTTCTTCACGCTGCGGATGACGCAGCTCTGGACCACGGTGCCTCCACACTCCACCTGCAGGCTCGGGGAGGTAACGCTGGCCATCTGGAAACTCTTCAGGTTACGAACTCCCCACGCTAAAATCTGACAGAGTGGGCAGGAAGAGAAGCTAATCTTTGCAATGTCGTAAAATAATGAGATAATAAGTTGCTTGGTTGCCAAGAGTCAAACCCCGAGTATTTATTTATCAAAAGATATATTTTCAGATGTTCCTTTAAAGTTAGAAGCTTCAGAGAATGTGTCGCTACTTGGACGAAGGTTGTTGAGTGAAGCAGTAAAAAGCTGTAGTAAATATCTACCTCGATGGCGGTTCTCTGCAGAACAGGTTTGATCCCCTGAGGAACCACGAAGACGTTGGGCTCTCTCTGGGGTGGCGGGTACGGGAGGTCCGACTCCTCCGGCTGGCGATGGGGAACACAGGACAGCGATGAGTTCAGCGATGGGTTATCAACACGAGACGAAGAGACAGAAAACACATGAAAAGGAGCCATGCTGTTCACTGCCAGGCAAATGTAGGCTTTTTTTAAAGTAACTTAAACAACTGTTAACTGTCATCCTACCGACTGGGGTCCACTGAGGTATATTTTTTGTCACATCTCACAGGTGCTTCAGTCTATCATTCCTATTTTTCATTCCCTTTGTCAATCAATGTGCTCCATATGTGGCTTATTTTGTGCTTAAAAAAAAAAAAACAATCTCAAAAAAGCACCCAATTCTGCCTCTGCAGTTATACATTTATTGGGGTCCTAATTTAAAGTATTGGGGCCATTTTTTAAAGAGACAGACACAAATTTCCTCATGTGCTCTATTTAAGTTTTAAACATTTTGCAAATGAACTGTAACTTTAGTCTCCAGGGGCTGCAGTCGGTAGTCCTTGTTGGTAGGATGAGGATTAAATGACTTAATGTTTGGTATTAACATGTCAGATTAGTTTCAGAGTGTTAAAAACACACACATGAGACATTCAAGTAAAGAACGGTGCAGGTTTTTGACAAAACAAGTCTGTTACAGGCAACAGAAGGACAAAAAGGTTTGATTTGTCTTGTTTTGTTATGTTTGCTCCTGATGATTAATCACCAAATACAAAATAATTATTTACAAAGATTTAACTCTGAAGACCGTTAACAGCTTTCACAGATTTTTATACTTACTAACAAAAAATACAATATGTTGAGATCACTAAAGAATAACAAAAACTGTTATTTTCTAATGACAAAATATGTATTCTGTGATCTCAAGAAACAAAAGAAAGAGTCAGAAACTTTCTTTTTATACGTTCAGGACGTAAATATAATCTTTACAAATGTCCTCTCCGGCCTTCCACACAAAATCGACAAATTATACAAGAAAACACAAAATGTTGTTTGTGGAAGTTTGGAAAAAATGACAGAAAATTGAAAACAAAGGAAAGCAGAAGAGTGTGTAACGTGACGATGAATGATGACGTTATCTGTGCTGAACATGAACATGAAACAGGATGGCTACGTGTACTGCATGCTCATTTTGTGTGTATGCCTGTGTGCACGTTGTACCCATTCCTGCAGGTTTTCCGAGAGGAATCCTGGAAACATCAACTGAGGAAGCGACGTCGAAGCGAGAGAGGCGGAAAAAAGGATCAAGAGCAGTGAAATGAAAGGGAAGAAATGCAGGGGTCAAATTTCAGCAAAGGGTAAAACATCAGAATAGATATTAAGGAATTACTAAGAACATAATTCAGGGTAAAAAGCAAGATCCTGAGTTCATTAACTGTGCACAGAAGTTTGTTATCACCATGAACGGGTCACATTATAGAATTAAAACTCCAATTTCAAGAGCAGACATAAAAGAGGGAACATTATTTTTTCATAATCATTTTTGAGATAATATCAACTTTCTTTCAATAATAAAATAGCAGATGACTTTCAAGATGCTGCATGTCTCTTTTTATACAAATGTACACCCTGGCTGCTGATGGATACGTCAAACCTTTTAGCTCTCGTTACAGTGGTCTATTCTCGGGTTAATATGTGTGTAGATGCACATGGTGGTGCGACTGTTGTGGTTTTACCTCGTCCAGAACGTGAGTGGAGGTCATGACGTCCCCCTGTAGGCGAGACGGGAACAGACAAGTTTGAAAATGTACGTAAGAGGGAAATTAATGAGAATGAGCGGAAAAGGAAAAAGTGAAAGAGAATGATAAACTGACCTCTTGACCTGGAATATGGTGAATTGCTGGCTGTAGACACAAAATGGAGACATGAATTACTACATCTACATCTATTTACATCTGCAAATATTGTACTTTTAATGAACGTGAACTTGAGAATTTGTCTGACAGCTTAAGTTACTTCACTTTTATACTCTTCCTCTCCAGTGAAAACCATATATCTACAGATGATTGATTATGATTTTTTTTCTGATAAACTGTGATAAAGATAAAGTGTTTTTTCAGTTCAGAAAACTTCTTGAGCTAAAAAAACTACTTTAAAATAGGAGAATGTATCATCACAAAGCTGAAAACAGACTTTTTCTTATAAAAATTTGAATTTGTAGAGATACAAACACATGATGATCTTATAGAATATGATGCATTGCTGTAGATTAAACTACCAAACAGTGTATAAAGTAGTTAAAGTGTGTTCAACCTTAAACATCGACAGCAGTAAAATGCAACATTCCCATTAATGCAGCTGTAATATTAATCCAAAAACATCAGATATAATAGCAAAACACTTTAATACACAATGGCTACTTCTACTTTTGATACTTTAAGTCAACGAAATGCTTAGATATAGGCTGACTGTGTAAATGTTTTTAATACTGTGAAAGTAAAGTGAAGTGTGGCGACCCCTAGAGGGGTCAGTATTAAATTGAGACTTTTTATATTATAAAAAGAAAATGAATAAAGCATTGATGATGATGATGATGATGATGTTAGAACTTGTAAGGGTTAACCTCTGACCTTTTCTCTGCGTAAGAGCTCGAAGGCGGCCAGCAGCTCGCCGGCGTTCTTGTCCCCAAAGCGAATCGGGAACCAGGCCAGACGCGGGGAGGCAGTCAGGGAGGGCTGGCACACACAGCGGCCCATGAACTCATCAGCACCCTGGACATTTAAAACACACACACACACACACACATAATCTTTACACATGGAAAAAGAATACTTAACACTTGTCTTTGTTTTGGCGTGGAAGGCAGAATTGTAGCTCAACACGTACGTATGTGTCCGAGTCGTAAAGCTCCACCAAGACGTTGGGCGGAGTGGTCATCGTGACCTCGGGGTCGCCGAAAATCTCGACCTCGTAGAAGATGAGCGTCTGGTCCCAGGTGGGATTGAGAGTGTTTCGCACTGTCACTGTTTTCTGGGATTGATGGAGGAACGACACGATGGCGTACGAGTCTGGAGAGAGAACGACAAAACAAAAAAAAAGTGTTTGTGAGTCTTTTTAATTTGCTGCTTTAAACACATAAGCGGAGAAATCGTGGTGAGATTTTGGTTTGTTTTAAACACGTAGAAGAAGAAATTATTAGTGAACCAGGCTGCAAATTAACATTCAATTGATGTGAAAGATTTAGAAGTAATTACCGACTCATTGCTGCATCAGTAAATCAGCTTTTTCGGGAATTTTTCAGCAACATTTTTTCAGTTATATCTGATTTACTGGTTCTCAAACTATGATAGTGTACCACTGGTGGTGTGCGAGCTGCCTCTAGTGCCGTGGTTCCCCACTAGGGGTCGCCAAAGCTTCACAAAGGGGACGCGAGGCCTTCTTGATTTTAAGGCGCGTTAGAAAACGTATAAAATATATACACACCAGCCCTATATGTCAGCATCTGGATCCCTTGTGTGAAGAAAAATAAATGCAAAGTAAATGTTCTAATGGAACAATGGTCAAGCATCAGGGATAAGAAAAATCTGTATGACTAAAAGAAGAATTATTAAAAAAATAGACAATTAACAGTACTTACATTATACTTATTTTAATCTAAACAACAGTCCCAACTGAACTAAACCGAACTGCGACTGTTTACACTCATAAAATGTGACAAAGCTTATTATTTTGAAAGTCTAACCAGAAGTTGCATATTAAATGTTGGACACTAGAGGGCAGCTGCAACATCATATTTTGAAGCGTAGGGCCACTGACCAGGCTGTCATAATTGACGAGTTCGGGGTGAGAACGTGTGGGTCTGTGTGTGTGTGTGTGTGTGTGTGTGTGTGTGTGTGTGTGTGTGTGTGTGTGTGTGTGTGTGTGTGTGTGTGTGTGATTGGGAGCAGAAATGCCAGCTATGATGGCATCACAAACTAAGTCACTGGAACACAGGGCAGAGAGTCAGAGCACTTTTAGGACATTTTAAGAGAGGAAAAGTCTCATCAACAACTCATATCCACCTGAAATAAACTACACCAGCCACTGGTTTCATCTGTAACTGACTGTATTTTATAGGCTGATCATATGTTTCTTTACGCAGAATCTTAATTTGAAAAGTACTAAAGATGAATGTAGTGGAGTAAAAAGTACAATATTTCCCTCTGAAGTGCAGTAGTAGAAGTATAAAGTAGCGTAACAGTGAACAAGTACCTCACAAACTGAACTTAACTACATACTTGAGTCACCACTTTCAACTACAGGTGCCAAGTACCCTTTAGATTTGAGCACCTTTAACACAATAAAGTGCTTTAAATGTCGATAAATCAGCTGAAAACAACTTAAAAGGTAAAGTATAAACAGTTACTTTAAAGTGAAAACACTAAAAAGAGATGAACTGGTAGTGAACAGACTCGGGCGCTTATTTGCCCTCCTTCGCTGTCCTGAGAGGAGAGAATGAGGTTATAGTTGGAGAATGCGTTCTTAATGACGGTCCTCACAAGTATACCAGCACAAACTTATGTATTTGTGTGTGTGTGTGTGTGTGTGTGTGTGTGTGTGTGTGTGTGTGTGTCCAAACTATCCCGGCGTCCCACACAGTGACATCAGCATCTCGGGAATGCCGAGCTCGAGACGGAGGGCTGGGAACACCGCTCGGAGAAGTTTGTTATTCCAGGTCACAACCACTCTCCTCCATGTTAACACGAACACACACACACACACACACACACACACACACACACACACACAAACATGTACAATGTGGACACAAGCATACAAACACACACTTACATACTGTTACACACACACAGACACACTCAGTGAGTAGTTTGTTATTTCAGGCCGAGTAAAGAGTCTCTATGGAGCCGTTAGCATTAGAGTAAACAGAAGCTAAGTTGCATTTTCCCACCAGCCCTCAATTAACCTTGGACACACATACACACACACTGTACAGACCCACCACCCATGGTGACCCATTCAATTACCGTCCACTCCCAACAGCCCATTAGCTCATATAAACAGCAATACAAACAGCCCAGGGGGGTTATGTAAGTTTCTGTGTGTGTGTGTGTGTGTGTGTGTGTGTGTGTGTGTGTGTGGAGGGGAAGCAGCAGTAGTTGGGGGACCCCAGTGGGAGCAACAGGGGTACATAAACACAGTGAAGACTGGGAGGAGAGAGGGGGAGAGGAAGATCTCTAAATGTGGGAATTTAGATCATCACCCAAAATAAATTCTAAAAACAGACAGAAGACAGAAATAAAGACATAAAGAGTTTATAAACAGGCGAGGATGAAAATAAAGGATGAAATATAAGATTTTCTGAGGGAGGTATTTCACTTTTTGGATAGTGACAGTAGAGAGAGACAGGGGAAGCTGGGAGAGAGAGAGGATGACACACAGTAAAAGGCCCAGGCTGCTAAAGTAAGGACTTGTTTTGAGACCATGTTTCTTTTCCTGTGTCCGATAATCCATAAATAAAATCAGTCATTCAATCAATCAATGGTACACTGTAAAACCTGATAAGTTAGTTAGTTTTTGATTGTCTTAAACCATCATTCCCAGAGAGACTGGGACCCATCGGGGAAGATCTTATTGGTGTAACAAAGATCTTGAAACGAGTCCTTTAACTCCTGCTGAAAGCACTCAAATTGTCTCCTTTAGAAAGTGAGCTGTTAACCTGAATTAAAATGTGTACGTTGTCTTACTGATGATGAAGTTGTGATTTATCAAACGTATATCTCTTCAAAATGGCTGCTTAGCCTGTTTAATAAAATATGAGGTGATGCAGAAATAGCAGTAAAAAAGGTCAATAACGTTCTTTTATGCACATTTATGGTTCTTCTCGCTGTGAATTGGTGTCGCGATGGTTTGTTATTTTTAAAAAGTTTGGGGAAAAACTACCTCAAACCTTTTTAGTTAATTAACTCAAACAATTTTAGTATGAAAGACATTTGATTTTAGTACAAGTAACTATTTACGTTGAATGTATTCTTCCACTAAAGCAAAGGATTACATCAACTGTCAAAACAGCTGACGTACAATAAAAACAATATATACTATAAAGTGTTCTGCTAGCCTACTTTGTTTTTTATGTGACTAACTTTGGGAGATCATAAAGAATTATTTGAGCATATGATGATTTATAAACTGAAATAAGAGCATTATCGCACAGTGGCGCTTACATTTCTGTAATGATATAAAGTCAACATAAAGAAAATGAGTCGATGGAACAAAGTGGAAATAAATCACCAAAACTTCAAATACTGCACACATTCAAGTTCACTCAAAACAACCGAGTTATTACTCCGACAGTTCACTCTTGAGTCAGGGTGAATTCATGGGAATGAGTGACTCATTTCAATCCATTCTACTTTCTATGGAGGAGCAGGACATCCAGCCACGCGATGCATGATGGATACGCCGCGGTGAGCTGCACTTTGTCCAAATGAAGTCCGTCCAGCGCAGCGGGCTCACAAAACTCCGATCAAACTGTCAAACCAGGCAGCGCCGATCGAACATGAATCAAGATTCTGTTTCCCGCCTCAAAATGTTTTCGGAGACATATTTTAGTTCACTGTTTAGCCGTAATATGTTAATACGGTTCTGGGGCGGCCGCCATGCTGAAAGCAGCAGATCCAAAAACCGAGGCGCCGCCAAAACTCGCCGTTTCCAAAGGCTGACAGGATGAAAAGATAAAAGACTAATCAGATTTAGAAAGGTAGGATAAAGGCAGAAAGGTGGACAAAGAAAGATGGATGGAGAAAAGAAAGAAAGAGCTCAGTCTTTGATGGTTGACTCAGCCTTTAATCATGGCCGCCCAGACGCCGTTTAACACCAGATTAACACACAACTGAAGCCCATCCATCAACTCTACTCATCCGTTACACTGTGTGTGTGTGTGTGTGTGTGTGTGTGGACGTCTGCCTCTCTCTAACCCTCTTTAACCAACCTCCCTCCATCATCTATCATCCCTCTCTTCCTCTGTCTATTCATCCCTCTGTTTTCCAAAGCTTCGTCTCTGTTTTTACATCTGAGTCTGCGGTGGGTTTCTGATTAACGCGCGCACAGTAGCCGTAGTTTCCACGACCTTCTTCAAATCAAACATTTTCTCTTTTCTCTTTTCGGTCCTCTCTTTCTGTGTCACTCGTTCTTTTTATAACCTCACTCTCTCTCCCCCCCTCCCGACTTCCCTCGGGCAGTAACACCAAAATCTGAGCTTTTTAAAAATGTATCTGTCTCAAACAATAAGTATTATCTCTCTCTCTCTCTGTCTGTACCTTTATAAAATCTGAATAATACTGCTTAATATTAAAGCCTAATACTTGATTTTTTTATTTAATTGCTTTTAAAGTTCTGTATTTGTAAATTCACAGCCCTCAGTTTGGTGTCCTCGAGCATAAAAGCTCAATTTAAACCACCTACACGTACTTTGCTACCTAATCTTGCAATAGCTGATTTTTCTTTTTGGCCACTGAGGGGCAGCAGAAACAAGCTGTAAACACAACTAGTCTTTAACAGTTCAGTTGATGTGGTAAACTTCCCTGCAACAACAAATGTTGTTTTTATTGTATAAATCTGGTAGCTGTGGTCGCCATAACTGGTAGAACTTTTCTACTATTACAGCAAATTACTGTCGCGGTTTGACAGTTTCTACCGGTTAAATCTACAGACATTTAAGAAATAATTCTTTGTAGTTGTGTCACTATGACTGAACCCTGTCACATTACACACTGTGATTTGATCCATTGTTATAATAAAAACATTTCAGACAGCAGCTATTAATAATAAACGTCCTCTAAATATTAGTACTTTTGTTATTGTTACAACTCCAAAATTCATTTTAATTGGTTCAGGTAATAATAATCATGATATTTAAAAACAAATTATTGATATTGAGTTAATAATACACATATAAAATTAAATTAAATCACAGCTTTTGTTTCATTACTTTGAGTTATTTGGACTACAGTAATCGTGTAGTGAGCCCTAGTAGTGTACTGTGCATCTTTATCTTTATTTTTAGGCGTTCCCACCCATGCAAGAACTTTATTTCTTTACATTTCACACTCTCTTTTTCAAAGTAGTTCCTTAAGGAGTGCGTCTTGAATGCCACTGTGTCCTCAAAGTTTGATGTTTTATAAAATCAATGCAGTTCACAGCTTAAGCAGCAGTGAAAGAGCTGCCTTTCCAGGGCACCACTGGGAGCAAGTACAACAATAAGAGACGTGAAAGCTGTTCCATTAATAAGAAGCCTGTGTCTCTTCTTTGTTCATTTGTTCTCCTCTCTGAGGGTTTGGCTGACTAGACTATGCAGAGCAGCTGATAAGGTTGAAAGTGAGCACCCAACATATCGTAGTTGAGAGATTAAGAAGAATCTAACAGGCAGACCCCTTTATGCGTGTGACTCTGGGACCATATTTAAGACACTAGTAGATCTTGTGGGTCTAGGTTTGTGTTAAATATCCCCCAACAGGAAAAAACCTTCAGAATCGGTTCAATACATTCTGCTGTATAAGTCATCCAGGTCTTCTGAACTTTTTTTTCTCACCACAATGACATCCCACCCAAATGTATTTTTGTCTAACTTTCTTCATCGTAAAGCAGCTCGACCAATAGAGAACTCCTCATCAGCTCACGGGCAGTGTTGCGTTCAGGCGCTGCTTTAACGGACAACCAAACACGGATGACAAACAGTACACAACCACTGTAGAAAGACATAATGTGAGTTACTTTCTGTGTGTTACCTCCCTTCTGTCTGTTCCACATTGAGCTCAATGCCACAATTTAAACTTTCAAGCCACCAGATGGCGCAAGTTACCAGCTGCACGGACAGACACATGATGAGAAACGTATCAAAGATTTTAAATAATTCGCTGCACAGTACCTGAGAAACTGTCTTTGTCCATGGCCAGCAGGTCTCTGGCTTGGTATAGGTAGCAGCGCAGGTGGTAGCGGGTGCCGCCTACACACACACGAACACACAAACACACACACACACACACATCAGTGTTTTGACAAAAAAAGTGAAGGGGGTGAAGAAGAGGTTAGGAAGGATGAAGAGTATGAAGGGAGCTGAAAGAGGGAAGAGTAAATAAATGTGTTGTCTTACTGTCAAAGAAACAGGAAATGGTTGGTCTGTTGACTCCGAACGTGGTCGTGACCGACTTGTCCTCGTTCTTGTCCTCTATACTGCTCTGTGGGAGGAGGAGGAGGAGGCCAACAACAACGGAGATGAAGATCACATTTGAAGGTGCTATAAAGTATTCATAAAACACATCACTCTCTTTCTGCAAGGCCTTCAAAATAAAAGACTTAATTTAAGCTTCCTAAGTCTTAACAAACACTACATGGCCAAAAGTATACAGACATGCACACGTCTCGTGGTTTGGGCCTCTTCCAGTGTATTTTAATGTTTGTCCCTTTCTTGTTTCAACATGACAATTCCCTCATGCACAAAGCCAGCTCCATAAATAAAAGGTTTTTCTAGTTTGGTGTGGAAGAAATGGACAAGCCTGAACTTTTAGATGAACGGGTGAGTCAGACCTTATCACTGAGGATCATTGGTAGACTGTCCAATATCTGAATGAGAGCAGCAAAGTTTAACATCTAGTGGGAAAAACTCAACAATCACATGTTGGTGAGAAGTCCAGGTGTCCACATACTTTTGGCCATGTAGTGTATCTTAAATGATTGCATCACTGTGTATAACTGTTTTTCCGCACTCTGTTTCTCTCTCACCAGGGAGCACTCCAGAGCAAAGATAGCCGCCGGTCCCGTCTTCTCCAGCGGCTCCATGCGGCGCCTCCACCTGCGCCTCCTGAAGCTGTCCGTCTTCCTCGGCTTCAAGTGGAACCTCCAGCCGAACAGCGAAGCGTACTCCCAGCCCTCCTTCTCCGCCTCGTCCGGACGCTGCTGTACACACACACACACACACACACACACACACACACACACACACACTCTGAACCTCTGTGTGTTTCAGCCTTTCTCTTACTCATTTGTGCAACTAGACCGCCATCTAGTGGTTGGTAGAGGAAACTGCTCATATGAGAGGATGACGTGACAGACTCTTCAGGAATGGAAAATGCTTATCAGCTGTGGTAACACCACAATATAGACAAGTAAAAGAGCCGTATTTATACTCTTATTTAAGTAAAAGTAGATAAATATGATATAATATACTATTATTCTATAATAATACATCATAATTTGGTAGTTGATTTATATTTTGTATCAACAATCTGCAAAGTAACTAACGTTGTCAGTGTTGGCTTTCAATATGTAGTGAAGTAGTACTACAAGTATAAAGTACCATAAAATGTAACTATACCACAGTGTCGATTAATTTGTGATGTGGGACACTTACTAAGTAACTCCAATGAAAGTAAGTGATTAAAAAAGGAACAAAGAGTGTGTTAAATATTAAAGTTTTTAACACAAAAAGTACCAAAAAATAAAGGAAAGTCTGGATTTTTGAGGCAAATTTGTGAATCTGTTTTTTCAGATTTTTGAAGTCTGGTACGACTCCAGCTGCTGACCTTTGTTGTATTTCATACCTCTCTCTGTTTTCCAGCATTTACAGTCACTGACAGTCACTCTACTGTCAGTTTCAAATAAAAAGCCCCAAACTGTCTCTCTTTCTACCCGTCTGAGAGCTTCCATCTTCTGCTGGTCCCGTCGCCTCATTCGTATCCACCGTCTCCTTCGGTTGGTGTGGTACATCTTTTCTGCCGGCACCCACGACTTGGGACGACGATCTGGAGGGATGGGGATGCCGTACTCCCAGCCTGGAAACAAACACACACAGAACGGGACTTACTGATGCTGTGTTTCATTTAGCTTTTGTTGAGGTTTTTCTTGTGAATGTGTGTGAGCGCACCTTGATCATCCACAGCCCTGTTGAGATCTTCGCTCCACTCCACCTCCTCCCACACCCAACCTGGAGGACACTCCACCTCGTCTTTTGGCACCGCCTTCTCCCCATTCTGACCCACACACACAGTTTTATGAGTGAAGCCATAAAAGGTACAGAAACACGAACACGGGTGCAGTATTTACACACATGCATTTGAAAAAGGGGAGAAGAAAACACTGAATTTGTCCCAAAAAAAGAGTCATATTAAGTCAAAATGTAAAAACACATAATAAAGACTTGAATTGTATAAAAATTTCCTAAAAATATCAGGAAATATGTTTCTCTGATGCAATATTCACACGTACCACATCAGTGTACCCCTCCGGCATACCAATCCACTGTCCGCCAGGTAACCTCATCTGGTTTTCAAACACTTCCTCTGTGAAGGTCATGTGACCGGCGTCCACGTCATACAGCAGTCTGAGGGTTTATCATCGCAGACGTACAACAGTGCACATGAATACACGCAGATACAACCACAGACTCTCACACACACGGATACTGTAATTACCTATAGCTCATCAGTAAGTGCAATATCCAATAAGCATCTTAATGATAAAACATGACTATTGTCCTCTCTGGTTTACTGTAGTTTTGCTGCGACCTGGTGATTCTTTCTAGTCTCGTCTGGTGTGAGAATACAGAAACCAAACAGCCAAAAATGCAGCTCGGAGAGGTGGAAGATGTTGGAAAATGGACGACAGCAACAAGAAAAACTAAGACAAATAATATTTAAAACTGCAGTGAGGGAGATATGGAGGATAAACTGGTGGAATAATTTCATCAGCTCCATCTTCAGCTGTAATGCTCAAACAATGAAACGAAAATTAAAAGGGAATATTTCCAGAGATTATTTGCCAGTATGTAGTGGGAACAACTGGATTTTAGTAGATTAAATTGCCCCCAAAAAGGGGCAAACGTGAAAAAAAACTCTAAAAATCTGTTCAAAGGGGGCGCAAAGTAGATTAAAAAGAAAAAAATGATTTAGAAAAATGAAATAACTAAATGACACAGACTCACGTCTTCTCGGGGCTGATGTACCATTCTCCGGCCCAGGTCCAGCTCGGTGAGGGTTTGAAGCTCTCTTTGGGGAGTTTAACTCTTCCAGTGACGTCGCTGAACTTGGGGGAGGTTAAACCCGTAGTTCCCCAGCTGCCCACCAGGGCGAGTCGGGTCTGGTTCTCATACTGCAGAAAGAGAAAAAGAGAGAGACAGATGACGCTTAATGGCCTCCATATTTATTTTTGTTCAAATGTGTGAGAACAGAGAGCTTGACCGGCGTAGCAACAGTAACTGAGAGGGGCGGGGCTTATCAAACTGTCTTATTGAACATAAATAAATGTGATGAGTGTGATTTGTGGCCTGAAACATGAGGTAAATTCTGACAGCAGCAGCATCTCACCGCCTCAGCAAAGACCGACAGTTTTCCTTCCGCGTATTGGTTGAAGTGTTTGACGTCAGCAGCCAATCCAAACCAGACTTTCACCCTCAGCTGACCGGGAAGTTTGGGCTCCTTGCTGCTGCCCTGCGGGTGCTGCACAGCACACGCAGCAGGGGGTCAGTAAAACAAACTTTATTTGAGAAGACAAAATGCATCTATGTGTGTGTGTGTGTGTGTGTGTGTGTGTGTGTGTGTGTGTACCTTGAGGAAGACAGTCTGCAGCTGTCCACAGTGTTTCCCGCAGTGCTGCTGGGAGAAGATCACAGTGTGTGCCGGGATGCGGTGGTACGCCACCCTGCGGTCGCCCTGCATCATCCATATCACGATGTCTGGAAGGCTGTTCTGAGGCTGGGTGGGGGGGGAGATATGGGTTAAAAAGTCATGCTAGTAGCTGCCTTGATACAATTTTTGGCCAATGTTTTGTGCTGTAGACCAGTGGTTCTCAACTTGTTTGGTATCAAGGACCTCCAGACTGATCCACATCAGTCCGCAGACCCAGATTTAGTTACTCCATAACATAGTTGATTTACACTTATGAACAGAACTGAATAGTATTTTTATATGTATATACACTCTCTCATTAGACTAACTTTTATTCACTGAAATAATAGTGAAATTTATATATTTCTCACCTCCTCGGCCATTGTCCTCAGCCTGCTGGCCCAGTCCTCTGCCTGCTCCAGCACTGTGGACAGCTCGGTGGAAGTTCCGTGCTTGAGAGCGAGTGCCGCCGCAACGATCTGCTGCAGGTGGAGGATGCGAACGTGCCTCAGCGAGCGATCCAGAGGGGTCGCACACTGCCACTGGTCGATGGAGGGCAGCTCTTCACTGGAGACAGAGAGAGAGAGAGAGAGAGAGAGAATGAACGGTGCAGCATGTGCAGTCTAAAGCAAGGTTATTATAGTTAAATAACACATAAAACATTTTATTTAAGTGGAATAAAATTAAAACTATAAAACTGAAACGATATTGTGTAAAAATATACAGCAAATGTCTTTTAGTTTTAGTGTTTTTGTCATTTAGGGCAACAGATTACAAGCAATATTATTAATTAAATATAAATATATTTGGTACTGAGTTAATATAACTTTGTAGTTAACCATTTCATATGAGTATGAGTAGTAATGAAAATGAATTGTTTATATTTATATATTTTTTAATTCCACTAATAAGAATTAATTATATTTTACATATCAATGATATATAATTGAGTGTAATCACCTTCAGTTATCAGTGAATTGATTTGGATTTATTCAATTCCATTTTTTTATTCCATTTATTTATCTTTTATTTTCTCTTACCAGAAATTTCATAATAATAATAAGGCCCAGTGGGTCCTATTTTTTAAATGGATTATATGTTCAAATCTGAATGTGTAAAGCAACTATTAACTATAGCTGTAAAATAAATGTAGTTGGGTAAATATAAAGTAGCATAAAAAAGAAGCTCTCAGTAAAGTAAAGTACAGTACTTGAATAAATGTCATTCCACCACCATATAAAACACCTAAAATACACTTCTCCTGAAGGTGATGATCTCCTGAGGTGTTCACCTGCAGTCTGTGATGACCTGATCCAACAGTTCCACCACTCGGAGCTCCACCTCCTCCAGATCACCGCCTGCCTGCACCTCCAGCTGCACCCGCTGCAGGTTGGCCTCCTGGACACACACACACACACATGGTTAATACTGAGGTGTTTAATTCCCGGGTTTTGCTCCTGCCAACCCAGGGATAAGTCAAGTAATGTTAGCTGCACAAGCTAACAACCTAACGGCCTCTAACATTAGTGTTAGATTATCTCCGGTAGCTAGTCATGCTGTTAGATAGCTAATGAACCTTCACTCTGTGTTGTTAAAAGTTGAGGATTGATTGACGAGTGGATGTCATGATATTAGGAAACTCCCCCAAAATTTTGTTTTTCAACATAAAAATACAAAGAAATTGAGTTTTTGTCAAATATTTTTGCAGACATTGTTAAATATGGATACAATATACTTGATGGTGCAATATTAAAGGGTTAAAATGTAATTTGCCTTTAAGAGCGGACCCGACCAGAGCAGATACAACACCTACCAGTCTCTCTATGATAGCCAGCAGCATGTTGAGAGCCTCGATCCTCGGCCTAATGTCCTCCCACTCTGAAGACAGAACCACCACTGGCTTAACGTTTCCCCACGGGAGGTAATAATAGTGGCAACCTGGAACACACACAGATGATACAGATGCAATCATTATTATTAAAATAATCAAATTAATCGACAGCATTCTGCAAGCAAAACTCTTTGTGAATGGATAACTAGCTTTGGTTAACAAAAGAAAATATTCTGGGGGGTAATGTTGAGTTTTTTGGAAACTTTTAGCCGTATACCGTTAGCCGTTACCGAAAATTAACCGAACCATCACTCCTAGACCGAGGTATGACCTGAACCTGCTACATGAATCTCAACTAATTGCACATTTACACAGGTGTGCTGTACAGGTACCTGGATTTATTACACATATAAAGTCACCTTTGATCTCTAAGTTTTAGACCTTTTCCTCACCGTCAAACACGGCCCTGCTGAACTGGGTGGCGGAGGCAAGAGGGAGGCAGGTGTAGTCGAACTTGTTGCCGTAGTTACCGATGCTGACCTCGAACTGGATGGCGTCGTCGACGTCCTGGAGGAGCGTGGCCGAGTAGAACGAGACGAAGAGAGAGAACTTCCTCTTCCTGAGGAACTTCTGTTGGACGGAAGAGAAGATTTGAGACATGAATGAAGGACGGATGATACCTTTTCTTCGTGTGTTCAAGTGTTTTTATGTCGTCCTTCCCTCTCACCTCCACCACCAGCAGGTCATCTGATGGTATGTCTTCAGTTTTCTGCTCCGGTTTGTCCACCAGCTTTGTGGTTACTTCCAGTAAAACTCGACCTCGGTACGCCACGCCCTCGCCCTGACAGACAGAGAGACGTCTTTAGGATATAATATGTGGCTTTTCTGCATTAAAATGTCTAAAAACAGTAGGGTTGTGTTATATATTTTGTTGTGTACCTCCGTTATTGTTTCCAAAAATGTTCAAACTCACAGAAATCAGTCGTTTTCTTCAGGTTCTGCATTTGATTGATCGCCATATACCCCTTTGTGCATGCATTTTGGTTGTCTACCAGAAGCTGTCATACATTTACTTTTATTCAGTTAAGCCACATTTTTACCATCAACTGTTTAGATTTTCATGGTTTTCAACTCTATATTTTAACCGGATGAAGGATTTTAGTCATCGGACGTCTGGATCTTAAGTTATCGGAGAAACAAGCTGAGCTAACGCTAGCAGCAGCTTGGCTCGCAGCCCCTCCGGGACGTCATTTGTCTGTCCAACAGCGTCGGAGAAACACAGATTTTCACTTAATCTGACTGCAGTGGTGAAGAAGACAATAACTCCCATGATCCCACGCTACTTCACAACATCATCAAATGTATTTGTTGTTACCTTTTGTTATTGTTTTGATGTCACTAGCGGCAGAAATGACACATCTTACATCTGAAAGGTGCAATAATCAATAAAATGTCAATTTATTATTGCCACCATCAGTTAAAGACATTAGTGTACTATTACCAAAACATACAATACAAAGTGAGAAGCCTGTAAAAGCTTCTACTCGGTCAGATATGGAAAGAAATCCGTGCTGCTTTACAGCACAAAGAGAGTTTCCGGTGAAGACAGTCAGTGAAAGCTCACAGGTTAAAAGATGGGAAATTAATAATTTTCCAAGCCACATTATCCATCTAAAGCTTCACAGCTTTGGTGATTTGATCCTTTTCTTTGTCTTATGTGAAAGTAAAGTTTGGGTCAATCATTGGTTAGACAATACAAGTAATTCCTGACGTTTTGTAGACCAAACAGGGAAATAAACATCAGTTGCAGTCGTAAGAGTAGACATTATTATATTATGTTCATATTAATGATAATATACAAACCATGCTAAAATCGAGTTCTGGAGGATTTTCTTACTTTCAAAATATTCTCTACCTTTAATTTAAGTTGATGACTGATTTCATGGTACTCAATGACACTGAACGAGAATGAGTTAAAATGGTTACAAAGTGAAAGTGAAAATCAAATGAAGTGAAGTTACTTTTCCGAGGTTTAGAGCTTCGTGTGGGTCGTTGAAGGCGGTGAACTCTCTGGGGCTGCCGTACAGGTTGACGAAACATGGACCGAACGTGGGCAGGAAGCCGAGACTGTCATCAACTGCAATGACACAATAGATTCAATTACAAACAAAAAAAAAATGAATGACGAAAATGAAGAAAATTAATTAATTGATTGATTGATTAAAATTATGTTCACAAATTCAGATTCAGAGAGTTTCATCAGAATTAAGCCAAGATGGAAACAGTTATGAGTTTAAAGGTGAGTGGAAACATCACAAAAATGAAGTGAAACAGTTGAATTTTGACCGTTTCACTGAAAATAAGAGAGGATGGTGGACGTACTGCCAGAATGGACGGTCCGTGGAGTCAAGTCATCTGAATGCGTAGAGAGGAAGGATGGTTCAGAGTCAGACAGAAAGGAAACAGACGTCTTTGAACGACCACTCAATCCCAAACAGATGCACTCAACACAAAACCCTGAATACTCGTACTTGTTTCAAGTAAGTTACTAAGTTACATGTGAAGTATGTGAATTGTTCTGTAATTCAGGAGCTAAAGCTTTGAAAAACTAAAACTGGTGAGGCCCTTTAAGATTTAAAAAAAATACTACATGTTGCACCTTTAAGTTTTGGACTTTAATGTTACCACACAGCCACCAAATCAGCAAAATACGGGTTATTATTGGCCATTCTCTCTCGTTTGTGTTGGACATTCAATAAAATCCAATCAAAATACAACTTAAAGACCTATTCTTACTTGTTCGGCCACGGTGACCCTGAATAAAGCTGCCAGATGTTTCCAAGACAAAGAAGAAATGTCACACACACAGTGAGCAAAACTCATGCATGCCGTCTTCAAATGGGTCAAAAGACTGTGAGGACCGAAAACTCAAGCAGCGTCAGTGTTCAGCACCCAAACAAGTTAGTCTTCATGCACGTCACTGAAAAGTAGAAACTCCATGCTTTGTTATGTTCCTGAAACCACAGATCCGTCTGCTGGTTCAACACCTGAGATTTATAGATTCAAATCCAACTCTCAGTTCTCACACAAGACTTCATCACTAAAGGGCACTGCACACTAAGTCTGTATTTTCTTTCCAAAACCTTTGTCGGTCACTAAAGGAACAGGTTTGATTTTCTGGAGGAAAAGGAGGTCTTGCAGGAGAAGACAGCTCCTTTATCAGCAGGTGAAACTCTCCTTGTTCTTGACACCTTGTACCCAATATTTCCTTTTTGTACTTTCAAGTGAGAGGACCACAATATTATCCTCATTGCTTGACGACTCAGTTTTTTATTGGATCACAGATTTAAATTTAAAAACAGACATGGTGCGCACAGACTTTAACTATTGAATTGCAAATGGATGCACACTGAGTTTATCTGAACTGTTTCTGTTCTCCATATCACACCAGTACAGTCCTGTTCTGTGAGCTTAACTGGGTCAGACTGGTCTAATTAAAAGCAACACTCTAGGACCACACAGCTCAAAATACAAAGTCTGCAGTCAACCTTGACCACACAGAGTCACTCAAAACTGATGACTTAAGATACATTTGGAATTTACAGCAACTTTAAGGGGAACTTGGCAACTCTAGTCATTTCTTCGCTGGTTTTCACTTTTGTCATCGCATCCTTTCTCAACGAGCTCCCCCTACAGCTCTGGGACGTATATTTCACAAAACTGTCGTAAAAAAACTCACTTGCGGCACCCTCCTCCCCCTTTCTACCGCTGCTGATGTGCATTTGTTGCCTGGCAACTTTTTCGTGTGGAGCAATGTCTACTGAGGTGGGTAATACATTATACACAGTCTCATAGAACATTGCGTTTATGTGGCATTGCCGTAAAGCAGTTTGTGTTTCTCGCTCGTTCTCGCTTCTCACAATACTTCCTATTTCCAACTTAACAGGACAGTAGTCCCAAAGTTGCAAGGTTGGTTTTCCGCCTGGGGACGCTAGGGGGAGCGGGGAAAGTCACCATTAACACCGGAACAGGCCACTTAACCATCCAATAGTTGCCAAATTCCCCTTTAAGAGGCTGATCGCCAAAAAGATAAAACCTCGATTTCTTTGAGTTGGCTCACGACTTTCATCAGGTTTTTTTCCTTCCAAAACCTAAAACATGATTGAAACATATTTTTCATGTGCAAGACTAACAGAAGACCTGCTGGACTGTCAGTGCTATGCTTTAGCTAAGTTTAATAATCAGAAATGTCAGCACTCGAATTCATTGGCTCTGGTTGGTTGTGTTTGTAGACATCCGCCTGACATCTGCAGACAGCTGCTAGTTAGCATTAGCTACAGAACAGGTAGAGATCAATCCAACGTGTTCCAGACTCGAAAGGTAACTTACCGACCTACCAACCAGTCTGGAGTTTCACTGAAAGTTTCAAATGTAAACTAATAAATCTTTACCCTTGGATTCATGTGACTTTGGTTTCACAAATCCAGTTTGTTTTAACAATTAACAAACTGAACCAAACCAGACGAGACAAAAACCAGCCAATTCTAGTCTAAACCAGTCCAAATCAACCTGGTCGGGTCCAGTCCAGTTCAGACCAGTTTCGACTAGTTACTTACCATCTATGTCTCCTCCGGGTGCCGAGATCTTAGACATGCAGAGGTGGGTGGTGCCGATGACATCGTTGTGACTGGCTCTGTCCCTGGAAGGAGGAAGTAAGAGAAAAACCCAAAGCTCGGACAGATTATTTTAAAGCCAAATGGTGACATGAATTAAAATGTAGCACTATAAACCAGAGGTTTTCAAACTGCCCAGGAGGGCCGTGGGAGAGTTGAAGGAGGAGTTGTCCGTACATTCATGGATACATTACAACCAGAAATTGCTAATAGCTAATTCGGCATACTTTTAATGGTGCCAGAATGTAAACAAATCTTGTTCAAATCAAAGTTGTAGACCACAGCTTAATGCAGTTGTCTTGATCTCGTCAGGCTTTGGAAACCCCTGCTCTAAACTAAAGACATACTCTAAGTTGCTGTTATATTTAGTTAGTTTGATCAAACAAAATGTCAAAATAAAGATATATATCAGCAAGAATTCACCAGTCCAGAATTCTGATCCTCATCTTCTCACACATGGAGGGAAACTGGAGGAGAAAAGAAAGCATGAAATGTATAATGGTCCGTCTCGGTAGCACAATATAATGTTGCATTCACTGTTTGTGTGTCTCACCCTAATAGGCAAGCTCAGACTCTGGTTCCACTGTGGATTTGCATTTTTCTCCAGAATCTTTGTGCAGACCTGAAAAGAAAGAAAAGGCAATACATCTTAAATGGTTAGGTTCTGTATTTAATGTTGAGTTTTGGATGAACAGCTGTCCGGATCAAATGACTTTGATGGAAGTTGTTGGAAGTCATACGCACAGTTTTGCCCGCAAAGTGGATCTCCACCAGAGGATCCACCAGGTTCTTCCTGTTGCTGTCAAACCCAAGAATCTGCCTCATCCCATCCATGAAGGCGTCGTCCACTGCAGACAAGTCAAGAAACATTAAAAAACTCTCAATCTTTGCCTTTTAAGCAAGTGAATAAACAATAAACACACACTAGAGACTGACTTTGTGGCAGGTCTTCAGCTCTGAAGATCCTCAGGGTAAAAGTGGCTCCTCTCAGAGACAGACCGGCCGGTCTCAGCAGGTTTCCTTCTATGTCTTCTTTGTCCTCCACACCCTCGCGTTTATCAGCCTGGGATACACACACACGGATACAAATGCTTTCATATATTAATGCAAAAAACACCTGCATTCATTAAGAAACATGGAATATACAATATACTGTAAAAAAACAGAGGTGGGACCAGTAAGTAAGTAAGTTTCAAGTCTTTTTGTATATTGTTGAAGTTAACACATTTAAACTGGTTAAACTGTTTACAGTTTGTCCAAAATAATTGCGGTTCACGTTTCTATCACAATATTCATCAAAATACAATGGTAGCAAGATCAAGCCGGGCCTTCGGGGGCACCGGTGCTGTCTCGCTAATCTTGTTTCATCCAGTCAAACTCACCGGTGGCTCATCTCCAGCTGCCAGAACCATCAGGCTGACCTTCAGGTAACCTTTGACCCCAGCAGAGAGGTCGTCGGGGTCACACAGCAGCAGCCATTTCCTCAAGAAGCAGTGTCCTAAAGAGAGGAGGGGCGGGCTTAAACTCAGGACCTTCAAACTAACCAATAATGTACTGGAAGCAAGAACTCTCTGAGCTCTGAACTTGAAGTTAAGAAATTAAAATTAGAGTCCTCTATACACACAAACACCACAAATCACCCATTAAACACAGAAAAGTAAACTCACTGTGCTCGTTGTAAACGGTGCCCACATCCAACTGTAAAAAATATCACAAGATTTTACATTGTTTTGCTTTTTATTTTGCTTCTTTTCTTGGCTGAATGTCCCAGAAATCCTGATTACAGAACAAACAGCGCACTAGTCGGTATAATCAAACTTACTGATTTGAATGTTTATGATATACTGAAGGATGAAGAAATGTTCCTACTTTTTAAGCTAAATAAACTATTTAAAAATCCTCTCGGATTAGCTTGAAAATGCATCGTCGCAAAGCTGAAGTTGACTTTTTAGAGACAAATAATTCTCAAACATATGATGATCTTATATAATATGATGCATTGGCTGTAGATTAAACTACCCAAAAGTATATAAAGTAGTTTAACTTTATACATCTACAGCAGTAAAATGCAACATACACATTAATGTAGCTGTAATATTAATCCAAAAACATCAGATATAATAGTAAAACACTGACAGGGAACATTTTATAGCTACTTTTACTCATGAAAAGTATCTGTTTGTCGATTGGAAAGTTTACCTTGAATTCGCCGATCACAGCATCAGTTCTGAGTGAGCGAGAGTCACACACCTGTCAGGGAAAGAGAGAGAGTTTTATCAAAAGCAACTAACACAGCAGGAAAAGATCACTCAGGAATATTATGAAAGAAACAAAATGGAAGTTAAAGAAAATCCAACTCACAGTGATGAAGATGGGTTCATCAAACAAGTCTGATGGAGTCTCAAAGAAGTTCAGGAAGAATGTCTGTTTGACGGAGAAAGATATTTAACTCAGTTACACTCACTGTTGTCTGGCACATTATTTTAACTTTCAGATCTTTCTTGTTTACCTCGTCAAAGACTGGGTTGTTGCCCTTTCTGATGCGGGTCCTCTTGGTCTGCCCGGCGACCGTTACCTTGACAACAGGCTTGATGTTGATGCCCGGCAACTGTCGTCCCTCGATGACCCTCACACGAACCTGGACAGGGAGAGCATAAGCATATATAAGGTGTATAAAAGTAACTTTTTTAGTGACATTCAGCACATTAAGTGTGTAGTATCTAAGACAATACATTCATTATCTGGAATAATCATCATGAATTGATCAGGTAACGATGTGTTCGAAGGCCTCTGTTTTAATGGTTCCCAGTCTGTTTGAGAAATCATTTTCCAGGACATTTTCATGACAATACAGGACAGCACATCACAAACTGTCATATACTTTACCAGTAGGGGGACACATTCAACCAGCCATTTTTATTCTCCCTTTTTTTAATAATGTAAATTTGATCATTAATAGGCTGTATGCATGTAGATATGACAGTCTGCAGCATTTCCATAAGGCTTCTCTGAGAAGAAAATAATAGACAACGCCAGGGGGCTTTTTTTGACTGGCGGGACATGAAGTGTGTGTCTCAGCTTTCCAGTTCTGCATTTCCAACACTGTTTATGGACTCCAGTATGCATAAATATTAAAATATACTAGGATAAAATAACACATTTATACCACATAGAAAAAAACTGCATGGTTCTTGCCCCAAAACTGTTTGAATTAGTATAAAGTGTCCCATTTTCATTCAGATATGTTGAGGTTAGAGATCAAGGGATCCCTTTGAAAATGGCCGTCTGCAAAATTTAGCCAAAGTGTTATGTAGCTCCCTTCCCAACATGATAGTATGACATGGTCCATGAATTCACTCCTACTCTGAAATGCAGTGTGGGATAAAAGAGGTGAAGATAGATTTCAGGGGTGGCAAAAGAACACTTCTTATTTAAAAAAAAATCAACTTCTTGTAGGACTGATGACGTTTCTAAACTCCAGGCTATGACCCTGCATGCTACCTGTATGTCCTGTGGTTTGTTTGGCAGTGGTTTGTTCTGACTGCTGGCTCCTCTCCTCCTCTTCCTCAGCCCTCCGTGGGTGTTGTAGGATGGCGGCGAGCGTTTAGGTGTCTGGGCAGTGGGCGATTCATGGCCTGAGGGCCCCTGAGGACCGATGATGACCATGGAGCGTCCGTCATCGGGTCCCTGGTCCTCTGTCGGCTCCAGCATCATCATACTCTCTGTATCCTCCTCACCCAAAGTGTCCTGAGAAATCACTGCACAGACAGACAGGTTGACAGAAACTCGTCCCAGAAGGAAAATACAGAACAAGCCAATACAAATCCACTATAAACTAATTATATTACATGTGACTGTGTCCAGCTCTACATTGGGGTTGTTATGGGCCAGAGCCTCTGGCTGGTGAGGAGGCTGGAAGACTGGAGCCATTCCTGGAGGAGGAACGTAGGAAACCTGCAGGGTGAGCGTGGCCTAGTGGAGACAGAGAGCACAGTTGTGATGATTTTAAATCAGTGTTGGTAAAGAAAGAGCAAAGGACAGGAGCTCAGTGTATGAAACAGACAACAAAACGGGGCTGTTTGATTCTACATGAAGCTATAGTTTCCAAAAAGTGGATGGATTATGGAGCTACCAAAGTAATTCCCACTGAGTTCAGTTGGGAACACGCTTGACCCTGAGCAATCCTCTACTATTCAGCAGAAGTTGCAGTGTACTGTTGTTACAGGGTGTGTGGACCAGTAAAAGGTGTAGTCTTCTGCAATTTCCTTTAACAGGAAAAAGCAACTTGAGTGATATGCTGTAATGTTTCTGTAAACAAAGATATTAGAGTCTGTGTGTACAGTAGCCACAATATCTGTTCAACAGGTTTATGGTACAGTCAGGTACTCTTCGTCGTGCAGCTCATGTGGAGTGAAGTGTTGGGTTTAAAGAACTACTTAACCCGTGAAGTGAAGTCTTAAGTTAAAACTACCATCCTCCGTGTTGTGTGTGTGTGTGTGTGTGTGTGTGTGTGTGTGTGTGTGTGTGCGCGTGACATCAATAAGATCCACTCTGACATTGAGAGGAAGTGTTTGTTTTGGGTTCAGGAAAGGAGGATGGGAAAAAAAATGTTGTTTCATCTGCTGCTCGATAACAGAAGATGACAACAGGTGTCACCCAACAAAAAAAGAAGAAAAAGACAAGCAGTGTTTAAACACTCATATTTCTTTTCAAAAACATGTACAAAGGCAGCCCAACACAAAGTATGTTGGGCTATATAGAGAGAATGTGCAGCAGTCAACAGCTGACTCAGATTATCCATGTTAAATGCAACTTAATGGTTGTCTAAATCCGGATCAATGCCAACACTTACTGATCGGCCAGATTCAATCAAAATCCACCCCGAGAGGAAGAAAGACCACAAATAAAGTTGATCTTATTCTGTCAGTTAGCCACTTTTCTGTATAAAATGAATGTAACTGTGTAACCTGTGAATTATTGTATCATATGTGAGTTAGAATTTCTATTTAATTACCTTTGATTGTTCAAAACCGAGAGGTTTAATTGTTTAGTTAGTATATACACAATACTTTTCAAAACCACCACAGTCCGTTCAGGGGATCGCTGCGGTCAGATGCTGAGACAATTGAGTCTTAAATTTAATGTTCCTAAAATATCAAAGTGATGTTTGTGCAACTGTTTCCAACAAACAAACTGAGTTCCAGCATTTTTATAGAATCAAGTGTTTTGTTTTCTTGTTATGATCTCAGCTAGTTTATTTTACTACTTTATTCCAGCTACTTAAACAAGGGAATTAAAGAGCAGTGGAACAAGTTGAATAACTGTGTTAAGGCAGATATTTTTTTGTACTTTCAGTATAAATCCTACTACTATTTAATTAGATTAAAAGTGATAAAAATGAGAGAGAGACTGAGAGGTGTGTGGTTGTTATTCTGCTCTGACTCAGGAAAGTCTGGATCTATTTCAAGATCCAGACAGGAAACTCTGATTTATGATTTGTCATTGCTTCATGATACAATGAGACTGTAAATCTATGTGTGTGTGTGTGTGTGTGTGTGTGTGTGTGTGTGTGTGTGTGTGTGTTGAGCTCACCCCTGTGTTGTTTCTCTTGGTGTCCAGCAGGGAGACGGTGAAGGAGGCGGCGAAGTTGGGAGAGTTGAGCACATCTCTGAGAGACAGCCGGGTTTCCCCCAGAAACCTAAACACACACACACACACACACACACACACACACACACACACACACACACACACACACACACACACGTAAAAGTGTGTATTTGGTACATGAGTACATTGTATTCAGCACATGTGCAGTATTGTAATATAGGAATAATATCGGGATCTTCTGATCATATATACAGATTATTTTTGTGATATGGACATAACATAACTCTAGTTTCTGCAATAATCAGGTTAAAATGAGATTCATTCATAACATGCATGTGGTCCCTTGTTTGCAAGTTACTACTAGTTATTTCTCTCAAAAGTAATGGAATTACTTTACCAATTACTGCATATAAAAGCAATTAGTTACTAGGTAAATAACTTTTCCATTACTTTTAAATGTTTCCTCCAATTCTCTTATTAATGCACACAGCTCAAGACCACCAGAGGGCAGCGACGAGCAAGTAATACTTATTGTCTTGGTTAGTAGACGGGAGGGTTCAGTAGAAAAAGACCCACACGGACATTAACATTAACCGAGCTTTGCTACATTAGCTGGTGAATAAATAATTGTTATTGATGAATGAACTGAGCTGTCTCGGGCCACCGTAAGGTCCGATGACGTTAGATTATAAACCAGAAAATCAACGTGGCAACGCTCACATGCGTCTGCTGTCTGCTGCAGTTGTCCACTATTTTCAGGTAAGACAAATGTAACAAGTATTTGAGTTATTTCATTTAAAAAATGTAATTAGTTACCACCAAAAGTAGTGGAATTACTGTAACACACTACTTTATAACACATTAATCCCGACACTGAGAATGACTCACCTTTAATATAAACAAACAATATTAATACATTCATGCTTGTGCAGCAAACCAAAGCAAAGAGGTCACACTCTGGTCTGAATGGATCAATAAATCAATCGACGCATCAGTTGGTCAATTGGTGGAAATATGAGTGAATAAATACTGGACGGCCACAATGAGAGGATGACCCGATTCTTTCATGCCTGCCCCCTCCCTCCCTCCCCCATCCTCCTCCCTGAGGGAACTCCAACATGTTTGACATCTTGATGAAGCGGAACGACCCAAAAATAACCATCTGAAGGGGTGTTTTTCATAACACAAACAACTCGTGGGCCACGCCCCTGTCTGTGTCCTGAGTTTGGTCCGATCCATCTGCTACGTCTCAGTCTGACAATGGCCGAAGTTCTTATCTCAATTCCTGTGCGCTCTGAGCTCTGCGACGGATTTATATACGATTGACAATTCAAGTGCAAACATGGAAAGAATGTATGAAAATGTGCCGATGAGATCAGGAAGTTTAACCAAAATAACTAGACTTCAAATCAACAGAAGTGATAAAACTAACACATCGCAATAAAAGAGAGTTAACGTAAAGTAATCCTCCAAAAAGGTGCACTTAAAATCGTGCAGTATTTTAAGTTTTAGGGATTTAATTCCAGTTATATCATTAACCAAAATGTAAGCCAGTGCTATAATGCTGTATAGCTCAGGATTTCAGTGTATTAATCATCATATCCCCATTTATGCATCCAAATAATTCTTAATAATCCCCCAAAGTGTAAAGATTTTATTATACATTGTTTTTATCGTCCATTAGCTGTTTTGACAGGTAATGTAATCATTTGCTTTAGTGGAAGAAAACTTGGTGGTAACATTTGTATAAAGACGATTAAAGAACCTCAATTAACTGAATGGAATTTGTACAAATTAACTTAACCCAGGTTTAAATTGTTAATAAAGTTAATAAACTTAAAAGGTTTCCTCAAACAGTTTGAGTTGAACAAACTCATTAGGTTTGAAAGTGCAATGAATGATTCAGGGGAACACCAGAGTTATATATAAAGTGTATCCTGTGGGGAACAATAATATTTGTACCAAATGTCACAGCAATCCATCCAATAGTTGTCGAAACATTTCACTCAACAACCAATGACAGCCTCAAGGTGGCACTGGAGGAAAATTCAGGGTCAAGGCCATTATGATTCAGCCTCGGGGGACTATAAACGCTTGCAGAAAATCATGTCAATCAATCCACTAATTGTTGAGATATCTCAGCGTAGTAGACCTCACTAACAAAAAGAACATTTATGTGTCAAAAATGATTTTGTGTGTTTTATTTTGTCCAATAAAAATGACAATTTGCAGGTCATTTCTGTATTTTTACTGCAACGCAGTCACTGGATGTACAAGTTCACACGCACAGCAGTCAATACCTGTTTCTCCCCATCTTCTCATGGTCCTTGACGACACAGTGCAGCTCTGCTCCAGAGTCCAGAGGAATCCCCTTCAGGTCCCATTCAAATCCCTGAACAGAACCAGGACAGCAAACAGCATTAGAAGAAAATGGATTTTACAAGAAATAAAATGTGTTTTCACAGTGGAGAGGTTCAGGGAGCCAAACAGCGCCAACAGAAAGGGTCGTCATTTTACTGTAAGTGAGGTAAATGCATTTATCTAAAAGAGGCACTTGGTGTAAGCCGTATTCGGATCCTTTAGTAAAAGCACTGCCTGAAATGGGCCTGTAATGAGAACCAGCACGGTAGAAACCTTTACTTCTAACGGTGTACCAGGAGCTCCAGTGAGCATACCCACCACTGAGGTGACCAAGGTTTCAGACTTTGGTAGTTTCTCCAAGCGGTATACAATAAAAGTTGTGAAATAATTGCCTAAAAATAACTTTACTTTGATGCTTTGATGCATATTCTCCTTTCTAAAACCCCGTGTAGAGCAATGCTTGTGAGGTAACTGCGTTGTGTGTAACTACATATAGGGTACTGACATCTTCTTTGGTCCAATTCAGGCACTGGGTAAAAGTAAAATATGCAAATATGTAGCTGTCTAAATGGCAAAAAATGAACTAGAGTTTGTGTACAGGAGGACGTACCTCGTTCCAAACAGGGTTAGGGTTGTTCTTGATGACCTTTGTCTTCTTCTTAGACCCTGAAAAAAATGGAGGAACAGGAACATCAAGAGTTAGACAGTAAAACATTAAGACCTCAAAGAAATTCTGTCTTTATTCTGGAGCCAAATATAATAAACAGCAACACAGCAAGTAAAGGATGTCGAATTTCTGTTTCAATTACAATTCTAATGTTAAAAAGAAATCCGGCTAAGTGTCCTGGTATGGGAGCTATCCTTGGGCTAACCATGACTCAGCGAGCAGAAAATAAAATGTGCAACCACTTGACCTTTCACACACACACACACACACAGTGGAGCAATTAGTTTTCTGTGTGTGTGTTATCTTTCTGTGGCTTCCTGTAACATGGAGTTCTGAGCTCTAAATTTCCTGTCTGTCGGGCTCTCTGACAGGAAGTGGGGTATAAAAACGGACCAATGAGGATTCACCAGTTGCTGCTTAAGGGCTCTGAGAATGAGGTACACACACACACACATAGAGGACCACTATCATCATTTCCACTAGGTTTTGATGAATAAGAGGAATAAAAGCAGACACACACACACACACACAGATTGAGATGTTCTTTCCAGATGAACGGAAACAGAGACAATGACTATTGTCTGATTTTAGCAGCTGCTCATTAATTTCCAGGGAATGACCACTGGACGGAGTCTGGAATAGACGAACAAGGGTCTGCAGCCATGCTAGCCGCTCTGTGAGGTCTGGCACAGCGGTGCTTTGAGGTAAATGCTAAGGCAACATGCTAACATGCTCACACTGACAGTAACATGATGGTATTGAGCGGGTATGTAGCATAGTAACATTCGGTTAATAGCACTAAATGTTTTTGAGTTTCGCAGGAATTTGGTCAGAAACCAAACGAAAGTTATTAATATCTGAACATCACGGTGGTCAGAGGGTTGCAGAAGTTACGGGACGTTTGTTTGACGCGATGAAGCATCTCAATCTGCGAACAAAACCCAGAGATTTGTGGTTCCAGCCGGCAATGTCAGTCTGTGCTGTGAAATATTTCTTTTATTTGACGGATTATTGGTGCAACGTTTGGCACAGATCCTTTTACCTTTAAGGTTAATAAATCACTCTGAGCAGCCAGCCACTCTGTCATACTGTACTATAGTATACTACATTGAGTTGATATGTTAAACTGTTCAATACTATAATATATTTCTATTATTATTACTAATATTCTCTGTTTATAGAGAAGTGGATGAGAGGGAGGCTGAAAGCACTCACACACTCACTGCACAGGCTTATTATATTGTATTTTACTGTTTATAGTGTTTATATTTTATTGTATTTTGTGGCATTATATTCTATTTTTCTTCAGTATTCGTACTACATTTGAATTTCCTTACTGGGGAAACATCTTACACATCTTATATTTTCACATTTTTACCTATAAGTACAGATATATGAATATCTTTATGTACTTTTTTCTGTCTTTGTGCAGCTGCAACAACCAAATGTTTACTCTGGTGATCAAACAAGGCTACATCTTATCTTAAAACCGATCCACATATCTAAAACAACCGTGATACATCACTGATAGAAACATCAGCCTGGAGATTATTTACTTTAAAAAGTAAAAAGTGTGTGAAATAACAGGAATTGACACTTTGCCAGAAATCAGTGGTGGTACACAAACATGAGGCCTCATCCACAGACTCGCTGATTAACACACACACACACACACACACACACACACACACACACACACACACACACACACACACTCAAATTCTTCTTCTACTTAAACACACCCAGAGAATGGTTGTTTGCTTTCCTGTTTTCCCCACAGTCATCACCCAATGTGAGAACACACACACCAGTTTACCTTTACACACACACACACACACACACACACACACACACACACACACACACACACACACACACACACACAAACAAGTATGTTCTCACACAAACACACCCACACAAATACCTACGTAAGTGTACCTCCGTTCTTGGACGATATCTTAAAAAACACCTCCACCCTTCCACAGAGGGGTCGAGAGGGCAGGCTGTATTTGTGGACTTGTAAGAGTGTGTGTGTGTGTGTGTGTGTGTGTGTGTGTGTGTGTGTGTGTGTGTGTGTGTGTGCGTGTGTGTGTGTGTGTGTGTGGTTCCCAAGAGTTGATATCAGAGCTCGCATCTCGGAGACAGGAAGTGGCACAGCATTCACTTCCCGGTTGGTTCAGCTTGGCACAGTTTCTGTCATGAGCTGAGAATAGAACAAACTGTGACCCACGGAGCAGTGAAACACGTAAGGGAAAGCTAAGTTTAGATGTGTGTGTGTGTAGGTGAGTGTGTGTGTGTGTGTGTGTGTGTGTGTGTGTGTGTGTGTGTGTGTGTGTGTGTGTGTGTGTATGTGTGGCCAGTCCAAAGGGATCTAAGGTATGAAGTTAAGTTTTTTTGGTTGGTTCCCACTTTTAAAAAGACGCTTTCTTGATATATATTTATAGTTTATGGCTTCTTCCCCCGATCGGTAACAACTGAGCCAATCAGAGCCTTTGTTGGGACTAAAGTTAATAAATAAATATAAATATGAATAACATAAATATATAAATAAATAAAGGCAGATAGATCAAAAGGAAAAACTGGAATGTCATAAACATTAAAAGCTTCTTATTATATTGATTTTGAGTGTTTCTTTTACTCTTTAGGAATGAATTCATTAGCATTTTTAAAGTTTAAATTGTATATTAAAAACTAATTCATTAAATTATCTATTATGTAAGCCTAACTAATACATATTTATTGTTCAATGCAACGCAAAACCGCTTATTATATAGATATATATGTATACGTAGATGTTTTTAAAATATATTTATAAGAATATAAAGATATGCTCCTCACACAATTTGTACAAAATATTTATTTTTGTTACAAAAAAGTTAATTTCCTGATAACGTCAACTGATTTACAGCCAGAAAAGTTACTGCAGTAGAAGCATTTTCAATAAAAACACGATGCACGACGTTCAATTTAGTGGACCTTTCTGCTTTATCACTTATTCAACAAGTCTTAAGGAGCTCATACGAGACTGCTGTGTGCGTGCGTGTGTGTGAGTGTGTGTTCATACTATAATTAGCACAGGTCTGGGATGAAGTGGCCAGTTATTATTTCTGGTTTTAATGGAGAACACTTATTGTTCTAACAACATCACTTTGACCGGAAATCCTTCCCTCAGCGCGCAAACACATTTCAGGCTTTTTTGTTTGTTTTTTCCATTAAGGCATTTCACTTTATTTGGAAAGTGAGAGTAGAGAGATAGAGAGAGAGAAAGGGAGTCAGGGGGGAGAAAGGGAAAGACATGCAGCGAGGACACCCTACATGCTGTCACATTTAATCACATACACATGATTGTCATTACCTACACCTGCGGGGACATATGACCACAAACATGATGTAGAGGTGAATGAAAAAGTTTTCACTCATCTGTATCTGCTCTAATATGGTATTGTAACACAGTATCTACCTGGACTGGGAGCTCGAGGGACAGGGGGAGGTTTGTTTACACTACTAGCAATTGGAGAATGAGAACCAGAACTGGACCTGGGTGATAATATATAAATTTATATGTATGTATAGATAGAGATGAATATCTTTGCTGAGCGAACCTGAGGAAGCTCCAGGTGAAAATAAATCACAGTGAAGTCATTCAACGGTGGTTGATATAGAATTTTAACTACGACCTACAAGCACCTGACAGTTGTCGGCTGTGCATGGGGAGTTTTGTTTCCTCGTTATAAATATATATCCATTTAAATAATTAAATTAATATCATAAATCTGCAGTGACTAATCAACTTTTACTAACAACTACTAGTCAACTCTTTTTAGCTCTATAGTTTCCCCAGTTTCCTACAATACTTCCACTAAAACATTCAATCTGTCCAATGTTTTTCTGCAAAAAAAGTATAATTTCTACATTAAAATCCTTAAAAATATGCAAAGTTTTCCTGCTGGACACAAGATGTCTGCTTCATTGTAAAGTCCATTCTCAGTGTTCGTGCACTAGTGGCTTCAAGTTTCTACATCACACTGTACAAGTTGCATACTGAACCATGCATTCTCTCTCAATCACATTGTCTCTCTTTTCTTTCTCTCTCCTCCCACAACTTCCTTGCTTTTTTATCAACTGTAATTTCTATAAATGGACATGGTATCTGTCTTCTGGCGGGGAGGAAACTCTCTCTCTCTCTCTCTCTCTCTCTCTCTCTCTCTCTCTCTCTCTCTCTCTCTGCTCTAAATTCCTTAAGTTGTTGCAACTGAGAAAAAGTTGACTGATCATTACTTTCCCATTTGCCTATATTATTGCCAACAGCAATAAACAAATAAATCACATTTTCTCCAGACCACCCTGAACATTTCATAGCACTTCACCAACATGCAGATGGCGTTTGATTTCAAATATAATCTACATTATGGTTCAACATTTTACAATTTAATTTGTGCCTCCTGCTCCTCACAACAAGTATGGAAGTACAAGCATGTGTGTGATGGCACCAGGAAACAGAGTCGGGACAAAGGCAGGAAGTTAACAGCAGAGCTCACCTCATTAAGAAGGCAGACACTGACTCGTGGAAAGTACAAAAACAAACTGATGGAAAACAAGACCAGGTAGCCAAGTCACCTTCACCTTGTGCCATTTGTCTCCAGTTGAGTTAAACCAGATGCTCATCCAGAGGGGACGTCAGACATTCATCTTGGACTTGAGTGCTGCTGAACTTAGTTGACTTGACTCCCTAAAGATTTGACTCGAGTTCAAGTCTCAAGTTTTGACCTGAAAACTATTTGACTTCATTGTCACTGAACAATAAGACTTCCTCTGACAGACTTGAGACCTGACTTGGACTTGAACACCTGCCCACACTACTACACTGACTCCCAACCAGGGGTACTCGAGGGGCAGAGGTTAAGTGGTACCTGGAGATATACACTCTTAATTTAAGCCCCAAATTTTGATATTAAAGCACCTGTCCAGCTATGGATGTGATGTAAACAGTGACATGAGACTACTCTTGCATATTTCACTCACCCAAGAATGGACCAGTAGTATTTGCACATTGTCACTTAACATATGCTGCTTGACTTCAATCAGTATGAAATTAGCCACAGAAGATCAATACTGGCCCACAGACTAAAGGCTGAAACAACCACATTTACATAATTACACATTTTGAGTTAAGTTGGTCAACTATGTCATGCCTTCGCCATCCTGGGAAAGAAAAAAAGAGCTGGCAGATCACTACTGAATGATGAGCAATAGAGAGGTTTGTATACCCAATGCCTACTGAAACATAACATGTGTATACCCCGCACTACACCACTGTCCAGGAGGATACCTCTGCAGCTGCCAAGAAGATTTTGGAGTACAGCTGATTTAGAATAGATTAAAATCGAATGACAAAGTGATGTGTGTCAGTTGTCACAAGAACCAATAAACCACACCAACCTGAGTCAGATATAACACCTTAATTAGCGTGTTCGCACAGAGAGCGAAGCCAGATTTTCGCGTGATGAGACTTTCAAAGCAAAGACATCATAAAACTTTGAGTACTGATTGAACGAAACCTGAAAACTAACCATGAAGTTGAAAAGTAATGGTTGAAACCTAATAACAGACAATTCCAGGATCCCAAGTCTTTAAATACATGGTAACAATATCAGTGTTCATTCAATTAATAATGTCTCAAAACATCCATTTCAAAATCTAATGAACACAATTGGGAAAATGACGAGTGTTCAATGAAGGGCTATGTGGAAAAGGTTGGGAGTCATCCTGAACTAGTCGATATTTGCAGTTGAAGCCTGTATTTGTACTGCATGTTGCAAAAAAAACAGAAAAACGTCCTAAAATGTCACAACAAAGTTTTTATGTTTGGCTGCGGAGGGAAAAGAATTCTCCAGATATTCTGATAACAGTAAATGATGGAAACGTACTTTAAATTTGGTAAAAACATTGCTTTGTATTTGGCTAAAAAACTTTTATACTTTTATAACAGCAAATATACTAAAATTCAGCCTCAAACTAACTGGTAATCCAACAACAAAAAACAAACACAATGTATTTTCTTTGCCAAATCCTAATTTCTTTTTCTAAAGTTACTTGAGCTACTCCACAATCCTGACAACTACAGACCTAACAGGCATACCACCTGGTACCCATGACTGTGAGGGTTCAACGATGTCTGATTTTGCCGCACAGGTAATGAGCCCCTGAATGTCTCACGATCCTCTTACCTCTGAAGGTGACACTAGCCAGGGGGTCAGAGTGTCTCAGATTGTTGGCTCGCTGAAGAACGCAACGCAACATGGCTGAAAACCTCAGCCGAGTCCAGCCGAGTCCTGAAACCCGCGATGCTCTAAGGACTCGCTCAGAGACAGAGGAAGCAGGTGATTCAGTTCACCAGGTGAGAGCAATCCAGGGCTGAAGGGACGGTTGGTTACATGACCACCGGTGTGCCTGACCACCAAGACTAACAAAGTCCAATGGCAAATAGGGGAGAAAGTGTGTAAAAAAAGCTGTTCTTAGCAAAACAAACGATATCCACTGCTTGAAAGAAGTAAAACCAACTCTTTCAGAGAGTTAAATCAAGTTATTGTGCTATTTTAAAGGATTTTTTTAGTAACTTGGCAAAAATGGAAGTCCCAGCATCACAAAAACATGGTGAAAAACAAATAATCCAAACCGAAACTACAAAATAAAAGCTCTTTTTTCCCCCCCAAGTGCCTTCACAAAGCCGGCTTCGTTCTCTTTCTGACTCTCTCTGGCACACTGGGAGGGAACGAGGGCATCGAGCGAGCATGTCAGGAACAGACACACACCTCACATCCAGAGGAAATCTCAACATTTCCTGTTCTCTTTTCCTCTCTTGTCTCCTGGCTGTTTCCCTATCTTGCCCACATCTTTGCCTCTCCAACATTCTCCACCGCCCTCCAGCTCTCTCTGTCCTCTAATCCCTCTATCTCATTTGGTCGATCTCTGTTTGTGCCTTAGTCTTTAAATCTGGTGTTTTCAGTAAACTGTCAAAGTCTCTGAAGCCCAGTTCTGCCAACAAAGGTGAGCTTTTAATATGATTATTTTGGGAAAAACTGCCTTTAAAAACTCTATAGAACCTACAAAAATGTGCATTACGGATTAATCAATGCTTGTTTAAAAGACAATCAGTCTAAAGTCTAAGTGGCTCCAAAACTTAAAAGGAGGAACGCTCAACATGGACATCAAATTCAAAGACTTTTCAAAGACTCTTCCCTCTTCTTTTGTGGTGAACCTTGGTCGCAATGATTATTTAGGCCTGCTGTGTCATTCAAGATCAAGTCGGGTCAAGAAATCCCAAGATTTTCTTCAGACTGAAAGAACTACAAACACAAATAAAACACATATAAAAAACAAATCAAATCAAGATCTAAATGTATTTTTCTTGAATTGGAATAAGGATTTTTAGACCTGGTCTGAACTACTGGTCGTCTCTGGGGTCTCAGAATATGAGTCAAAACCAGGATCCAGTGGGGAGGAGGGCACTGAGGTCACACACAGTGTACACGGATGTATGAATGACAACACAAGCACAGCGAGAGAGCGCCACCTGCAGACATAAATCCTGTCACACACTCGTACAGTGACGGCCCTGGGCCTTGGGACAGTGTATGTGTTGTTGGCCTGCCACTGTTTTCCTGTTTCAGGTCTCCTTGATCTGTCTGCATCCTCCCACCTCATTGAAGGATTGGTGTCACCTGCTTGGAGCCTTTATAAACTGGGTGATTCCACAGGCCATTCTCGTTTCCCAGTTTGTACATCCTCGCTTCCTCTCCTCCCAGGCACAGATTAGAGTAATGAGAAAGGCCCTGTTGTTTGGTTTTGTATGGTTTCTGATTGTGTTTAGTTTAGCCTTGGTTCCTGTCCTCTTCAGACATCTGAAACCTTAAATTTAAACCTGAAATTTCCCCTTTAGGTGGCTTAAATGTTATGTTTATTCCCATATGTACTGTGCAGCTGTTGAAATTAAATCTGTTGTTCACAGTTATACATCAAATGGAACATTATGGATATCTTGTGCACCCACATTATACTGCAATACAGCCCAATATATAAGGATCATACCTTGGACCATATCTTGTGTGATTGTGACTAGAGGATTTGTACACTGTGAAAGTGGATTGACTGACATGTGTCTAATTTTGGCTGCAAATCAATTCATTTTTATTCTACCTGCTCAGCACCAAACCTCCACAGTTCAAGACTAGCTGGTGAACACAGTGGAGCATTTAACAGCTAAAGAGACATATATTTCTTTTAGGAGTTGGTGGAAGCTAAAGACAGAGCTAAAAGTGAGGGAATACTGGCTTACATTAATCAGTTGGACAGAAAGAACGACAAATGAATGCCAATGTTGCTCCATGTTTGCCTTTTCAATCTTTGATCTTTCGAGATGTTTCTTCTTTAACAGCCTTTAAATGTGATGAGCTCTGAATAGACGAAATGACGCAGCAGTTTTTAAGAGCAGACACAGCAGAGGCAGCGTTGAGCTTTCAGCAGAAGAGTTAAAACAGATTAAATATCAGACATCAGCCAGCGAGGAGACGTTGATGAAACCTGCAGAGACTATTCAGCTGTGCTGTGTTATGTCCCACTTAACGCCAGCAATGGGGGCTTTTCCACCCTGACAACAACACTGGATTTTTATCTTTTTATTTCTGGAACTCTCTTGGAAATACTCTTGATATTTTGGCTTTAAGTAAAGCAGTAGACAGTAAAGAGTGAAAGGAAATGTTGGAAGACAGATGACGTAATAAAGACTCGTAGTTTTGTTTCACCCTTATATGGTTCACATTTAATCCTACTCAACCTCTGGATGACATGAACTTTCTCAAAGCAAATTTCAAATTAGTATAATATATACGTCTGTTTTGTGAAGAGGTTGGATGAGAGACATTTTGAATGAGTTCTTAATTAGGGATAATCAAACAAAGGCTGTGCAGTTATTGAAAAATAACATACATACACAGGCTAATCACGCTGCAAAATTACAGGTGCGTTATTGCTCATAACTGCACAAGATGGAGTATATTATTCCCATTATACCATTACTACTAGTCAGCCATTACTGTTATTTTTTGGGACAATATGTGCTCCCCAATCTCGTCAACCTCAGATTAAATGTTTCCAAAATAACTGGAACTGGTTCTACCTGTTGGTTCGGGTGCCTGAACATAGAGGGAGGGGAACAGCACACATTTATCACAACTAACACTGTTACATTTTTTGCTTTGCACCACATTACCAACTAACTTCAAAAATACGATGTTGTTGATGATGTTTTGCCTATAGCCATGATGAACACTGTAATGCACTCTGATTTCTCCTAATAGAGTAAATGAGGGAAGAAACAGCTTCTGCTTTGTCCATGATTTTTGTATAATGGATAAGTTATTATGCTTGTTCTCATTTGGGATGTATTATTGATAAGACGGTGACCTGAGTGTAAAAACACTGGTATCTTAAGCAACTTAGCAAAAAATAAGTTGAACTATTCATGAAATTGATCAACTAGCGTTACTGATTGTGTGTGTATGTGTGTGTTTGTGTGTGTGTTTTGACACACTGCAGGCACTGCCCTATATTACACAGGGAAACTTTTGTGCTGCAAAAAATGTCATGAGTTCATGACACACTTTTTGTAAGTTAGAAAACTCAGTTCAGTTTCTTCTTTACAGACAGACTGAGCTCTACTGTTGTACTCTGCTGTATTTTACTGTAGTCGGTTGTAGTCTAATTGACACAGTGCAAGAGAAAGAGAAAAAAATGTGGAGAGAGAGCTAAAAAACAAACAAAAGGGATAAATAGATAGATAGCTGGACTTTGACTGTGAATCTGAAAATGAACTTGACTCCCAGAAGAACTCACTGGCCTCCACTAAGATTTACTGATACTGTAAATCTGCATGTTTAAGAGTAAATTCAATCACAAACAGTTAAGTTTGGTAGTGAATAAACTCAGAGGCACAGGAAAGGGGAGTTTATATGCTATAAACAAGAGCTCTGGGAGGATGTCAGACACAGAAGTGCTTTGAGGTAAAAGCTAACATCAGCATGGTAAAATGCTAAGAAAGGACAGTCGCATGCTGATGTTCATCAGGTATCATGTTTACAATTTAGTCATTCTTTAGCACTAAACACAAAGAACAGCTGAGCCTTATATTGGACAAACTAAAAATTTGACCTGATCAAAGTTATCCCTTAAGTTAACCCTGAGAGGGACGTGAACGTGTGCAGCAAATTTCATGACAATCAATCCAATTCAAGAAGTTTCTCCAAAAAAACATCACGGTGGTGCGACAGGAAACATCGTCTGGGAACCATGAAGGTCTTGAAGGTAGTTTTGTTCCGGGCCATAAAGTAGATGTTCAGAATTCACTTCATTAGTGAAGATTTTGACCAGCTGGTGGGACAAAGTTCAAGACCTTTATTTGTCCCAAAACAACAACCCCAACACAGGATGAGACTTACTGATAAAACGAGAGAAAAAAGGCCACCTATACATAACTACACATATTAGAAACCACATATATACATGAGTAAAAGGTCAAGTACGCATTGACTGTGCAGAGTTGAGCAGAAAAATGGCAGTGGGTATGAAAGAGAATTAGTTTTTGCTAACCAGAGGGCTCTAACGTAAAGTGCATCCTCTGGGTACCATGAAAATATGTTTGTTTCCAATCCATAGAGCAGAGGCTGAGATATTTCACCGGATAAGTGAAGATCTTGACCAGCTGGTGGTGCTACATTATCCGTCTTTTAACCAAATCTACCTGTGCGTACTAATTCTGATCAGCCTGGCTTACAGGACCGCCAGCTGACCCACGCAGCTCACCCGCAACTTTTCTTCATCTTCCTTTGGACCGTTGGTAATGTACTGGGCATAGACCGATAGCTCAACAGAGTTAACGGCTAAACAAGGACTATTTAATTACTGTTAATGTTGCTGATGTGTTTTATTCAAGTTACTGTGGTATTGTGAAGTTGATTGGATTAACTGAGGTTACTGTAGTAACTGTAGTCTTTGAGACAGTGCTAAGGTGATGTTGGTTTAATGCTTCACACAGACAACACACACACAAGGGCAGGGATTCAAACCCTCGCGCTTCTTCATGCTCTGTCTCTCACCAACACGTGTTTCATACCCTGGAAAATCTGGTCAGACGACAAAGGCCATAAACGCACACACACACACCCACACCCACCCACCCACCCACCCACACACACACACACACACACACACACACACACACACACACACACACACACACACACACACACACACACACACACACACACACACACACACACACTCCTTTTTCCTCTAGCTTAGTTCCTTTAAGTTTGTATTGTATTTTAGTGTAGTGTATTTTCCTCTGTTTGCTTTTATTATATCTGGTTAATAAATGTTTGGGTTTACAAATGCTGACCTATTTAATTTTGTACAAGAGTGAGTGATACCAACCTCTTCTATCCTAATACGATGATTTTGGTTATAGTTATTAATTTAATTGTTAATCTGATTTCTGAATCAATAGTTTAGTGTATTTTTATGAGACTGATCAATCGATTATTGGTTATCGTTTCCCTTATTTATGGGTGGTGCCCCGAGGATCTTTAATATTAATTCAAGTCATTTTCTGTTATCTTTTGATAATTCTAATTTTTGATAACCATTAATTGATAAAACCAATACAGTTAGACCACTCTAACACCCTATGACGTGGA